AATCTGCTTTTTGGTTGTGTCTTCCAGGAGCTTCTCTGTAGTTTGGCACAACTGCTCTACCTTGGAGGGAATGGAATGAAGTTGTCAGGATAGAGGAGAAAGGGCATCTGGCCAGGTTGCCCCAGGCTGCTCCTCCCACAGCTCTGCTGCTCCTGCCAGGACCTCAGGCAAGTCACTTAGCATGTTCTCTTCTGGTTGCTTCTAAGGAAGTGCAATTAGACTTCTCTATCTACCTCGGGGAACTGTGAGGTTGGAGGAGATAGTGGTTCTGCAGTCCTTGGTAAAGACTAAGTCTTGATTTCCTCAACTACAATACAAAGGAGAGAACTAACCACTTTCTCTAAGTTTAGACAGCTAATTGTTCCCGGTGGACACAGTTCTCCTGATGTGCAGTTTGTTGCTTTTTGGTAAATCAATTCACGTCACATGTGATTTGAATTCAGTTGTCCTATGGTAATTATATTCAGCTGCAGGTTTATGCTTGAAACTTTCAATTTGGTTTATATGAATGACTCTGGAAATTTATTTGTATGAAAATTATGATGATTTTAAAAGTACATCTAAGTTTAGCTTCTGACTGGCATTTTAAAGATTTTTAATGTGGAGTAGGAGTTAGAAAATCTTTGTGGGCTCAGTTTACTCTCGTAGCCAAGGATTTCACAATCTCTTAATGCTTGAGTGGGTGGGGATGGATTGATGCTGAGTTGGCTATTTTTTTTGTTGTTGTTGTTTTTTTTTTTACTTAAAATACCAGTTCTCTATTAGTTTAATTTATTTCTTAAAGGTTTTTAGGGTACTTGTAAGATCTAAAGCTGTGGAAAAGTTGAGCTCATAGAAGCAGAAAGAAAATAGAAGGTGGTTACCAGGGTCTTGGGGGAGGAAGCATTGGTGGATATTGATCAAAGGATACAAAATTTCAGTTCATCAGGATGAATAAGTTCAGGAGATCTATAGTACAATATGATGACTATAATCAATAATATTGTGCTGAATACTTGAAAATTGCTAAGAGAGTAGATTTGAAATGTTCTCCCCACAAAAAAGGGAGATAATATGTTAATTACCTTAATTTAGCGAGTCTGCAAAATGCACCTGTATCAAAGCATCCTGTTGTACACCATAAATATGTACAATTTTTATTTTTTAATTATAAATGAACAAAAATCTAAAAAGGAATAAAGTGTGAATCAGGAAGTAAGAGCCCCAGGCCCAGGGAGCACAGAAGGTTCCACTGCTCACGTGATCTGCAGTCTAAATGTAATAACTACCTGCAGCACTGATGAGAGGAGTGTCAGGCTACATATGAGTTCTGCAAAAAGCTACAATGGATTATTGATATCTTGATATTTATGCTGGGCACAGGAGGGGTCAGGCACCTGCCTTGTGTTGTGTAGCACCATTGCAAAATTCCAGTGAAGAATAAATAAATATTATTCTCATCAGGGCTGACCATCAAGAATTTCCATGGGAATGAAAGGCTGGAGTACAGCTGGGATCCATTCTTTTCTTGCTGTGCATGGATTATCTCAGATTACTGAGAGAAGTATGTTCGTATCAACATGGAGAATACATGCTCATATGGTTAAACTGAATGTGTAATTATGAAATAAATACTAGCTCACATTTCCCCTCCACCAAATGAAATGTTACTACACTATTTTCTTCTGTTCAGGAAGTTTCCCAAGAAAGAAAGTTGAGTTAAAGAAACCTTTATGAATTTTTATAAGGAGGCATTCAAAGCAGAGTGGTTTCCCACTTTTCAGAACAATTTTCACACACTTTTATTGGCTTGTACAGATATTCTTAAAATACATGATTTTTACATAAAGAAAAAAGGCAATGGTGGGAAAATGATCAGTGTGAGCAGAACTGATTTGCAGGCGTAACAGGGGGATTTGGAAATGGTGAGAAACAGCTGAACCACAAAAGCAAGCGAAGACACAATTTGTTTCTATTGCAGAATCCAGTTAAGTCCGAGGTGGCCGAAAGCCAGTTTACAAGCTCCTTGGGGAACTTAGCCAAGTGCCCTGGGTACCTCCACTTCCACATGCCCCCAATAATTCTGCTGACCCCGTGGATGCCATAACAGCAATCAGAGCAAGCTGGCAACAGATGGATTCTGAGGATCTGTCTTAGCCCTGTGCTGGGGTCAACAGAACAAAATTCTCAAGATGTGCTAGGCCTCCCATTAAGGTGTTGTCAAGTAAATGTCGGCTGCCACTGGACAGAATAATTTTGTATCAGAGATAATTACCACGATCTTATTTTGGGGGGAGATGAAAACTCCATCATCATCTATGAAAAATCTTGTTTGATTCTGAGTCCTCATTTGCTTTGTTCTTGTTCTATTTTCCTTTTTGCTTTTTCTCTATCTGTTCATACAAATCTTTTTCTTTTTCCCCTCCTGTGCTACCTTCTTGAAGCAAAAAATCAGACCAGTATTTTCCATAGAATGTCCCTATCCTTGGTGTTTCCCAATACCAAGAGGAAAGCACAGGTGGAAAGTTAGAATGCAATTAAAACACAAATAAAGCACACTGTTTTTGATCTTTATTGTGCCTAATTCTGCAGCCTTCATCCACGCTCAGTTGATTGAAATTTGAGTTTTGTTTGATTTTGAATTTAGAAATTGCTGCTTTTATACTCCCCCTCCAATTGTGTTGCTTCAGGTTGCTTTTGAAATATTAATAATAAATATTTATATTACAATCCTGTCTTCAGACTATGAGGAAGAAAAAGAGACAATTAGAATGTAAACAAAAAATATTCTCTTTGACATTTATTGAACTTAAATTTGCTGCCTTCACCAAGCCCCCATTCCTGCTATTCTGTTTTTTCTTGAGAAAGCTTAACTCCCTTATCCCTTTGAAATATTTTATAATGATAATGTTACATGTGTGTGGGTTTTACAATTAAGAAAATATTTCCACATAGCTTGTTTCATTTAGCCTAACAGGGAAACTTTGGATGAGGAAGGATGGATGGCCTCATTTTTGAAAGAGGAAAGTGATATTCATAAAAATCAGCATTAGAGTCCAGATCTTCAGAATTCAAGTCTATTCTTTCCACAACATTATGACACAGGAAGCCAAGAAATAGCTCTTCTCTTCCTTCTCTCCTGTGTCTTCCTGGTGGATGGACATCAGGATCTTGGACTTTGACCTCATCTCTCAGTCAGGGGTTTACTATGACATAACAGAAATATGGGCTCTTGCCCCATATGTTGTTAGGTAGGAAGTTACGATCCTTAGACGATGAGTGACTAACCTACATCAATACAAGACACTGAATAAGAAGGTAATTATTATTCCTTCTTATTGAGATGTAGTTAGAGTTTAGTTGTGTAGTTAAAGTTCAGTTGTGAGTCACACACACACAAAAAAACCCAAATAACAAGTTAAACAGAAAAGTAGTTTATGTTTTCTGCCATGTGAAGTTCTGGAAGAATGGGCTGGTATGCTGACTCTGCTTTGCAAATGCCCCAGGGACCCAGGCTCTTTCTGGCTCACAGCCCTACCGATTTATGGCATAGCCCATCATGTGCAAGGCAGCATCCTCCATCTGGGCAAGAAGATGGAGGGAGATGTAGAAAAAGAAAGAAAGAAAGAAAAAAACCTAAAAGGGACATGGGTCATACAATAACTTCCTCTTTTTTTTTTTTATTTTAATATCTGCCTCTTAAAGAAAGTTTCTCAGAGCTATTATGTGACATCTTTTCTTGAATTCCATTCAGCATCTGGTCACATGGCCACAGATAGCTGCAACAGAAGCTGTGAAATACAGTCTTGGTTCTAGGTGACAACATACCCAGTTAAAAATTTCTATTTCTGTAGAAGAAGGTGAGACTGGCTCTTTCCAAATATCTATCTGATAAATACTCAGAGTTACTGAGTTATGATGGAAAGGAAGGAAACATTTACTATGTTATTTTTGAAATATCTGAGAGGAGCATATTTGGTGTTCTAAATTGCTTACATGAAATATAAGATTTTGATTAAGTTATTCCATTTTGTTCCACATTGCCTTCCTTACAAAGGCAATGCTAAATCAAAGCATATTTAATGTCATTAAACACAAATTTATGAAATACGGCAAAGCCCCTAAGATAGGACTCCTTCCCTTGAAATTGATTTATTCATCCTTTATACCCAGGTCTGGCTTTAAAAGTGTGGGACGATAACCAAGCTCTGATCTATGGTACAAGGTGAGGGGCTGGGGCTGGTTTAGAGGCAGGCTGACCTGTGAGTCACAATGGGTACAAAGATCAGGAACATGACTCTGGATCAAAGCCCTTGTTTTTCATGCCTTTGTATAATACAAGATCTCTGTGGGTTTCAAAGCAGATTTGTTTCAGCTGTTGGCTGAGTGGGTGGCAGGAGAAGAGAATTCCAGGACCACATGCTTATGCCTACCTCTGTCAAGTAGTCTTCTTGTGGAACCTGACACACACTGCTGACCAACCCTTTGGAGATGGTTGTTTGGTGAAATCACATAAGTGCCTCTCATTTTGCTGCATTCTTTGGTTTCCTTTGGGATTAATAATCCTCTCACTAGATGAAGGTCCAGGCTTGAGAAGTTTGTACAAAGTCTGCTCTTTGTGCCTTGATGGGCTGGTACTAGAGAACTAGTTATATTGATGATTTTCGTAACTTTATTTTCAGCTGAGCAACATAATGACATGGTAAAACATTTACCTGTAAGATAGGCTTGTTCTACATTGGCTTTGTCAGAGGATATATGTTTAATTACTTAATATGTTGTTTTTGTCCATAAAAGTTTTTGTTCATAAAAATATTTATTTTCAAGTTCTTTACAGACATATTTTAAAAAGCCTTTAAACATAAAATTTGTTTTGAAGTTTCTCTTCATCCCACATACATACGTAATTTTTACATAAATGCACATATGTGATTTTTGTATGTTGTTGCATTTTTTGAGTGCTTGCTTTTCTTTTCCTTTTTTTAAAAATAATATTGCTGTCTTGGTCTGCTGCTATAACAGACAGGGTGGCTTAAATAACAGAACTTTATTCTTCACAGTTCTAAAGGCTGGGAAGTTCAAGATCAAGGTGATGGTTGATTTGGTTCTGAGTGAGGGCCCTCTTCCTGGTTTGCAGAGGGACACCTTCTTGCTGTATCTTCACATGGCAGAGAGAGAGGAAGAGAGAGAGAGAGCTGTGGTCTCCTCACCCTCTTATAAAGATTCCTTCATGAGAACTCTACCTGCATCACCTCACATAAACCTAATTACCTCCCCAAGGCTCCAACTCCTAATCCTATCATATTTTAGATTAGGGCTTCAATATATGGATTTGGGGGAGACACAAACATTCACTCCATAGCACCCTTCTTTCCTTTCTCCTGTCTGTTCCTACCACATTGCCCCTTTCAGACAGTCTCTTAATGACCTAATTCTACCTGTCCATATTTTTCTCCATCTCCATATAATTATACACAACAAACATCTACATATACATATATGCATATACACAGATGCAGCTTTTATATTTTACCAAATGGAAGCACAACACATGTACTTTTCTTCATTTTACTTCTTCTGATTCTATAATACCTTGTAAAAATTCCTCCAAAATATTGGACTGATGTATCTCTAATTCAAATTTTAAAGGTTACATTGTATTCCATGGTATAAATATACTACTGTATTTAACCATTGCCTTGTTGATGGACATTTATTTTGCTTGCAGTATACACTATGAACAATGCTGCAATCAACATCCTGTTCATACATTCTTGTAGAGGCTATTTTTGTCTCTGTTGCCTAGACTCTCAGTGTTGCTTGGGAATGATGAGAGTGATGTGTTTTGATTTTTACTTCAGACTTTATATCGCTTCTTCTTTTGATGTTTGACTTGAGGTGCTGCCTGGGAAAGGCTATTGGCTGATCATCAAGTGGTTTCAGTGTGTGGCATTTTTCAGATTCAGGACTCTGAACCTCAGTATCGTAGATACAGAAAATCAACCTTGTCCATATATTCCAAGGTGATCTGCCTTTTTGTGATATACTCTCGGTCACAGAATTCACATGACATCCTGATCCATGGCTAATGGTGTCCCTAGGATGACAGTTCTTTTTAAAGATTTATTGACATTCCTGGTTAAACTATAGTCTGTATAAGGGAAGTCAGGGCATTATTTTCTCCACTTTTTTCACTCATTTAACAAATATTTATTGATCTATCAGGCATTGTTCTAGGCATTGGGGATGAATCCATAAATTAAAAAAATGCACACCTTCATGAGGGAAATGACAAAATAACTAATATAAATAAGCAAATGTATTAAATATTATGTTTAATGGTTATAAAGTACTAATTAAAACCAAGACAGAAAGAGGGTAGAAGGATGCTGGGGGATGAGAGTGACACTGTTTTAATGTGGCAGCCATGTGTGACCACACTGCAAGTGTGACATTTGATGGAAAAGTTGACAGTGGAGGCGGGGGCGGGAAGAGGGATATCTGGGGAAGGCTGTTCGAGTCAGGGATAGCAGCAGATGGGAAGCTTCAGTGAAGGGGAGGGGAGAAGGTCAATCTTGACTTGTTGGAGGAAAAGCAAAGGTTTTGGTGTGGCTGGGGCAGAGTCAGGAGATGCGATGAGAGACGTGAGGGAGAAGCAGACCACACAGTGACTCATGGGACATCACCAGGGCTTCCTAAGATGAGACGCCGCTGGGAGTTTTGAGCAGAGAAGTGACGACCTAAGTTACATTTAACAGGAATCTCCGCTGCTATGTTTGCTGAGATAGGCCTACAGGGGAGGCAAGTGTGGAAGCAGGGACATAAAACGGAGTGCTACTGCAGTCACCCCGCAGAGCCGGTGGTGTCTTGGCCCAGGGCGATAACAATGGGAGTAGTAAGAAGTAGTTGGATTCTGGATACATTTGGAAGGAAGAGTTTATTAATTTTTCATTGCTGTGTAATAAATCACTACAAACTTTGTGGCTCAAAACAACACAAATTTATTATCTCACAGTTTCCATTGGTGTGGGGTCTGGGTTCTCTGCTTCAAGTTGTCACCAGGCTGCAATTGAGATGCTGACTGGGCTTTGTTCTCACCTGGAGAAAGGCTTGACTTAGGAAGAATCCACCCCCGAGCTCATTCGGTGTTGGCAGAATTTATTTCCTTGTGGCCCTAAACTTAGGGAGGTTCGCTTTTTCAGTTTCACCTGGGGAACTTGTAGCTGCAGTCTGCAGAGAGAGCCTTCTATAGAACGAAGCATAATTGTGTTTTATTCTGTTTTATTCTGCTAGTTGGAAGTGTTACAGGTGCTGCTGGCACTCGAGGGAAAGCTGGAATTATTGAGGGTCACCCTAAGGTCTTCCACCACAGAGAACCAACAGGATTTTTTTTTTTTGCCAGCCACTGCCTCAAAAGTGAAAGGTTTCAAATAATGACAATGGAATGGGTCTTTCTTTAATGCACTAGATGTGGATAATAGAGGCCTTTTTTGTCTATAACCTCTGACAAACATGTATTTTGGTATCCATTGATTATGTGTAGAAATCTATTAAAATTATTAACATGGAAGGCCCTTTTTAGGGTAGAACAAACCACTATTTGTTCACCTAATCATACCCTGAATGTAAGGATATATTTGAATAGGTTTTACTTTGGATAAAATCTTTTTGGCTCTTAAGGAACACAGAGAAATAGTCATGAAATTCCAAGTGGTTAAAGTAGAAACAAGGACTCCATTTGTGCAAATGGAGTCCATGATAATGTAATTAGCACCGTAGGTAATGTCAACATGCACGCACAGACGCCGTGTCATTAGCTGCGTGTACTGAAGCTATGTCATTTGATTCATAGTCCCCTTCACACATAAACAAAAGTATGAATGTTCACTTTTAAAAAAGATACATTTTCTCCAACTTCCACTCAAGTGTTTCTTAGATGTCTTCACTGCCCAGCAAAGTCAAAATTGTGCACAATGAGACAAATCGTTGAGTTTCTTTCTTATTTGGATACTATTGATTTAGAATTAATCATGTTTTCAAACAATGGTGCAAATAATCCTGTCAGCTCTCTGACGCAACGTGGAATATAGTCTTCATTTAACAAGTAAGAAAACACAAGCAAAGAGCTCAAAAACTGTCTCTGGACTCAGAGGGCCAAAAGCCACTCTTTGGGGCAAGGAGGCTGGCTGCCTCCTGCTGGACCACACAACGGACGTCCCCATGGCGTAGGTCAGAGCTAGAAACAGGGTAATGAAATGGCCACACTGCCTTTCAGGTGGGCCTGGAGGTCAAGTTAGTTTGTTTGTTTTTAATTTAGCTGAAATTATAGGCTGGTTGAAAGACCCCTTTGTCGACAGTGATCCTTTGAATAGCCACACAAACCTTTTGGTCTCTCTCTCTCACTTTCCTCCAACCCCTTCTCCCATTTGCAGGATTAGAAAAGCACTTGGGAGGCACATTAATCTTGCCGGCGTTGTCAGGAGTGATCAGCGACTTTTATTAAAAGCCCCGGGATCGCCTGAAAGGCCTCCTTGTCTGAGTTTGAAAGGAAAGGGGCATGTTAAGATCTCGGGGCTCGATGTCGGGACCCCTCGCCCTGCCCCTTGGACTATGAGCTGACACTCCAGGAGGGAGCACAGAAGCCCTCCTTTGTTGAAGGGATTTCTCTGGTGGACGGAAACGCGCTGGCCCCTGTCAGCATGAACTTTCTGCGCTGGGGGGGCCCAGGTCCCCTGCTGCTGCTGCTGCTGCTGCTGCTCCTCCCGGCCTGGGCCGGCCCCACCTTCATCAGCGTCAACCGTGGGCTGAGGGTGACCAAGGGCCGCTCCGCATTCCTGTCAGGAGACGACCTGAAGTTTGCCATTCCCAGCGAGAAAGACGCCTGCAAAGTGGAAGTGGTGACGAACGAGCCAATGACCCAGAGGGTTGGGAAACTCACGCCACAGGTAGGTCACATGGAGCTTTTCTGTTCAGGGCTGTGTATGAGTGTGAGGGTGTGACAGCATGCAGGGACAGAGGAAGAGAGAGACGTGAAGACACTTCACTTTAAATGTGCACTGTTCTTCGAAAGTATCTGCATAATTTTTTTTCTTCTTCAATCAAAACCTTGGAGACTCAGTATATTCTATGCTCAATCTTTTTCATAGAGTGAAAAGTTACCTTCTAATTCACTAGGTTTAAAAAGTCTGTATTTTCATTCATTGTTTTTGCTTTAAGTAGGCGTTAACCCCTGTACATAATAGAGAGTTGCTTCTGGTTTTATTACTTGTTCCTACTGTGGTTTAACTTTGCTCCCAGTTCAAAGCATCTTGAGAATACTCAACACTGCTGCTGCTGCTGCTTCTGGAAATACAGACCATTCCTACTTGCTACATTATGAAAATTATCATTTGGCTAAAGAAACATATTCCATGAGGTTGTTCAAAAGTGGTACTAGATATAGAGATGGAATAAAGAGACTTAGAGAGACGCTAGCTCAAATTGATATCTCTAGACACTCCATTCACCACACTTCAAGTTACAGCCCAATTCTGAGACACGTCAGGATTCTACGATAGGGCTCTCCTGATGTGATAGCAACCAAATGTCTCCCTCCAGTTTCCTGTGAGATTTTCTTTTGTCAAAGAACTTCAGATGGGCATCTAGTAATGTTAGAGTACAATAATGGCCCCAAGAGGTTGCATTTCCAAGCGTTTGGTAGTTGCAACTTCTCATTTTTTTCTGGATGTTATTTGTACTCCGAATGTGTTTTGATTGGCACTTATGAGTCAGTGGGAAAAGGAGAGACCTGGGGCTGCTCATACCAGAGCCCCAGTGCACTAAAAATGGGTAGGTGATATAAGTGAGCCCAGCAGCAGGTGATGGAGACCCAACTACAGGGACTGAGGTGAAAGCCCAATGCACGGCCTCAAGAGTATTGAGGGGCAGTGGGATAGGAGCCTTGGTCCTGGAGGACTGGGGTCCTTGATAAAGTAGGAACCCAGGGCTGCTATACATGGCTGCCTTATAAAGACTGATGGATTGGTAATTTGGTACCCCTTCCAGCCAATATACTGTAAAGAAATTATTCAACATTTATTTAAATGTGAGACTGAGTATTTTAGGGGGAAGAAGAGAAGCAGAATTCTCACTGGTAGCCTGCAAGGGCAAGCTGAGTCATCTAAGCTGTCTTCCAGTTCGGACCCCAAGCATATGTACCCCACTGAGCAAAACAAAAGCCCTGCCAGTCACCTGATTCTTTTAAAAATGTTAGAGCACAATAATGACCTAAACAGAAATGTTTAGGAGGCAATTTGAGGAGGGTTTATTGTTACCTAAGCCAGCCTCTGAGGGTTACCCTCTCTCCACCCCAAGTAGCCTCTGACTCCTTAACATATACTGTTCTCTCTAAGAGTAATGATAGCGCCTCCATTATTTATTTTTAGTGTTGCTTTAATGGTGCTGATTGTTTGGCCTGCTCTGAGGCACTGGGGAGCAAAAAGGGATCCAAGTGATTTGAACTAGGTAAAGAACATATTTGGTCACAAGGGGTGCAATTCAAGTCATCTCCACCTCAAACTCTCTGATTTTAATGCAAAAATCTGGTTATTGGAAAGACAACATGGAGCAGAAACAACAGCATGCCCAGCTGATGTAGGAAACTCTTGACTGCTGAGGAATCTCCCCCCCATAAGCTGCTTCCCTAGTCTGCTGCTGCTCATTAAAAAATAAACAGAACCCAGTCCTGAATGTTCTCTGTATGTATTTCCAGAGGCAAACATGCCATCTCAGATTGATCTGTATCATCTAAAGTAGATATGTGGTTTATATCATCTACATTTTTTTTCCATAGTAAAGGAATCCATTAAAATGTGCAGTTTCGCCACTTTTTTTTTTTTCTTTTTGCCAACTATTAGAACTTTGTGGCATGGAGAAGTCTATTAAGTGGGAAATCTTTGTTTCTCAAACTGCCAGGTTATCATTCTTATTTTTTTATTCTGTTAATTTCAACAAAAACGAGATTCCCAAGTAAGTTTTGTTTGTTTGCTTGCTTGAATTTGTGCTTGGTTTTTAACCCAGGCTGGTTCAGCTCTCCCCCAGGGATTTATGTCTTGTGGAGTTTTAGAAATTAAGCATAGCCAAGCGCATGTACACGTGCACACAAGCACACACACGCAGAGCCTGAACATTATTGTTTAATAGAGCTTAATAGTAAGCTGAAAGCCAAGCTTATGTGAACCCATTTCTAGTGACACGACTATGTTAACAGCCCCCTGCTGTGTAATGAACAATTTCGTGTGATTTGCACAGAAAACATTTTGTTTAACATCTGTTCAATTAATGTTTTCATTTCATTACCGAAGTTTGTCTTAGGACCAACAGGTTCATTTTCCTATTGGATATTTGGAAAGGGATTTCAATCGGTGCACACCAGTACCTTCTGTTTAGATAACCCTCTGGATATACTCAATTAGATGAGGTCAGTGGCAATATGTTTTCCTCGTGTTTTAGGAAGAGACTCCCTCACACACAGCACTTAGCACACCTGGCCCAAAGCAAGACAGTTCCTGAGAGGAAAAGTGCCCCAGTTTAGCACTGAGCTTGCTTTCTTGGCTAGGAAATACGGTGGTAACGAAGTATCTCTAGTTTGAACCAGTTTACTGTCATTAAAGTGAGTAATGAGTTAGGAATGTGTGACAATTTAATTATAAATTGTAATTGAAAAGCAGTTGAAGTGGAAAAAAACAAAGCTAGACAGTAATTAGAAAAGGATTTAGCTCTCCTTTGTTTTAGTTAGTAAATTTATGGACAATTATGGTTGTCGCCTTTTATAAAAGGAAAACATATTATGAAACATAAAACAGATGTTTCTTTTAACAAAAGCAGATTGTCTCTTTATTACCATGACTATTTGTCAATGATAGGGGGAAGGTCTTCGCTTTAGGTCCTTCCTAGTTGTCAAGTAAAAAGAGGAACCAATGATATCTGTGGGAAAATAAAGTCATTTGTATTAGTGATAAAGTGGATTAGGTTGTCCGAAAATGCTTGAGGCTGTGGAAAGGTACAGAACAAACAAATGAGGATGGGTGAGTACCTGAAGGGGATTTCTTAGAACTCTCCTAAGTTAGATTGTGCAGAATGAAGGTCATGACATGGGTGGTGGGAGAGAGGACTCTTCTTTTAAAAACCAAGGTTTCCAAAATACAACAGCAATTTCCTTAACAATTCTGAGTGAGGCAAGACAGTTAATTGTAATTTTATTTGAGTAGAGCAATTGTCTTTAGATGTCTAGTTGTCTCATTAGCCATTTCTGCTATTATATAACTAACGCAAGCAGTCTTTTGCAAGCATTTAAGAAATAACTGTGGGTCATATTTGACTCTGATCAGACACAATAGTGTCCACAGCCAGTGGTTTCATCTTTGAATATAAAAACGCTATTTGGAAAAGGAGAACATTCCGGTGCAGGTGTCTTTTTTATAAAATGTCATTTTTTCTTTTGGGTAACCCCCGTAATACTCTGAAATAAATAAGATAAAGTAAAATAAAATAAAGTACAGTAAATTAAAATAAAGAAAAGGAGAACAAAGACATAACAGAATGAGTAGTGTGTGTGTGGGTGGGTTAATGCATGCCTTTTTATGCAGACACAGAAAAGCTTCTCTAAGTCAATTGCTATGAACCCCTGAAGGAGGCAAAAAAATTTTTGATAAATGCAACCATGTTTTAAATGTGCTATAATTATAAAAAGAATGATTTAGGGAGATAATCATCCCTTAACTTATTTGCTTTAGTTTTCATAATTTAGATATTCTCAAAACAAGACACAGCTGTAAAAACAGAATGGTGAGTGGGTGTGAGGGTAGGGTAGAGGTGATGGTGGTTAAAATGCACGCACATACACACACTCAAACACACATACATTGCTAACCGTAATTTCTCTAGGCAGTACTCTACTGTTGGAAAAATTAAGTCTTGTACCAATTTTCTCATAGATATTTATCCATTTCTTCCTGTGAACTAGGTCTTTGATTGCCATTTCCTTCCCAATGAAGTAAAGTATGTTCACAACGGTTGCCCAATTCTTGATGAAGACATGGTGAAGCTTAGACTTTACAGGTGAGAAGCACAGTAGTATGGCTTGTTCTCTACCAGGTAACCCTTCTGTGCACTTTTGAGGGTTTTTTCTGTGGGTATGTCTTAGGAGGTGAGTTAATAGACTGCAAACAAGAAAGTAATCAATAGAAACTAGAGACCCAAGTGGTGAGGCAAGAACTGTAGCCAACTTTCAATTATTTCCATTTGTATCATTTTTCTTGAGGCTTTTTCTGAAGGCAAAATATTAGCCCTATCTTGTTTCCCTTTAGTATTCTCATACAGGTATGAGAACATCTCTGGTGTTCCAACCTATCACTTGTGATGGGAAATGGTAGTTACAAACTACAAGTTCTTAATGAGGTGGAAATTATAATCCAGAATTATAATTAGGTAGAAAATATAATCCAGAATTCAATGAAATTCTTCTTTTTGATTACCAGCTGCTAGTTATAAGTGCAGTATCTTCCATTTTTAAATATATTAAATAATTTAAAATGTTTTCAAAAGCAATTATGAAGTTAAACATAGAAGGACCAGATGAGCTAGCAATTCCACTCCTAGGCATGTACACAAGAGAAATAAAAACCTATGTTAACAGAAGAACTCGTACATGAATGTTCATTGTATCTTTATTCATAATATCCAAAAAGTTGCATCAGTACAACAGATGAATGTGTAAATAAAATGTGGTATAACCGTACAATAAAATATTATTCAGCCATAGATCTATAGAGACAGAAAGTAGGTTAGTGGTTGCCAAAAGGCTGGAAGTAGGGCAGTTGGGGGGTGACCACTCATGGGTGTGGATAATGAAAATGTTCTGGAATTAGATAGCCATGATAGTTGTACAACCTTCTGAAAATACCAAAAAACACTGACTTGTGCACTATAAAAAGATAAATTTTATGGTGTATGAATTATGTCCCAATTAAAACTAATTTTAAATATAAGCTCATGATTATGATATTGCTGACTTCATAGAAGCACCTGAGAACTCAGTGTAGGTGAAGTAGGTCTTTATTTTATTCTTTACTTGGCTTCTATTGCTCTTAAGAATATTGGATTAAAATATGTTGGCGTGAATTTCCCTTAAGCACTAGCCTAATGCAGCAGATTTTTGTAGAAGACATGGGGACAGGAAATCATTCTACGAACATTTGTGATCACCTACTACAGGTCGGGCTCTATGCTGGGCATAAGAAACACAAAGATGAGGCCACATGGACTCTTTTGGTGCTTATAGTCTAATGCAAAAGATGGGAGATAACAATGGCACAGAACAACCAGTGTCAAAAGAGAGTCGTGAGCAAAATGATGTCCTCAGAAAATGAAGTGGCCCCCCAAGAATTCCTTAGGAAGCTGTAAAATCAGCATACAGAGCCATTTGGTCTTTCCAAGACTTTACGGTTAAAAAAACAAGCTGACTCCAGAGAGCATGCCTGGAAGGGCTGGAAAAGCTGTTGAATTCTGGCTGCTCCCACTCCTTCCTTGAGTTTCTAGAGAGCAGGGAGGTTGGAAGAGCATTGTGTGAAGGGCAGGCTTAGAGGGGCCTCCATTGCTTTGGTCTTGAGGACATTTAAGATAAAATATTCAGAGCAGTTGGAGGCGGAAGATCAGGGAGCATGTTTATTCTCCTCTTACACCTTCTCCGGTCCTTTTGGGAAACTACTTGACCTCTCTATGCCTCAGTTTCCTCACTGTAAAATGGAATCAACAATGCTTATTATAGGTTTTTATAAGGATCAACTGAGATACTGTTGTAAAGAGTTTAGCGTAATGCCTGGGCCATAATAAAAGTACGTCAGTTAGAAGCTGCACTATTGGTGCGTAGTCATCACTCATTGATTTTCTCCCTTCAAAAAGGATGACGACAAATCTCTTTTAGTCTTTGTAATAAACCTCCTGATATTGGAGTCACTAAGGGGATGGAGGGAATGGAATTGCTGAATACCCTTCATATGCTGAGCACTGAACTGGGCAGCCAAACTAGACTTTAAATGACTGTAAATGACCACCCACATAGTGGTGTTTCTGAGGAGCAAAACAATGCTTCAGAATTCACTCCTTCAGTCTTGAATTAAAATTCAATCCATAAATTACACGGGCTTGATACTCTTAAATTATGTATGTGCCAGAAGTGAGACCCTGGGTGTCAGCAGTCATGGATGATGACTCTGAGAGCAGGTGTTGAAAGAAAGATGTTTGGAGGGGGAGGTGGCAGGAAAAGGTGGTGACACCAAGGTAAAGAGAAGGAAGGAAGAGAAGAGAGAGTCTGGGAGTAGAGCATGAAACAAAATCCAAACTCGACCTGAGGCATACGTTTTGGGAAGGCCCAACTCTAAGCTTGAAGCTGAGTACACAGGTATGGGAAGTATCTGAGCACCAATTCATATTGCCTTTGCTCTGTGTTCTCTGCAGATTGACTGAAACAGACACCTTCACGGAAACCTTTGTCCTGCGGGTCTATCTCTTGGAGCCAGATTGCAACATCATCCGCATGAGTAACAATGTGCTGGAGGTGTCTGAATTCTATGGCCTGTCCCGGGCGATTGATAAGAACCTGCTCACGTTTGATTATGACAGGACGGCTAGCCTGGATTGCACGGTCAGGCTGGACCCCGTGAAAACTCGGCTGCCAGCCCACGGCCAGGTGGTTCTGGTGGAGCCTCGGCCAGAAGAACCTCGTGGAGATCAGCCGCATAGTTTTTACCCCGAGTCCCGTATGATATGTTTTAATAATTATCTGGGCGTTACTAAAACTGACAAAAATATCCATACCTGATCATCTTCCACCATGACAAAGAGTTCTACTTAACTAATATAAATTTTAGCTGGTTGAAAATTGCTTAGTGGTTAAGGGCATGAACTTTGGAATCAGAAAGACCTGGTTTTGAAAATTGCCTCTGCTGTTTATTTCCCATGTAATTTTAGTTGTTAACCTGTCTAAGCCTCTGTAAAATGGGAAAGGATAAGAGCTGCTCTGTAGGGTTGTGTAAGGATGGGCATAAGTGAGATCACACACACTAAATGCTTAACACAGTGTGTGGTTCACGGTAGGTACTCATTAATTGTCACCTGTTATTAGTAATAGCAATGGCAGCAGTGGTAAGAGTAGCTGGTGTATTTATAAGGTTATTATTGGACTATGAGCAGGTTATAAGTAAAGCCGATAGGTAGCAGCAATGGTTCAAATCAGGAAGAGTTGATAGCGTTCCTTCTGCTGTTCATTCAACCAACATACTTTGGGCACCTCCTGTAGGCATAATAGTGTTCTAGGAACTATGGGAAACTGGGAAATACAAGGCATAATCATAATTATAGCAGTAATTCTTTGAATTTGGACAGAAGTTTACAATTCAAGACATGCATGTTCATATATCATCTCATTTCATCTTCACAACAATCTGGTTAAGATGTTGAGTGTCTATTTTGTACATCAGGGAACTAAGACTCAGAAAATAAGTGGCTTATGAGTACCACACACATACAAGAGTGAAAAATACAGTTGGGCAAAGACACGAAGACTACGGGAGAGACAATTACGGTTTTCAGAGCGAGAGTGGGTTAGTTCAGGTGGTCAAAGAGTGTGTAGGGAAGGTTTAGTAAAAAGACTAGCTGGCATAGAAGGATATGCAGGATTTGGGTGTATGGTGAACACAATAGGGAGAGAGTTTCAGTGCGTACAACAGTCCAGGAGAGATTGGACAATGGAGACATGGCAGCTGGTGCTGCAAAGGAAAGACGGGAGCTAGTGTGTGGAAGGCTCTAGTGAACCACTGGCCTATGGGCCAAGGATGTTCAAACACTAGAAAACACATTTCATTATTTTTTATCTCAGTGTAACTTGTGCTGGGCAAGAGCCTGATGAGACAATGGGTCAACTGTTTTCCACTAATGGAAACCACAGGCTTTCAGAATAATGAGAGCCCACTCAGTGAATGAGTGGGGACACATGAGTATTCTTGGGGACTTGAGCAGGAAGAAGTATCCATGGGAGGGAGTATTGGTTTTAAATTCTACATCTGTTATGTTCAAGTGACTATCTTGATGCCATGCTGTACATTTTAGATGTGGGAACAGAACTGAAGTGTCCAGGTGGAAGCTGTCCCCCGGGACTGAAGAAAATAGGAAGTCTCAAAGTCAGCTGTGAGGAGTTCCTGCTGATGGGCCTTCGCTATCAACACATGGCTCCCCCTTCACCCAATATCGATTATATCTCCATCCAACTGGACCTCACAGATAGCAGGAGTAAAATCGTGTACAAGGTAGAGTTTGGGGTTCCGTGTCAGTGTCACCAGCTGGTTCACAGAGCCAATTCCATGGGGTGCTTGTGCTATTGTGGGTGAAACTACCAGTGAGTCATTGGAACTGCAGGCTTCCTTGTTCTTCCAGTAAGTACTTAAAACAGTGGCTTTTGTACATAATATTAGTGTGTAATTTCCCTACTTTGGTTCCTTTCTAGCTCTCTGTTACTAAGGCAAATTGGGGAGGACTGAGGCTAGTTACGTGCTAAACTTCTTCCTTCTTCACCTGCAACGCTCTTCAGCTTGTCGTTTGATCTCTCGTAACACCTTCTCCTTGATGCTTTCTTTCCTCCTTGAAATCAGGGGGTCCATTCCACAAGGCCACAGGAAACTAGAAGGGAGGAGAACCTCAGTCCCCCTTTTATGATTATCACAAATCTTTCACCCTTCCAGATTTGGGGATGGAGGGCCGGGTTGTCAAGGAGACAGACTTCCAAAGACCTCCTCCATCTTCCAGTCTCTTCATTCTCTTGCCTTTCCTTCTCTTGATCTCTTTACGTTAAAATAATGTTGGACAGCAGAATCCATTTATATGAATTATTTAACGTGCTATTCTGCTGATTTATGTACTCTGTAATTTGTTTATTTGGGACACTGGGGCGACTGCGTATCTTCTGAAACAGCTCAGATTTTGTGCTGATAGAAGATGATCCAAGATGACATTTGGAAAGGCCTCCATCCTTCACACTCTGGTTTCTCACAAGGAGTTCTTCTAAGGGGCCCATTCAAACACTGAACATTATTACCCCAAGGCATTGATAAGACAAAAAATGATAAGGAAATGATAAAACAGCATCATAGAGTTTTAGAATTGAGTTCTGTACAAATCTTTGAGGTAGACTGGTCAAATTGATCAAGTAAATCACTTTGGAGGTTTTAAAGGATAAATTTCTGAGTCTAATGTTAATAGTTAAGAGCCCGAACACTGGACCCAGATTGCCTGGGTTAAAACATCTACTTAACTAGCTGTGTGACTTTGGACTTTACGTTTTATTTTCTTCATCTTAACATGGGAATAATAGCACTTACTTCTTAGAGTAACTGGGAGGATTCAGTGAGACAATACTTATCAAGCACTTAGCACAAAACCTGGTACATAGTAAACACAATGCGTATTTTGCTGGTTTAAAAAGCCACCCAGCAAAAAACTGATGATCAGTCAGGTATGGGTTTAGTCAAGCCTCTTATTGTATAGTCATGGCCCAGAGAAATGTTGTCCCTTGCCCATACATAACACGGTTGTTTTATAGCTGGGCCAGGACCTAAACTCTAGGCCTACTGATGACTAGTAGATGTTTTCTGTTTGTTTTGACACAAAATTCCTTTCACTTTTAATGATTTCTTACATCCACTAAAAAAATTAATGCTGCATTTCTTTCTGACTGATTTTTCATATTTTGCTTCCATATTATTGAGTTAGGGCTTTAATTTTTTATATTTCAAAATCTGTTTTATTGGGAGTTTACCCCTTTAAATGACCTTCTTGCTTTATTTAGCATTAACCTAATCTGTACTTAATTGGGCATGTCATAAAACAGATTTGTTTATGAATATAAAAGTAATATGCTCACTGCAGAGCATTAAATAACACATAAAGCAAAGTAAGAAGAAAATAAAACTACCTGTATTTCTACCATTTTTAGACACACACACACACACAGACACACACACACACGGTGGGAGACAGGCACACCAGAGTTGGTTTTGTTTTATGGAATTGAATTTATACTATATGTGGAAGTTTTGTATCTTGTTCTTTTATTTTTTTTTATGATGTACAGCCCATTCTCACCAAGTGACTAAATGACCATTAACCCATAATTTCTTCTAGATTTTTTAAAGGTATTCTTCTTTACATTTGCCTTTTTAATCCACCTGAAATAAATTTTATTATATGGCGAAATATAAGCAACAGTTTTTTTCCAAATAGACCAAATTTTCAACATTATGTGTTGAACAATTAACTTGTTCCCCATCAATCTGAGATGATTCTTCTATTCTGTAGAAAGATATAATATATACTATTTCAAGCCTAGCTCTTTTGTCCCTACTTATTCTTGTGCCAGTGCCACATTACTGTAAATAGAATACATTTATAATACACTTTAATGTTTTACAGGCAAGTTCTTCCTCATGACTCTCATTCAAAAATTTCCTACTCATTCTCTCCTAGTTTTAGTTCCAGATAAATAATTAAGTCATTTTACGTCAGTTTTAGAAGAAAAAGCCCCGTAAGGATTTTTATCAGTATCGAATTCAACTATAAATTATTTGAGGAAGAATTGTAATAATAGAACATTTACCAAACCGAGCCTTTTCTTCCAGAAATGCAGTATCTCATTTCATCTGGGCAAATGTTCTTTTATATGTGTCTGTAAAGCTTATGGTTTCCTTCATGTACATCAAACACACTTATTAAGTCCAGTCCTAGGCAGTTTGTTTTTGTGAAACTATTGTGAATAGAGTCTTTCCCCCCATTATGTCTTCTCATTGGTTATTGATGATAAATAGGAAAGCTATTTTTTGGTATAATTTTCTCTTATCTGGCTTCTTTCCTGAATTTAATAATTATAAGAAATTTTCAATTCTTTGGGCTTTTGAAGACCATAATTATATCTTTCACTAATGATGATAATTTTGCCCCCCTCCCCCCCCCCCGTAATTATTCCTCTTATTTCTGCTCTATTTCCCACTGGTTTGGACAGAACAATATTAAATAAAATGTTGCTTAGAAGAATCCTTATCTTATATATTTTATCAATATCAGCTGCCCACATTGTCCATTCTAATGTTTTTGCCATGAATTCATCTTTTGAAATTAATGTGATCCCTCTGCTCTTTCCCTTACATGATAAATTTGGATCATCCTTTTAATCTTTCTATATAATTTGATTTTAAGTGCCTTTCTTGTAAGATACATATAATTGGACATTTTCATTGAATTTTAGAATATTTGTCCTGAATAAGAAAATATAAACTATTCATGTTTATGGTAAAAATGGATATACATTTTTTTATCATCTTATTTTATGCTTTCTTGTTAATAAAAATATTATCTTGCATGGTAGGTATTTTTTTAATTTGCCTTTATCTTTACTTTTATTTGGAAATCCTTTATCCCACTTTATGTTTTATTTTGATTTAATTCTAAATTTAAAATATTCTTCAATCTATATTTATAATATTCAATGTAAACAAATGAAATGGGTTCTTTTGGCTCCTTCCTATGTATGGGGAGAATGGATCCAATTGATCGTTTCTCCTGGCAATTGCTTTGTTTATATAATTTGCAATTTCAGTTCTAGCATACCATTGTCATACCTTATTATTTTTATCATCTGCCATTTATTTCAAGTAAGCTCTTTTGACATTTGTATCCATTTTATTAACATGTTTAAAATAACATATTTATTTAGACTTAACTCTTATTTGGTCTCAGTGTTCACCAGTCCTTTTAAATCTTGAGTTTTCTGATTTTGTGTCTTCCAATAATTTTTTCCCCAATGGCACATGAAGAGTAGATGCCCAAATCCTGGAGTGTCTCCGTCTATCATTCATTTGTTTTTGTCAACCATGCACTGGGAAGGGTAAGGAAGGAGTTGACTATCTTCTTCTCTGTTTCTCTCTTGCACTGTTCTCTTCTGAGCTTTGCTGGCTAGTTTCTGAACTTTTAGGCTGGTGGCTGGGGTGATTTTGGGAGAGTGCTGGAAACAGATCTTATTTGATCAGGCACTGATGAAATATGATTTCATGCTTTCTGAGCCTGGGGGATGTTTCAAGCTCTTCTTTGTCTCAGGAGTTTCTCTGGAGAGCCCCACTGCAGAGGTCTTGCACTCGTAGCCCTCTCGTCTTGGGAGGATGTGTTTCTAGCCTGAGTGGTCACTTGCAATTTCTCCTGAAGCCCCTGGGATATGATTTCCATCTCCAGCTTTTTGCTGCTGAATATTTGGCCTCTGAGGATGCTCCCTGAAGATCAGGGTCCAGGAAGACCCCAGGCCACCCCCCGTCAGACTTGGCACATATCTGGGAGCACACCACATGTCCCTTGCTGCCACTAACAGGGACAGACTGATTCCAGCACAGCTGTCATTAGTCTTCTGCTTCTGGCCATTTAACCTCCTCTGGTATGAGCTCCACATCAGCCCTCTGTGCACTCCCCCTGCAAGAAATACATTTTAAGGCTGATCTCAAGGAAACTTCTCTCCTGACGTCTGAGACAAGGGAAGTAGCATTTCCCCAATCTCCTTGCTTCATGGGTGTGTGTGATGTTGAGGGTTGGGGAAGTGACTCAGCACACCATGCCTCTCTCCAAATAAATCCCTTTCTCTTACCTCTATCAATCTTTTTTATGCTCTTATAGTGGGTGAGAGGGTTCTAGAGTCTGGTTCCAGACAATTTGCTTTGCACATTCAGTATATTATAATATCTGTCTTATATTCACTTTGAAATCTGATATTTCTTTCATTGGACTTCAGTTGAGACTGAACCAAGAAGAATTCCATTTTTAGCATTCTGGTATATATAGATTACAACTCCTAGCCCAATATCCAGTGTTCATTAGTATTAGACTAATGTGGTTTTGGTAATTGAGCCTGGTTCTCTCAACGAGGGGATATATGGAATCCTTTGATAGCCAGCATCGACCGCTGTAAGGATTCTCCCCATGCACAGCACTCGTTGATACCTCAGATCCCATGATGCAATTTCATGGCTTCTCTGGAGGGTCTCTCATTCATGGCTCTCACTTTGGGAGGATGCATGCCTAGCCCCAGTAGTCACTTGCAATCCCCAATACCTACCCCTCACTCAGAGTCCCAGGGTCTTTAACTAACTAGACAACTGAGAAATCATCCTTTAGTTACATGAGAACTGAATTATTAAGGCATTTTCCCTTCATCCTTCTCCTGCAAACTTTAAAACCACATGAAAGGAGGTAAGCATAGTGGGTAGAGGAGGTTTTTGGTGTGTGCTGGAAACTGCTAAGTGCTTTACTTTGGCTATTTTACTTGGTTCTCACTTAGTACTTGGGAGTCTAGTATTTCTGTTTATAGATGAAACAAGAATGAGACTTAGGAGTCACTTGTCTAAAGTCACACAAATTAGATTGGGCACAGTGGCTCATGCCTGTAATCCTAACACTTTGGGAGGCTGAGGCAGGAGGATCATTTGAGGCCAGGAGTTCAAGACCAGTTTGGGCATCATAAAGAGGCCCCATCTCTACAGAAAGCACAAAGATTAGCCAGGCATGGCTCTGGAGACTGAGGCAGGAAGATTGCTTGAGCCCAGGAATTTGAGGTTGTAGTGAGCTATGATCACCCCACTGAACTGTGGCTCCGGCAACAGAACGAGACTCTGTTTAAAAAAAAAAAAAAAGAATAAAGGCACACAAATGAAAAGTGCTAGAGATAGAATGGTAAGCACAGTTCCTTCTGATGCCAAGATAGAAGGCTACATATTAAACCTGGCTACATATTACAGTCACCAAGGAACTCTAAAAATACTGTCCCCTCATTAGCACGATTAAATAGGAACCACTGGAGATGGATCCTGACTGTGAGTATGTGTTATAGTCTCCCCAGTGTCATGTGTGGCCAGATTTCAGCTCACTGCTGGATAAAGCCTCTAGGCTGTGGCTTTATTAAACACCATGCTATTAACCTTGTATGATATAACTTCATTCATATTATTATTATCTCTCCCTTTATGTTTTCTTTCTCCTTCAAAAGTCAGAGAGCGCGTGGTTGCCTGTCTATATCCGAGCTGGCATTCCGAATCAGATTCCGAGGGCTGCATTCATGGCCATGTTTACCCTGGAAGTGGATCAGTTCATCCTGACCTCTTTTACTACATCGGTTCTGGACTGCGAGGAAGATGAGACCCCCAAGCCCTTGCTGGTGTTCAACATCACGAAAGCCCCACTCCAGGGCTATGTGACTCACCTGTTGGATCACACCAGACCAATCTCCTCATTCACCTGGAAAGATCTCAGCGACATGCAGATTGCCTATCAGCCACCAAACAGCAGCCACTCTGAGAGGAGACATTACGAGGTGAGACAAAGCGTCCAGCCCCGCTGGTATTCACGGAGTTATTTCAGAGGCCCCTTCCCTTAACCCTCAGGTTCATTTGCACAATCGTGGACTCAGAGGAGAACCAATCTCTGTAAATCAGAATGCAAACTAAATGCCTAGAGGAGCCAGGCAGGTGACTCAAAACTAAAGAAAGAGCTGGCACCTCAGGAAGCGGTTGTCACCCAGCTTGGCCTGGTTGCTGTCCTGTGAGAACACACATGTGCCCTGTGTCGCCATAGCTCTCGTTTGTCAAGAGAATTTGCAAAACTATATATATATTTTTTGTAGAAATTTTTCAATTTTTAAATATAGAAAAGATAATTACAAATTTTAAAACATGTAGTACCAGCTACAAAATATTTCTGGAGGGCCACATTCGACCCAGGGCTCACTGGTTTGAGAACTCTGATACCCCTTTGTAGCCTTTCTGCATTACACAGACCACTGACGTTAGAGATGAATACTGTTTATAGTTATTTTATTAAGAAATTCTTTTATTCTTTTTTGTGAGAGCTTTTTATGGGGGGAGTGTCTTTACTTTTAATTGTTAACACTGACTCAGGGTAGGAGATTCCATAGTTTTATTTCATAACTAATTTCACTGTCGAACACTTTCCATTAGGAAAGTCCTCCCGCTGTCTAATCCAAATCCCTTTTGCTGCAGGTTCAGCCTCTTTCTGCTGGGGTTGTGTTCAGTGGGAGTGGAGAACAGCTGGTGACAGTCTTACACATAATAACGCTTCATACACTTAAAGACCTACCAGCAAGTCGACTCAAATAGGATGGAAATTTTAAGTGAGCAGATTGATACAGACTTGAGTTCAGGTTTATTAAGGAAAATGAGCGTCCCTGGGGTTACCAAATTGTTCTCCATGTAATTTAGGCATTTTCCACATTTAGCCTCAAGGGCAGACAAAAGACTTTAGACTATCAATGCAGTGTTTTGCCCTTTGCTTTTGTTCTCTTCTCTTCATCATAGTATGTGACAGCTGTTTTTTTCTTTCCTGTCCTTGTCTCTCAGGCCTTCCCTGTTATGAAGTAATTTCTCATTGCATGTCCAGTTTTACCTCGATCTCATAAATAGAGCACCGCTTTTCTGGCTGCTTCTTGTGTGTATTTTTTGGCATTGTATAATGTAATCTTAAAGCAGAACCTGTGCAAATGTGTGATTTTTTTTTTGTTAGAAGGTAACTCTCAATTTTCTCAGTGGAGACTATGTGCTGTTCAGATGGTGTGGGCTACAAGCCCTGGGCCGGGCGCCCAACCTAATACATATTTACATGACACCTCTAAAAAAGGCATCTCCTGCCCACGTAGTGTTTCATTTTCAGTCTGTTGCTTTGACAGCTTTGAATCGATTTCTTTTGTTCTTCAGTATTTGCCGCTAATATTGCTGCCTGATTATATTTCTCTTATCCCCTCTGGTGGACCATACATTCTTCAAAAGTAGGCGGTGTGCCTCACCTTTCTGTGTTATATACCTCATCCTTCTCTGTCAACACCTGGCGCAATGCCTACATAACACATAATAAAGCTCAAAACTTAACACATAGCCCCCACATATTCGTTATGGATTTCATGAGAGCAAATAAAGTTTAGGTATTTAAAAACATGCCTAATGGAATAGATGCCTCTAGATCAGGGTTTCTTAATAGGAGCACCGTTGCCATTTGGGATGAGTTGTGGGGGCTGACCTGGGCATGCAGGATGCTAGTGTCCCTGACTTCTACCCCCTAGATGTCAGTAGCACCCTCTCACATTACCTACTTGTGAGACTAAAAATGTCTCCTGACATTCCCCAATGTCCCTTGAGAGGACAAGATCAACCATTGCTCTAGGTCCTCCACCTTTGAGAGAGATTTGAGTGATTAATGTAGAACTGAGACAGCCTCCTGAGCAAAGGCAGAGATACTTCTCCAGCAGATCTGCTAATTTCAGATTAGTAAATTCTTTTATAAAGAAGAAAGCTTAAACATACTGATAAACTAAGGAATAAGATTTAGAGCCCAAAAGAGTGAAATCAGGTTGTCAAAATTGAGATCTGGGAGCAGCAGAAATCTGAATCCACTTTTGCCTCCGTCTGTTGAAATACCCTAGAATTAATGCTACGTCCTGCTGTAACTTGTAGGTGTGTGGTTCATATGCCTGTGTTTGTTTGCAGGTAGAGCTGGAGGTGTTCGACTTTTTCTTTGAAAGGAGTGCACCTATTACCGTCCACATCTCCATCAGAACCGCAGATACCAACGCCCCCCGAGTGTCCTGGAACACAGGTGAAACTCGATATAAGGCACCAAGTCACATAGCCCCAAAGGGAATACAAGAAAGTAGATGGGTCAGGAAAGAAAGGTAGTTTTACTCCCATTTCACACATGAGGCGACTAAAACCCAGACAAACCAGGGCATCAGATAGTTGTTTTTGTTTTGTTCATTGCTAGTGGCAGAGTGAGAAATTTAAATCCAGGATTCCTGTGTCCTGATGCCAAGTCTTTTCCTCTGCAGAAGATAAGCCAAAGGACACCTTTTGACTAAATGAAGTCAAAAAAGTGACTACTTGTGATACTGAGTTGTAGTTGGACTAAGAGAAAAAAAGTCTCCAACTCACATTCTTCAGAGGATTGGAGAAAGATGCAGCCTTTGTAATCCATTGTCCTATTTTTATGTTGGGTTGCATGGAAAGCAAAATACATAAAAGCTTTAACTGCTTTAAGTAAAAAGGCTTTGTACTGACTCTCAATTCTGAGTGGGCTCCTAACGCAAGGTATATATTTAGATCAGGTATAAATGTGGAATATAAATGAAGATTTTCCCTTTCTCACTGATCTCATCAATAACATTTAAAACATACCTGTAAGTAGCCATGATAGGCATATTAAAGAAAAAATACAAGTTATCTGTGTCTGATTTAAATCCTCAGGTGGCAGCTTAAACAAGTTTCCTCTTGGTGTGTGTGTGTATATACACATACACGTATGACTTTGTATGTATGAGAGTTTCAGTGGAGATGGGGAACGTAGGTTGAGCAGCCTTGACTTATAATTTTGGCTCTATGTCCCACTTTACCTCTGTTAGATGAATAATGAGAGAAAAGAAGGAATTGGTAACCTAAAGTTGCATAATAATTACATGTTGCATAGATTATTGCTTGAGTATAGAGACGGAGTACTTTGTACATGTATGTGTGATCTGTGACACGCAGGCTTGTTAAGGGAGCTCCAAATCTGAGTTTGGCTGCTTTGGACACCAGAATCCTTTTAAAAATGATTTCTTATAATGAACTTAATATCTGCCATCATGGAAAATTTGGAGAATATTTTGAACAAAATTAAAATCATTCATTATTTCATTATGAGGATATAACCAATGCTAATATTTTACGGTATATATTTCTAGTCGTCTTGGTTGCTTCTCTGCTGGTCCCATGATGCCTTACAGCTATACTGTGTGTTCGTGGCTTCAAAATCCCACTACCAGTCATGGAGATTTCTTGTATGTGTGTCTCCTCCCTCCCTCCCTTCTTTCTTCCTTCCTTCCTTCTCCCTTCCCTCCCTCTTTCTCTCTTGTTTTTTTCTTTTTTTTTTTTTTTTTAAGCTACCAAATTCAGACTCACTCTTTCTCTCTCTCTCTTTCTTTCTTTCTTTCTTTCTTTCTTTCTTTCTTTCTTTCTTTCTTTCTTTCTTTCTTTCTTTCTTTCTTTCTTTTCTTTTCTTTTTCTTTCCTCTCTCCCTTTCTCTCTTTCTTTTATTCATATATTGTATGTATTAGTCCAGTTTCCCTAGAAAACAGACCCCAAGACAGATCATATGTATTAACCTTATGCTGAAAACAAGAGTAAGGAGAGAAGGAAATAAAGATGGTGGTATAGCTGAGCTGGTCACCGCCTTAGATAAGATAAAGCAGATTGCTCCGCAGTGCCAATGCCTCCAGGGAGAAGAAGGAACCACTGTGTCTGAGAAGAGTTGGAGGTGGGGTAGGGAAAAGGTGAACAATCTCTGAATGGTCAGTTCATTCCCACTTCCTGTTTTTTGATTAAAAGTTTGGTTAAAGTTTACCTCACTGGATATTAACTCCCCACACGTCCAGGTTGTGATACCTGGCCCCTCTTAGAGGCCACTGCACAAGGTCCCTGGTCCCGTGGTGCGGGGCCTGGCCACAGTCACAAGGGAGGTCATGCTAGCAGGCATGCTAGAGGGCAGTTGAGGTTAGCAGCTGCATCAGAAGTTGAGACAACACTCGCGGGAGGACTTTAGAGTTTTGGAGCCTGTGGGAACTTTGGGATGGGGCTGCCCCAGCTGGAAAGCAGGCAACGTGTCAAGGCCAGGGAGGCAGGGCAAGCTGGCAGGCTTGAGAGGAAGCCATAAACTAAACCCACCAGAACACTGCCTTTAAATTTTGTCAGCTTGTTTCTTTAAAAAGCTCCACTTTCTTTCAAGATTCTCTACAATCTGTTGGCTCCCGGCTCTATCAGGTACTGGGAATGTCTGATGGCGCTACAGCTCCCTGTCTCTAACCTGAGTGGTTAGTCCAGAGCTTATATCCTTCTTGCTCTGACCAGCAAGCAAATCTCTGTCCACAGAGTTCCTCCAGCATGCTGAGTCCAAGGAGAAGGTTTTATTTTCATTCTTTCAGTTACAAAAATCGCTTCCTTATTAGAATCTGCACTAAATACAGACCTCGTTGCAAAGCGTCAGGCACTTCATGTCTATAACCCTAACCTCCACTCACCCCACTTTACGTTCTCCAGCCTGAGGGCCACCTGTGCACTCGTAAATTGTAGTAAAAGCCCTTTGGACTCTTTTGCTCACTGAAAATGTCTGGATGTAGCCTTTGAAATATTCCTTGTGGACATCTTTAAACCAGAGATCACTGTGAATGTAAAATTTGTTCTTTCCTTCAGTATTTATTTTCTGGAACCATTGTGCTTCTAAAGAACATATCACAATGAACCAGTTGTAATAGAATAGTACTAAAAATTAAAATTTTAATAGAAGTAAAAAAGCTACATTCCAGCCTCTTGAGAAGTTTTTGAAGATACAACTTTCAGAAAGTTTCATGAGTGGAAATTCATTAATTTTTTCTTTAAGCAAGCATGTTAGCATGTAATAGAACTTTCTAAGACACTTTTCTGCTTTCTCTTGTAGGTCTGAATCTTCTGGAGGGGCAGTCTCGGGCCATCACTTGGGAACAGTTTCAGATTGTAGACAATGATGACATTGGTGCTGTCCGGTTAGTCGTCGTTGATGGCCTGAAGCATGGACGGCTTACATTAAGAGGTGAATGATCCACCTTTATAACCTACAAAAGAACCCAAGAAGCATTTTCTTCAATAGCAAATCATATTTAACAAAATATATGTAGCATCTCTTGGACCCCATTTCTAAATAACATTGTCATGTCCAGAAAATCTGAAGATCTTGAAACCATCGGCTTTTGTGTTAGAATGCTCAAATCCACATATAACCATTTATGAACAGTACCACGTGCTTGGCTCATTATTTAAATCTCAGTCTTGCTTTCTGGATGCCATGCAGGCCTCCCACTAAATATACTCTTTTTTTTTTTTTTGAGACAGAGTCTCACTTTGTTGCCCAGGCTAGAGTGAGTGCCGTGGCATCAGCCTAGCTCACAGCAACCTCAAACTCCTGGGCTCAAGCAATCCTCCTGCCTCAGCCTCCCGAGTAGCTGGGACTACAGGCATGTGCCACCATGCCCAGCTAATTTTTTCTATATATATTAGTTGACCAATTAATTTCTTTCTATTTATACTAGAGACGGGGTCTCACTCTTGCTCAGGTTGGTTTCGAACTCCTGAGCTCAAACAATCCGCCCACCTTGCCTCCCAGAGAGCTAGGATTACAGGCGTGAGCCACCGGGCCCAGCCTAAATATACTCTTTAATTGATTATTTTTTTCCCCATTGGAGGACAGTATTTCCATGCTTTAGAGAAATATATAGAAAAACAGAAAAACTTTTGTTTTTAATACTTTAGTAATAATGTTCTTAGTAGTAGTTGTCATAGTTTAAAAGAAATGAATTCATAATTTAAAGTATGATAGTTAACAAAGTACTAACCTAATAAAAATAATATGTATACTTTATGATAAAATAATCCATTCCTTTTAATGAGCTCAAAGGACTTAATTCAATTATCCTCTTAGTTTGCCTAACTGTAAAACTGAAAACTCTTATCATCATTTGTGATTAGGGGATTCTGAAATAAAAATTAAAATGCTAAATTCATGATAAATTCTCCTGCCTAATCCCAGGATAGTGGGATGCTGGTTTAAACCTGGGTGTAAGAGTTAGGAGGGGTGGTGTTTCAGTTGCATGTAAGAGAAACCCAACTGCAGTGACTTAAAAAGTGGAGTTATTTTCTTCATGTCTTGAAGGCTGGAAGAGATAGAAGGAACAGTAAAAGAAGCCATGCCATCTAAGTTTGCTCCATTTAACAAGTTTCCTCAGGAGCACAATACAATTTCCACTTATTATCTTCTTACCAAACTATGTCACATTCAACCCATTGGTGCATGGAGTCTGGGAACCTGAGTATTTTTAAATGGTCATATTGCCATGGCAAATAAAACTAGGATTCTGGTAGTGAGAAAGAAGCATAAAGTGGGCAGGTAAATGTTTAATCATTTATTCTCTAAGCTCTTTAAATACCGCCATATGGTGTGAGCAGAGTAATGAGGTGCACCTTTCATCAAGAATTGTAACAGTCTGCAGGAAATGAAGCAATGTTTATTAATATTGTAGAAATGAAACAGGGAGTGGTAGACCATAGTGCAGTGGTATTCCAGGCTCAGAGGAGGCAGAAAACACTACTAACATTTATTAAACATTTACTTTGTGCCAGACACTCTGTAAAGCATTCTGCATACTTTATTCCATTTGTCTCATATCAACTTTATGAAGTTAGATACTATATTTATTACCATTTTACAAAAGTGTAACTTGAAACTTATACAAATTGACTTATCTAAGGTTATACACCCAGAAAATGGCAGAACTGAGATTTGAACCCAGTCTGATATTAGAGCTTTAGTTCTTGGTCTTTAAGCCAGTAATTCTCAAACTTTAGCATGCATGAAATGCTCCTGGAGGGCTTAATAAAACACAGATTGTTGGGTTCCACCTCCAAAACTTCTGAGGTCCAAGGTGGGACCTGAGAACTTGCATTTCTGACAACTTCCCAGATGCTGCTGCTGGTTTGAGATCAATCCTCTAAGAACTGCTGCCATGTAGGATGATAATGAGTTGAAGAATGACCAACGTTTATTGTAGGCTTACTAGAGTTTAAGTTCTCTCATGCTTGCTATGGAATATGAGGTAGGTATTTGTATTACTCAGGGTTCTCCAGAGAAACTAAACTAATAGAATGTATACAGTGTAAGAGGAGATTTATTATGGGAATTGGCTTATGTAATTTTGGGGGCTGACAAATTTCACAATATGCTGTTGGAGAACCAGGAGTAATCAATGTTAGTCTGAAGGTCTGAGAACCAGGGGAGTTGATGGTGTGACTCCTAGTCCAAGGCTAAGGCTTAAGAAGCTGGAATGGGGGTGAAGTGGGGAGGTGGGGCAGGGTTAGGACGTGGAGGGTCAGGTTGGGTGTGAGAGGGTGTCTGGTTTAAGTCCCAGACTCCAAAGGCCCAAGAGCCAGGAGCTCCAATGTCCAAGGAAGTCCCAGCTCCAGAGGAGAGAGAGAATTGGCCTTTCTTCTGCTCTTTTGTTCTATTCAGACCCTCGACAGATGGGATGATGCCTGCCCACAGTGGTGAGGGCAGTCTTTACCCAGTCTGCTAATTCAAGTGCTAATCTATTCCAGAAACATCCTCTTCCCAGAACCACCCAGAAATAATGTTTTACAAGTTTTTTGGACATTTCTTAGCCTAGCCAAGTTGACATATGAAGTTAGCCATCACCATATTAGTCTCCTTGTTTTATAGATGAGTATCATAGATTAAATGCCTTGCCCAAGTTCACATAGCTAATAAATGTTAGAGCCAATATTCAACACTAGATCTGTAGCATACCAGAACCCACTAAACCAGCTATTGTTTTTCCAGGTGAGGGAAGTATGGGCCGCTCCATTTTCCTTAGCACCTTCTCCTGACTGATATTTTCTGTACGTAGACCAGAGCTGCTGCCTCTGTGCTCCCTTGTTCAACCTGTTCCATCTCTGCCCTTTCCATCAGCGGGGAAAGGATTTCTCTTCACCGTGGCTGACCTTCAGGCTGGAGTTGTCCGCTATCATCACGATGACAGTGACTCCACTAAAGACTTTGTGGTCTTCAGGATATTTGATGGGCATCACAGCATCCATCACAAATTTCCCATCAACATCTTGCCCAAAGATGATAGCCCCCCGTTCCTCATAACCAATGTTGTGATTGAACTGGAGGAGGGGCAGACCATCGTGGTCCAGGGTTCCATGCTGAGGGCATCTGACGTGGACTCCAGTGATGACTACATCTTCTTTAATATCACAAAACCCCCGCAGGCCGGAGAGATCATGAAGAAGCCAGGGCCAGGACTAATAGGTGAGCCCTGTGCAGTTACGTTCATTTGAATGGAATTGATTCTTCCATATGGAACTTTCTATGTACCCTTGGGGTCTGCTGATATTGTGTCAGAATTTGACTAAGGTGAACATCAAGTTTCTGAAGTAAGATGATATTATTATTTCCATTGTATAGACAGAAAGCCTAAGACTTAGAGAAGTTAAGTTGATCTATCCAAGTTGATCTCTTTATCTAGAAAGTTCAAGAACTGAGCCTCAAAGTAACCATTGAACTATACAAAAATTAAGTTTGCCAAGCAAGGTGATAGAACAAATAAGTCTCAACAGAGATGTTTAGCCTATTTTAGATTATAGATAAAGTGATTTCATGAATAACATTTGTTTGCATTTTATTAGAATTGTTTCATAACTACTTAAAGTAGATAGGTCAGGAGTTTGACAAAATAGGGACCAAGTGAATAGTGTTTCTTTGTATATTTCAAATAAGACTATGTTTCTTGAAAATATTTTTCTAATGTTAATTTTTCTACATATTAAGACAGGTGTAACAATTTTAGTTTTTCTTTATTATGTATAAGCTTTGATAAAAACATTTAATGCAGATTCCTTGGGTACATATAATGTACTAGGCAGACAAGATTTTTGGAGATCAGTCCAATATCATTGTACCCCAACACCTGGTATACTCATACAAAAGTATGTGATGTTTTGTGGACCCAATAGGCTATCCTGTTCCTGGCTTCCTTCAGAGAGATCTGTTCAATGGGGTCATTCACTATCGTCACTTCGGTGGAGAAATCTTTGAAGATTCTTTTGAATTTGTTCTGTGGGACAGCCACGAACCTCCAAATCTCTCAGTGCCACAGGTGAGAGACCATTTCTGAAGACTTTTCCAAAGTCTTGTGCATAGATATTAATTCTGGGAGATGTAATTAGAAACCACACAAAAATAGGTTTCAAAGTTCAAAGTTTGAGAAGCCATGGATTAAGCAACATTAAGCAGATTTCTTTACAATAGGACTATTTCAAATGTTTACTTTTCTACGAAGTTTTGTAAATTTCTATGTATCCAGTGCTCCAAGGTTATTTAACTATGGGACCCTTTTGTAATAGAAGATTTCATAAAATCTTCCTGCCTCATGACACTAAAAAAAAAAAAAAAACCACTTATTTATATGTAATGATTAAAGTATAGGCTCTAGGGTTAGACTGCCTGAGTTTCCTTCTTGAACTTGACATGACTAACTGGACAATCTATGCCCCAATCTCCTTATCTTTGAAACAGGTAATAATAGAACCTTACTTCAGAGTTACTGTGGGGTAAGTGAGATAATACGTATAAAGTGCTGAGAACTTTTTGATACATGGTAAACATTCAATAAATAAATTAGCTATTATTTATTGTTGTCTTTGAAGATCTGAGTTTTCCTACCACTAGAGGATATCGCTCAAATGTAAAGGATGCAGAATAGGTTTAAGCAAACATTACTATATAGAAATTACAGAAAGTGGAGTCAGTATAGTCTTTGGACAATGATAATAGGGTAGACTCCTTGCAAGGAAGGGATGGTTGGTAGTAGGGTAAGAAAAAGGACTATAATAGCCATGGCTCTTGTAGTGAAATAGTGTCAGGATCAAACAAGATAGCTAGTAGCACAATGAGTACCTGGTACTTAATAGGTGCTCAATAAATTAATTCCCTGTCTCTATCTTTTTATTACTTTAATGAGAGTTTGCAGCATGTTTACTATCCATTATAAAGCATTTCAATAATTAAAAACTAAATCCAGTTATCAAAATAAAGGAACACAATGACAGTCATTTCTCTAGTCTCCTGGAGTCTGTGTCATGATTTTTTTTCCAATTATAGTATTTTGCTAATCTACAAAGTTCAGAAATTCTCTGTGGGACTTTCCAGCCATAGTGTGGATCAGCGAGGTTCCACTTAATTGAAAAACCGGATTTAATAAGGAAACAATAGTTATTGTGCCTTCAAAGAGACCATTTTCCATTCTAATTTATTCTCCAATGTGTTCTTTGTGTATAAAGAATGTACAAGCATGCTTTTTTATGCCCCTGTAGTAATTCTTGGTGGGCACATTTTTCAACATGCTTTATGAATGCCTAACTTGATGTGTCTTTACATATTTATGCATGTTCAAACAATTATTGTGTGTGTTTCTGTGGGTGAGAAAAATCCCATTTTAACAAACTCCATGGAGAAATAAAGTGTTCTCAATGTACTGAAATTTGGTTGTAACAAAGACATTATTAAACACCCCATCCCAGGCAAACAGTGGAAAACTGGTGCTCAAACAAACCCTGGGCTCTTGCTCACTGGCTTTCCCCATGTTCCTGCAGTCTACTATGGCCACAGACTTGTAAGGAAATGAGAATATAAAGTGATAAATCAGTATACAAATCACCATAAGCCTGAACTTGACCCTCAGATTCAGGCTCACAATATGATACTCTACCAGCTGGTATATGACTTTCTTGTAGGCATCGGTTCTTGCTCCTTTCTCTGCCCTGATCGTTGATTCCTGCCTGCTGTTTATTTTACATCTCCCTTTGACTCTGTGCAGTGCTATTTCTCACCCCTAGGAACTATTAATACTTCCAGTGTTAGTTTTGTCCACCCCACTTCCTGCTCTGTCTGAGATTCTCTGAGGCATCCTTTGAAATCTAGGTGGAGGTAGCCATGCATGCACAGCTCTTGTGCTCTGTGTGCCTGCAGAGTTGGAACCGTGCAGGTGTTTCCAAGGCTTTCTGCTATGCCTTCCAGAGTGGTTGCCAGAGCTGCTCCTGGGCCTGCTTAGCCACATCTGGGATGGCCCAAGGAGCATTGTCCCAGAATGCAGGGAGCAGAGACTTGAGGCAGTGCTGGGCAGTGACTCCTGGAGTCCCTCCCTTGTGGTAGGAGTGGCAGCCTAGAAGATCTCTGAAATGCCTTCAGAGTTATCCTTCCATCATCTTGATAAATAGCAACTGGATTCCTTCTATCCATCCTTCTACACAATCTCCCTATCAAATGGGCACTTGGCCACACTCTTGGTGGTCTCCCCTGAATATGTTTACATATATATATTTTTTATATGGCCAGGCTGAGAATTTTCCAAATCTTTAAGTCCTGCTTCCCTTTTGATTATAAACTCTATCTTTAATTCATTTCTCTCTCTCTTCATATTTACCCTAAGAAGTCAAAGAGAAACCATGCAACACCCTCAACACTTTGCTTAGATATTTGTTCCATCAAATATCCTAGTTCTTCACTCTTAAGTTCTGCCTTACACAAAGTGCGAGAACACAGATGCAACTCTGCCAAGTTCTTTGCCACTTTATAACAAGGATGGCCTTTCCTCCAGTTTCCAACGTGATATTCCTCATGTCCATCTGGGACCTCATCACAATGGCTTTTACTGCCCATATTTCTACCAACATTCTGACCACGACCAGTCATGTAATCTCTAAGGTGGAGGGTCTGTCTCCCACCCACCTCTTCTAGGCTCTCACTAGAATTGCCCTTTATGATACATTCATGGCAATGTAGGCTTTTTCTAGTCTGCTTCTCCAAATGCTTCCAGTCTGTACCCCTTATCCAGTTCTAGAACTGCTTCCACATTTCTAGGTATTTGTTACATAAGCACCCCACTCTCAGTACCAATTTCTGTCTTAGGCTATTTATGCTGCTATGACAAAATACCTGAGACTGGATTATATATAAATCATAGAAATTATTTCCTCAGTTCTGGAGGCTGAGAAGGGCAAGACCAGGGTGTCAATAGTTTCAGTGTCTGGTGAGGGCTGCTTTCTGCTTCCAAATGGTGCTAGTTGCTGCATCCTCCTGAGGGAACAAACACTGTGTTCTCACACGGCAAAAGGGATGAAACAGTGGACCCACCCCCTCCAGCCCCTGTACAAGGCACTAAAATCACCACCTAAGGGCTCCACCTCTTAGGACTGTTACATGGGGGGTTCAGTTTCAATATGAGTTTTGGAGGAGACACAACCCTTCAAATCATAGCAAGGGATAAGCAAAATTCAGGCACAATTAATTCTAAGAAATTGGGAAGTTTCAAGAAGATACTTTCAGGGACAGACTCAGATTGCTGGAGAAAGCAGGAGAAAAGCATCCTAGACGGAGGAAACAACATGATCCAAAGCATAGACGTATGCTCAAGGACTAGGATATGGTCTGTTGTCCACAACTAGAGTGTTGGAATAATGTTGAAAGGAAGTAAAAGATAAAATTGAAAAATAGCGTGTGTGTAAACTGTGGAAGGTCATGGATGCCATGATAAGGAATTTGAATAATTCTATACTTCCTGAGTGATTGTTGAGGATTTTTGAGGAGGTGAATTAACTGATTTGACTTGTATTTTTTTTTTAAGACAACACTAGGGATATGAAAAATCTAGATTAGCTGTTGGAGTTAGGGCTAAGAAAATGCTGTTGCAATAATATAAGGAAGAAATTATGTGAGCTGGGCCAAGGACAGTGGAACGACACTTGGGGGTAAGGTGTGGGGTGTGGTCACTATACAGGAAATTTTGTAAGTAGAAACTTTGAGACTTGATGATGTGTTATATGTGGGTGGAGAAGGAGGAACCAAAATTATGTCAAGGTTTCTAGGACTGATGACCAAGCAGAAGGAGGTATCAAAGAAAGCACAGGTTGATGGTAGAAAGGAGATGTAAAAATAAAGTCAGAAACTTATTTTGTGTTTGTGTGTCCATTCTACAGCACTCATGACTGGATTAACTATAATTGTGATAATTATATTCTTAAAATATAACACCAAATGAGTAAAGAATATTCCATGTTTTTTTGGCTCACACTCTTAATAGCTCCTGAATCATTTTGACAGAAATATATTGTAAACGATAATTTTTGGAAATCATCTTAACTGTGACTAGGTGATTGTGGGGCATTCTCTTTGGTGTTTTCTTGGTATTCCAAATTAGTGGTATATATATTTTTATTCCAGGTGGTGACAATCCACATCACTCCAGTGAATGACCAGCTTCCAAAAGAGGCTCCTGGAGCTTCTCGGCATTTGGTTGTCAAGGAAACTGAGGTGGCCTACATAACCAAAAAACATCTACATTTTATAGATACAGAATCATATGACCGGGAGCTGGTCTACACAATAACAACACCTCCATGTTTCTCCTTCAGCCACAGGTATGTCTGAAAAGTCATCATTTGGGCTATTAGTTCTGATTGGAGAGTTGACAATGTCATTATATAGCACTGTGGTTCAATTGCTTTGTTGGTCAGACATAAACTTACACTCTATTCAGCATTTACTTTTATCTCAAACTTACATCCTCCTTCAAAAGTAGTATTAATTAATTGGTAAGCGACCTGTAGCTTGTAGTGTCTTCAGTGTAGGTAGACTTAAAACAGTCTTTAATTACCTTTTCTAAACACAATGTTTAATTTTCTTTTTATTAAAGTTTATTGAGATCTTCATAGCATCAGTGATTATATTCTATTATCTCAATCCAGAAAAGAGGCACAAATATATCTTAGGCTAATGTCATATACATGGTAGCAAGGAAACATTTTTAGGATAAATGTAACTGTTCCCTTTTATGATATCAAAGCAAAAAGGTTTGTATATACTTTTTGCCATCGTGATGAAGATGGCATTGGTGATACTGAACTTAAGGTTAGAACCCCACCAACATAAAGAGAAAATATAAAGATAGAGCATCTGGTTTCTAAAGATGGGATCTTTTAGCTTTTGAAAATTTGGCTGTGGGCTATTTGATTTAATTTTTCTTACCTGGAAAGTTAACTGATATATTTCTCTTTAGACAGTTGGATGCTGGGAAATTATTCATGGTGGATAGCATACCAAAGATGACCAAAAATCCTATAGCCCTGGGGCTGAGGTCATTTACTCAGGTATGATGATATGCTAAAATGTTGACAAACATGACATAAGTGTGCTCTGAGAAGATATGGCAATGCCCGTTGTTACATCTGGGAATGTTGTCCCTTGACATGTGCCACAAACACGTGATGTCTTTATACTTTCACACATTTCCATTAAGCATGTGGCATCTATTTGAAAGTGCTTTATCAAGTTGGATATAATTTCAAAATCTTTTATATTTTATAATTCAGTACAGCCTTTTACATTGTTTTGCCATCAGCAGTACTCTGATTTGGGGACCTGGTATACACATTTTTATTCCACCAAATTCAGTTCATTCCATATCCTGCCGTACTTGTTTTCTAGGGCTGCCATAATAATGTACCACAAACTGGGTGGCATAACAGAGATTTATTGTCTCATAATTCTAGAGGCTAGAAATCTGAAATCAAGGTGTTGGCATTTCCATGCTCCTTCTGAAACCCTATAGGGGAATCCTTCTTTGATTCTTTCTAGCTTCTGTTGGTTTGCCAGCAATCTGGCATTTCTTGGCTTGTAGATGTGTTACTCCAATCTCTGCCTCTGACCTCACATGGCTGTCTTCTCCATGTGTGTCTCTCTCCTCCTGTTATAAAGACATCAGTTATGTTGGATTAAAGGGCTAGCCCTCTCCCAGTATGGCCTCATCTTAACTAATTAAATTTTTAATATCCCTATTTCCAAATAAGATCACATTCTGAGATACTAGGGTTAGGACTTCACATCTTTTTTTTTTTTTGATGGTTGGGGTGGGGGACACAATTCAACCCATATCATTTGCTACCTTTGAAAATCCTTTACTAACCTTCTATCTACTTCTGCAGACTGTATCCTCAAGACCTCATTATGGTCACAATATTGGTGATGATGCTTTAGGCAGCAGATATCTCTGTAGTTTGAGGCTAATTATGCCTAATTTCCCAATATTTATAGGTTGTAAATGAATGTGTCACTCCCATGTGATAAGTACTATTATTTTATTCATTTTTTACATAAGGAAACAGAGGCTTAGCAAGGTTAAGTAGTGAGACCAATATCACACAGGTACTTCTTGGTAGAGCTGGATTGAAATCCAAGTCTCTTGTCTTTTATAGAGTTGACTGGCTTCAAGTACTGGACATATTTACTTAACTTCTTTTGTCCTTTTCCCTCCTGATGTGTGGGAAAAGATACAGCTTTAGGGAATCTTCGAATCAATGATGGTGGCATTTACATTGTTCATTGTCAGTTAACATAATGGTTCTCTTGGGCCTAGATCTCTGAAAGTTTCTGATCCTTGCAAATCAACGCCCACATGTCCATCTCAATTTACTCTGCAGCATGCTGTGAACTATAGGAAAGTGGCCTACATGCCACCCATGCAAGATATCGGCCCCCACCTCCGACACGTCCAGTTCACATTTTCTGTCAGTAACCAACATGGCGGCACTTTACACGGGGTCTGCTTTAACATCACGATTCTCCCAGTGGACAACCAGGTTCCTGAGGTACGTACCGTGTCTGATATGGACGATGAAAAGCAGGAAAAGAGAAGGAAGACTTGAAGACTTACCGGAAATGGTAACTTTTCTTTAGGCTATTTTAAAAAAATGGTTAAACAACTAGTAAAAAAAAAAAAAAAAAGCAGGGAGAAAGGGGTCCTTCACCTCCCATGGGACTCTGTACCTAAAAGGTAAGATTTGCCAGTTGCTGAGTTTGACGTTATTTCAAAGCTTTACTAAAATCTCTTTCACTCCCTTTGCTTTCTGCTGAGTTTCACTTGTTGATCAGAGGAAGGGGATTAAATTACAGTCTCTTAGCAACCGGTAGGGCTTATTCGCTCTCACCGCAGGCCAAGGATGCTGCTCTGTAATCCAAAGAAGCTCTTTAATTTTCCAAAATGAATTAAGGTGAGCCCTTCCACCTTATCCTGTCCCACTGCCCAGTGTTTATGTAAGCCTTAAAAGACTTGAGTCTTTCATTAAAACCAAACTACAAAGGGAATGCTATTTTGTACCTCTTAACTTGAGGCCAGATGCATATTGAGAATTTGTTCCCTACATACCCATCCCCCTCCCTGCCTTCAGAATGCTAGACTTAATTAGTGTGACTATTACTGGTCTCATTTTTCTCCTTAAAAGTAGAAAGACAAAATACCCTTACCCATTCATTATGAGCCAGAGGGGACCAGAGCCCCTACACATGCCTCATTCCTAAGGAAAGAGGTCACCTTCCCAGGTACCTCCCTGGAAAACAGCCAGCACTGGTGTTCTCTATCTTGGTCACAGCTCATCATCTCTACAGCTGCCCAAGGTTGTGGGGCAGAGATCTTACCCTGAGGTCTCAAAAGGCTTACCCAACTGGTAGAAGTGGTCTGATGGGTCTAAACAATATTTTAACATAATGAGCTGCCAACATTTAAAGATCAGGAGAATTCCCATCAAGGCGGATTCTTGGCTTCTCTTGAAAAATTGGAAGCTCTAGCAGCACTGAGCCCACAGAGTCCACAGCAGAGGTTAGGCAGGGTGTGCTCTTTGGTCCACCACCATCAGTCTGTCCCCAACTCAGCACATTCATTTATATCAGTGGCCTGACCTCCCACGCCTATGAACTTGTGATCTTTGGTAGAAGATGAGCTCATGCAGAGGAATCTAAACTAGTTCCATTCTTTGGCATCTTTCATATGGGGACCAGATCATATTCTCCATGGTGAAAATGGTTTAGAATGCCTGTAGAACTAACTTGATTAGGTTTTGTTCAGACCATCCCTTTCCATGTATAAGACACAGGCCCTGAAGTAGCCTAGCATCTCAAGAAGCCAAAGCTTTTCCTAGAATGATCATGGAGAAATATTCTTTTATCCAAAGTAGTCTAAGCCTCTTGTGAGAGATGATCTGAAGAGAAAACTAAAAAGGGTAAAGGGAAAAATTACTTTCATCTAAAGGCAAATGGAATAGTTATGAGGACTTGGGCATACATTGGCAGAGTGGCTTGTCTCTCTCTCTCTCCCTCTCTCTTTCTCATTTTACAGTGTATGGGACAAATGAAATATGAATAGTACCTTAAAAGAACTGAGAATATTAGAAACAAAATTAAATTAGCAGCTTCAGTGAAACCAGCCACAGGAGTGGTCCCCAGAGGTGAAATACCACAGATAGCTGATTGAGTGATAACCATTTGGGCATGTTGACACCATACCAAACTGAGTCCCAGACACCTGAGCACTGGATTTGGGCAAGAACTAAAAAGTTAATGATTAATGAATGGGGGCAAATTAGTCTTATGCTTTTATTTTTTAGAAAGTTACCCTAAAATATATATATTTTAAAATTATCTAATGTAGCAAAGTATATTCCTTGAAACATTGGAAATTGAAGATTCTATATTGGAATACTAATTTGATATGGTTTGGGAAAATGGGCTGGCAAGCATGGACCTTGGTTCCAAGATAATACCCCTCTCTAAACAAGGGCTCTCTTTCTTTCTTCCTCCTACAAATGGTGAAAATGGAGATTGGGCAAAATGGGAGTGAGACCCTTGGGAAGGGCCTCAGTTGGGGTGGTTGTAGGGAGAGAATTCTATTGTTTCCATGCTTTCCTTTGCTGGTGGGAGTTTATTAAAGAACAGAAGGCAGTGGTCTCAGAGCTGTTGATCTCATAATGTCTGTGATCTAGGGGCTGCCCTTGGGGCAACTGTGAATGCAGCTGGCTGCTGTGGCCTGGAGTCCTGGGCAGTGCTTAGCCCTGGTGGGCAGGAGGACGGAGCAGACTCTGGAGGCTGTGGCTTCACGTGCTCACTTCCTTTTTCTCTGCCTGTTCACTGTTACTCCCCCCCCCCCTCCTTCCCCTTTGTCAACTTTTCCCCTGGAGAACATCCTCCTTTCTGGGAGCTGCAGCTGCTCTGAGGACAGTAGTTGCATCCTGGGAGAACACTGAGTCCTCACATGGGCTGGACACTCACCCCAGACCATCAGGGAGTGGCCCTAAGAGCCCATCGTTTGGTACCCAACTGTATCTGCTTGCTTTCATGTCTGTGTAGCAAAATTCCCACAAATATGGGAAAACAATAGGTTAAATAAAGTCAATGGATTTTCCTCCTCCAGGATATCATAACCTTGAATATGCCTATGTGCTGTATAAATCTCTAAGGCGAGAATATTGTATGCAACTTTTTTCTAGATTTATTTGACCATGGAATACTTCTTGCCCACTCCGAATGTGGCAATAAAACATCCTAAGCCATCCTAACTTGCTTTCTCCTTACAAATGAATTATTAATCAGTTGAGCAGTGGGTTTTTCTATTATAGACCATTATTTCAGTGGCTTTAGTTTTTAAGCCTAATGTTTGAATAAATATTTTTCCTTTGGAATCTTCAATTTTTCTGTTCTATTTCAATCTCTAAAATGTTCATTACAGTTGAAGTTTAAAAGCTCCAATCCACTTCCTGAATCTTTAAGAATTTTTAGGATGAAAAAGAGATAGATTCGTTGCTTCAGGAAAATTTGAGATAGATTTTGTCTATTTTGTAGACAAAGTATGTATGTGTCAAGCATTGGTGGGAATGGACATGGTTCTGAAAGTTATTATTTCCTCAGTTTAGCACCAAGATAGTAACCATTTTGATTGCTGATTCTAATATAGAGGCTCTGAGATAAATGAAGTGTAGATCGTTTCAGGTTTATAGATGTGTCTTGCTTTTCTATATGTCGATGCTTAGAATTAAAAAACAGTCTTGAAACAGTAATTGACATGTGAAGATGGCATGAGAAGTTTCATAGTGATTTAATGAGCTCTGTCTTCAGGAGTACCTCGTGGAACGAGGCTTTGAATGTTTCCTTCCTTCTTTCCAGGTATTCACCAACCCCCTGAGAGTGGCTGAGGGAGGCCAATGCTTCATCGGCACAGAGCACATTCTGGTTTCAGATGTGGATACCAAGCTGGACAACATCCGCCTCTCCCTGCGGGGACTGCCTCCGTGTGGGAGGGTGGAGCTGGATGGATTTCCACTAAATACAGGGGACACATTTTCTTGGAGAGACCTCCAGACCTTAAAAGTTAGGTTAGAACATTTCGTGGCTTTTTTCCTTTACATTCTTTGGCTCCCCATCTGGATCACTTGTGAGGCAGAGTAAGAGAAAGGAGTTTGTCCCATTCTTTCAGGAATACCAACATGCCACTTAGTATTTTCAACGGTCAGTTGAAAATCAGAAATGATGAATTTTTTTATTTCCCTTCAGTCCTTCCCTCTGGCTTGCTATACCAGTGGGGATGGCTTTATGGATATTTGAACAACAAAAATTAATTACCATCAATTTAAACTTGCTGCAACTGTACATATTACAAGTGGTAACAGTTAAACTAGATGAATAGAGACTGAAAGACTCTAAGATTAAGCTACCTAACTTGAACTTGGCTCTAAGAAAAGCTAATTTTATAACCCTGGGAACTCTGGGATAGAACGCCGTTTATCAATGTCTTTAGTGTAACCTTTTTTTTAACCATTCTTTAAGGGTAAGGATTTGTAGGCAAACAGGTAGGGTAAGCTGAGTAGGTAGGGCATGGAGCAGTACTTGGGTTTCTGACAATCAGGGATGGAGCAATCGCTGGCTTCATGTTCCTACAGTAGTTTTCCCTCACCTTAAGGTTTGTCTTTTCCTCTACCTAATGCAGTTCTGTAAGAAACTTCTCAATAAAATCTAATGAAACAACTCTGGAAAACAATACAAACCATTCAAAAGTAATGGTCAAGAAAACAGAAGTGCTCACTAATTTCCCACTTAAAGTTCAAGGTATAAATGGGAACTTTGGCCCTTTTGATAAAGTGTGGTGGGAGGTATTAGGTATCAAATGCTTAGTTCCTCATTTGACTAGAATGTTGACTAGAAACTAAGATTTGTACACAAGAAGATCAGTTTAAGGCTGACAGTTTAGTTACATCCTTGGTGTACAGTCCCCAATATCTTGACCTCTTTCCACTGCTCACTCTTATCCCCATTAAATATAAAATTTATTTTTTGAGATCTTGGCACTTGGCTATGTGTTAGAAAGTGACCTCTATTAAGGTAATTCTTACTAGGGAGTGAATGATGAATGGGAAAAAAGTACCAGTATTTGTCAGAACTATATCTTCCAGCATACTGATAAAGCCTTGCAATTATGTTTTGTTTTTTTTTTTTTTCATTTAATCTTCATAGTATTCAAGCCTGATATAGTAGATGGTTCTATTCTCATAATATAATTGAAGAACTAATGAGGAATTTGTGCAAGGTCACTCAGCTAGTATATGGAGGAGTCAGGTTTTGAAAGATCTGCTTGACTCCACAGTCATGCCTTTGGATATATATACTCTTAGGCCCACTTAACCCTTTTAGGGGTTTTATCATCATAAAATAGAATTAGCAAATTATTATTCATCAATATGTTTTCGATGAAAATGGCAGGAAGCATGGCAAAATAGAGCATAGGAGGTAGTGTGTGGGAGAGATAAAGAGGTTGGGGTATGTGGGCCTTCCCTACCATTGGAATGGAATTCCAAACCTGAGTGCCTGCCCAGCCTATGGGGAAACTAGTCCTGAGCACAATATCTTTTAGCCCTGATGTTTTTTCCCATAGGTAAAGACTATACATGTTCAGTATACTATATTATATTTAATGCAACTTTTATTTTCACTTTCTAGGACTAATTTCCATTCCTGAATATCTTGCAGAGATCATTGATGTTAAAAATTTGGCTTAATTCAACTCAACAGCTATTTAGAACATTGCAGGCATCATTGCAGTGGGCTGGAGAGTACATGGAAAGCCCAGAATTAGGCAGTCCCTTCAAGAAACGTAGCTGAGAATTACAGAAAGATAGGTTCAAGGTTAGACCAAGGAAAGGTATTTTAAAGTCTGGGAGAGATTAGAGAATCTTTACAGATGGAGGGGAAGACAGGTAATTAAGGGAGGGAAGAGGGAAAATGGCAGGAGAGAGGCAGTACATAATTAACAGAGCAAAGTTTTAGAGAAAAGCTGAATAGATCCAGAGCACAGGCACAAAGATTAGCCTTAGAAGTGGGGAAAGAAAGGGAATCATCAAATCTGCACTGCGTCCCACTTTTCTGTCTACTGCTCAGACTCAGGCTTCCCCCTCCCCTAGTCCCAGCCAGTGTACCCTGCAATTAGGAAGACCTATACCAAATGGTGCCCATTGTCACAGTTGCAATTAAAGGGCAGCTTTTTTTATGTGGGGACAAATTATAGATGCATATAACATATTTTTTTAGGGGGGAGCACTTTTACATTCAAGGATACTTGAGTAGTAAAATATGTGACTTCATGATTATGCTGGGTTTTTTGTTATTTATTTATTTATTTATTGAACATGTGGCCAAAGCCATGGAAGAGCTTCTGTGTCATGCATCTAAAGTTACTCTCACAGTGTTCTTGAGAGATTAGTGACAAATATTAACCCCACAGGTATCGACACGATGGATCTGAGGTTCTGCAGGATGACATACTCTTGGAGGTCACAGATGGCACAAATTCAGCAGAATTTGTTCTACATGTTGAGGTGGGTAGAAAGTTTCCTCCCTGGGTCATTGTCTTAGTCCATTTTGTGCTGCTATAACACAGTTCCACAGACTCGGTAATTTATAATGAACAGACATTTTTTTGGCTCACGTTTTGGAGTCTGGGAAGTCTAAGATTGAGTGGTTGCATCTGGTGAGGGTTTTCTTGCTGTGTCATCCTATGGCAGAAGAACAAAAAAGAGAGCAAGAGGTTGAACTCGCATCCTCAAGCCCTTTTAGAATTGGCATTAATCCATTCATGCAAGTGGAGCCCTCATAACCTAAAACCCTCCCATTAGGCTCCTCCTCCCAACACTGTTGCACTGGGTATGAAGTTTCTGATGCTTGCTTTTGGGGGGACACATTCAAACCATAGCAGTCATAGAAATAAAACATCCAGTTGGAAACCTCTCAGATTCCCTGATAGAACTTGAAATACAATTCAAAATTTAGAGGATACCTGCTTATATCCTTGTATGTCTCAGGCCAGGCAACAGGGAACAAAGTTACATTGGTGAAATGGCCATACTATTCTGTCTCCAATGCATTTAAAGATAGTATTACTCTGATCTGAAACCCACATACTTAATTGAAAATGTAATTGGTCTGTTGTATAACTCACTTCTAATATTTTTGAACTGTAATGCTCAGAAATGTTTATTTAGCAGCTGGGCAGGTTAAGCAGGCATCACCGGGGTTTTCCATGTTCATGGAAGGAGCTGTGTGCACGTGCATGTGGTGTCCCTTTGTAAATTCCTGTATAGCTCTGGTATGAGGTCTGTTTGAGATAATTTTCCTTCCTTTTGATAAAAAGAAAAAAAATCTGCACATAAATGTTGAGTACATGCCTAAAGAACTTACAGGAACCCCTGAGTTTCCCTGTTGGGTTACCCAAGCCCACAAGCATAACTCAGAGGATTTGCAGATGTTATTTATAGTTAGTGTCCAAAGAAGGTCTGCAGAAAACTCATCATGTCCCCCAAACAGCCACTAATTATTTTCCTCATACTAAATTTTTTCTCTTTCTGCTTGAATTTTGTCAGATCTTTGTGATATGGAATTATTAAATTATTATTAGTGGTAATAATAATGCATCTGTAAGATATTTTACAGTTAGTAACCAATCAAGAATGTTCATATGTGTCTATTGTTTTAAGAAGCAGACAGGGAAAGAATTTTCCCTGTTTTATAGATAAGGACACTGAAGCCCAAGAAGTTTCAACGACTTGCCTAAAGTCATCACCTTGACAGTGTAGACTGGGCTGGCATCTCCACTCTTTGTCACCTGGGTCAGTGTTCTTTCCTCCTCGCCACGGCCACACTATGCGTTACCAGGTGATTACGGTGGTCACAGTTGCCAACAGTTCCTGGGTGACTCTCTGTGCCAGGCTCGACATGGAGCCTCTTCCTTTATTTTCCCACTTAGTCCACATAATGGCCTTTGAGGTCCGGGTGCAGAGCAGTATATTATTTCAGCTTCAAAAGGGAAACTGACAGACTTTTACATACAGAGGAAGCTTTTCTGAGTTATTTTTTTTCTGTAAAGCAAATTTTGGAAGGAAAAACCTCCAACTCTATATTCCATATATGACCATCTTAGTATTATTGGCAATACTCAGTGCATTTTTTGGGTGAAAATCTATCTATTGTTAACTTTTTAAGCAAAAGAGGATGATCTTTAAAAGCCAAACAGAGGCACAATTTTTGGACAAGTGTTAGTGATTTTTTTTTGTCCCCAGAAGGAATGTTCTTAATTTTATTGCCTTTGGACTTTATTATTCATTTGAAAGCTGAGGCTCTTTTGTAAACTGCTGCAAGATGGTTATCATTGAATTTACTTGGTGAGATTCCTTAGAGTCAAGGACAATAATAGAGAGGGCCGTTAATGAATTCGCCCAGAGGACTTGAGCAAAGATACTTTTTCCTAGTAAGTCAACAGAAAAATAGAGGATATTGTATACTTTTTAACCTTTTCCATCACCCGTTCCTCTACCCATTAAAGTGTCAACAGAATTTCACATACATTTGTTGTAGAGTTGCTAGTCTGTTTAAACAGCAGAGTGAGCAGGGCATATACACATAGTTACATTCACTCTTTCATTTATTCAACAAATATTTAAGTGCCCTCTGTATACCAAGTCTTAGGCTAGATGCTTGGAATATGATGATGAACAAAACATACAAGGTCTCTGTTCTCTAGCAGTGGCTCCCAACCTTTTTGACACCAGGAACTTGTTTCCTGGAAGACAGCTTTTTTCCACCAATGGGTGTGGGGGGGGAGGGTGTCGAGGCCTCGGCTCCACCTCAGATCATCAGGGGTCAGATTCTAATCGGGGAGCGGGCAACCTGGATCCGTCGCATGCGCAGTTTGCAGTGGGATTCCACTCCTATGAAGGTCTGAGCGCACACCGCTGATGTAACCGGCAGGGCTCTGGGCGGTGATGCCAGCGATGGGGAGTGGCTGTGGGTGCCAGTGGGGCTTTGCTCACTCACCACTCACTTCCTGCTGTGTGGCCCAGTGGCTGGCCAGCTGCAGCCCAGGTGTTTGGGACCACAGTTCTAGAGGTTTCAGGCCAGTGATGAAAACAGACATGAAATAGATTATCACCAAGATAATTGATTAAAATTGATATGGTTTCTCTATAAGCAAATAAGATGCTAAAAGAGAGTAAATATTAGAAGTTGCTAAATTAGCTGAGTGGTCAAGGAAGGCTTCACTGGGGAACCCACATGTAACCTGAAGGAGGAGTTAGGCAAACAAAGAGCTGGGGATTGTGCAGACTGGGCAGGAAAAGGGAGGTGACGCAAAGACCCTGAGATGGTGATGAAAAGGTGCTGGGGTGGAAATAAAGTGGGGTGGCAAAGGCGCCCTATAGCAGTGAACCCCAACCTTTTTGGACCAGGAACCGGTTTCATGGAAGACAGTTTTTCTACTGATGGGGCGGGGGCGGGGACGCAGAGAGCTCAGGCGGTGATGCAAGTGATGGGGAGCAGCTGTAAATACAGACGAAGCTTCTCTAGCTCGCACCGCACCTCCGCTGGGCACTCCCCTAGCCACCCCCCCACCCAGCCACTTTCCTAAGTTTCATGGAAGACAATTTTTCCACGGACACCTAGGGGGTGGGATGGGGGTCAGTCAGCGGAGTTCTGTGGCCAGATCCCTAACAGGCCTCTGGCTGCAGCCATTATAGCACAGGTGAGGCCAGAGAAACCCTAGGAGAAGCAATGGGAAGCCACTGAAGGTTCCTGCAGGGCAGTGACTTAAAATCCATATTTTAAAGAGATCACTTGGGCTGAAGCCTTGGGGAAGGAAAGGCAGGTTTGAGAGGATTCGCAGGCAAGACTTGGGCAGCACACACTAAGCTGTGGCTGTGAATTCAGAGAAGGACCATCCTTCATTCCCATTTAGAAGACATGCTTCTTCAAATATCTACCCGATCTTTTAAAATCCGGAGAACCAGTGTGATCCCATGTTACTTTTCTTTACTTTCTACTTGGAGCTTTATTTTCAGGAGAGTGAGAGAAAAACATTTTTTCAAGTTGAAACCGGGCATTGATTGAATAGTTCTGGAGTTTCAAATTTAACTGAAACTGTTTGAAATGCAGCTGCTGCTTATTGTAAATCCAGAGAAACTTCCTGGGTGGCAGGAAGTTGAGGGTGGAGGAAAGCTTTGTAATCATCAAGTAATCTGAAAGAAAAATAACTTTGAAGCAGTAAATGTAAATGCATCAGACCACAAGGACCAGAATTCTTTAGGAATATGTGTGAATTTAATGAATGAGGGGCTCTGGTGAAGAATGCTTTGTATAATGTTTATATTTTGTCTGTCTAGAAACAAATGAGACTGTTGAGTCTCAAACCATGACCATATTTTCCCATTTCCACCTAAAATGTCTCTTCCATGGAGCATTCCTTACAAGATGGTGCATATGGAGAAAGTTAAAAAACACAGACTACTTGGCCAGATTCCATGGCTATCGTTTCTTGTGTCTGGAAGATTGAAAATGCCTGTCATTTTGACTATGAGCTATGGGTTACCAGTTGGGCAATTTGTCATTTCTTTCTTTTTCTTGAAAACATGCATTCTTTTCCTTGCCTAGGTATTCCCTGTAAATGATGAGCCACCAGTCCTAAAAGCTGACCTCATTCCCATAATGCATTGCTTGGAGGGCGGAGAAGTGGTCATCACTTCCGAATACGTTTTTGCTACTGATGTGGACAGTGATGACTTAAAACTGATGTTTATGATTGTTCGAAAACCTCAGCATGGGGTGGTGAGGAGAGCTGGAGTCCCGGTGGATCAGTTCTCTCAGGCAGATGTTATTTCAGGGGCTGTGACATACAAACACACAGGTAAGTGGCGGCATTGTGACCAGGCAGGGAACGCAAGCAACATGAAAGTCTTAACTCCATACCTTGCTGTGGGTTCCCATAATCAGTCTTCATACTTGCTTCCATTGATAAAAGAAGCACCAGCAGCCTGTACCCCGTTTTTCTAAGCATCATCTTCATATGTAGAAGTATTTCTGATCTTGTTATAATGAATTTCAAAGAATGTAGAAAGGACAGGTGTTACTTGCTGCTCTGTACCTGACACGACCACACAGGGTTTGCATTTTGTTAATATTAACCCCGTGATCCTCCTCATCAACTTTTTGGTCCGTTTAAAGAAGACTTACTTGATTATCATAGCCTACGGATCCATTAATCACAATAGAAATGTCTATAGTAAGCTCCCTAAGGTAATTCATTATTAAGTTTAAAATTTTATTGATTACCAGCTAGTTCCTAAAAAGTAACTGGTACGCAAGAAGTGAAGTGATAGCTTAACCCTTTGTATGACTTGTCCACAGCACACAACAGTGTGAACACGGATTAGTTGTACAGAAACTTCTTATTTGTGAGCACTGTGCATACATTTTTGGCATTGCATTATGTTGTTACCCAGGTGGCCTTTGTTCCCCATATGAGGTGTTTAACTAAAAAGAAGTATTAATTCAGTATCTGATGTCTATAAGGTACAGCATTAGATACTGTAGGGTACAAAGGAATATAAATCAGACCCTGCTATGAAGGACTTTAACTTAAAAGGGCTGATAAAACCCATTCACATGCAAAGGTGACAATGTGACCATCACATCATCTCTCAGGTCTGGGGGGAGATACCCTAAGTTATAATGCCATATATTTCCAATTGCTGGCTTTTCCCATGCTCTATTACAATTTTCTGTTTACTTATCCATATACCACATTAAGCTGCAAATTCCATGCAGGAAGTATGATTGTATATGGAAAGTCAGGTGAGTGGCACAGGAAATAGAATTTAAGAAGTGAGGTGAAGAGGAACTCAAGGAGGAGGATGGCAATAGCTAAGGATTAATCTGGAAGTAGGAAAAAACATTTTGAAATAATACTTTTTTATATATATTTTGAAAAACAATATTGGGAAATCAGTTGTATTATAACCAGTTAGTTAATAAGGCATATTGTAATCATTTCACCAGACATCTTGTTTCTTTGAATTGTGTCTATCTTCTTACTTGTGTTTAGCCTTAGGAAAGGTTTCATTGGTTATTTCCCCATCCAGGGATGCATAGTCCATGAGTTTGATGTCTCTCAGGAGTTCACAACTAGGAACTATTTCTGATTTCCCCATTAGATCTGAAATAAACAGCAGGAAAGGGATCCAAAGACCAATGACTGTTGTTTATTGCATGATTTTAATATCTTTGGCAGGCTCATGCAACACAGGTAAATTAGGGGTGAGATGAATCTGTCTTCTCATCCAGTGCCTTGTTCCATGTGCTACACAACAGGTGCACAGATTTCTAAGTCTCTTCTAGTGTGATGGCCATGTAAGGGACTATTAACTAATTTTTTTATAAGGCTTAGTAGGACATTGCAGCAAATTATTTCAAATAGATGGTTTTTGGTTATGTTACTAAATGAGAAAAAATACTGGCTTCAAAGGATGTTTTGGTATTTGAATGTTATGTTTTCTTGTAATATTCGCTCAATTACTCAATTGGTAATTGAGCAATTTAGCACGGTGCGAGGATCAGTACAAAGAACCGCAGCATGGTAGGATGTGAAGTTTCAGTGAATTATCTGGCCCTGCTCTTGCTTCTATGTGTTGATTATAAAGGCCACTGGAGAGTAATTTTATCAGCATTACTTTATTTGCTTTCTACAATTATAAATACATACTCATTGCAGAAAACTTAAAAAGAGTGAAAAAGTACAATGAAGTTTTGAAAAATCATCTTATTATATCTCTCAAAGATAGTCACTGTTAACATGTTACTATTATAATATTTTATCTTCTTTATTCTAATCATAATTTTTTTTTTTTTTTTGAGACAGAGTCTCGCTTTGTTGCCCAGGCTAGAGTGAGTGCCGTGGCGTCAGCCTAGCTCACAGCAACCTCAAACTCCTAGGCTCGAGTGATCCTTCTGCCTCAGCCTCCCGGGTAGCTGGGACTACAGGCATGCGCCACCATGCCCAGCTAATTTTTTTTATATATGTATCAGTTGGCCAATTAATTCCTTTCTATTTATAGTAGAGACGGGGTCTCACTCTTGCTCAGGCTGGTTTTTGAACTCCTGACCTTGAGCAATCCGCCCGCCTCGGCCTCCCAAGAGCTAGGATTACAGGCGTGAGCCACAGCGCCCGGCCTCTAATCATAATTTTTAACATAGTTGCAATCATGTTGTACATGCAGTTTTGCAGATTGCTTTTATCATTTAGATTATCACCTAAAAATGGTTATTAAAATATCTAGTAAATGTTATAAAGTTATTATAAATGTTTTAGTAAATGAATATTTTATTATATAAAAGTGCATTATTAAAAAGTACATTATTAAAAGTGCTATTCTCCCAGCATTAAAGATGAAGTCATTCGAAATTTTTCTTTTAAATAACACTGTAATTAATATTTATAGATATGAATCATGTCCTTAGACTGTATTCCATTTCAAGGTAAAGAATTTTTCTACCCATGTTGTAGCCTTTTTAGTGGCTTTATGTTCAGCCTACTTTTACAACTATTTCTGTAAATACATCCTATGCTTCCATTATAGAGAATAGTTAGTGAATGTGCTAAATATGCCTTTTTAAAAATATTGTCTTCTCTTCCTGGAATGAGCTTTCTATTTCTCTCCCCGACCACCTCTCCCTATAAGACCTCTCTCCTGCCTCCCAATTTTGGACCTTATCTGCCTGGCAAACTTTTACACATCCCTCAATGCACAGCACAAAGCAAGCAAAGCCATCTCAAAAGACTTTTCCGACTCTCTCTGCCACCTGTGTCCTGCCCCTATGCCATTGTCACCTAACACTCTAATCTTCTTTCATCCTCAGCACCTTGTACACAATCAGGCTGAAGTATATGCAGTTGCCCTTTAAAGGGTAAAAATGATTTAACATTAGTACTTTCATTTGTTTCTCATACATCTGTGCTATTCTAACCACACTGCATTTCCTTCTCTACTGTTATATTATATCAGCACCTGACACATCAAGGATCTTTTGATATTTGACATTCTTTTGAAATGTATTTTGATGGTTTCAAATGTCTGCCTTTTTCTTTGCTGTTGCACCCAGAACTCCAATTATCACATAGTAGGCATTAAATAAATATTTATTGACTGAATGACTGATGAATAAATGTTTTAAGTCAGTTTGTTTTTTATGAATATGAGTGAGAGGCCTTTTATTTTTGACTCTTCCTAAAGTTGAAGGCTCATTGTTTCTTTTTAATTCTCTTAATTGCAACTGTGCTTTTCCTTATAAGCCCAGTTTTCTTATCCTTTAATGATTTGCTTGCTCAATAATATCAGGTCTGGATTTCCCTTGTCATTTTTCTCAAAAGAGAAAATAATGCCAAGCACAGTGCTCTGTAGATTTGACCAGAGTGTCTGGTGAAAAGAGAAGATGTCCCTGAGCTTTTGTGCCCTCGTCTCATAAAAACTCCAGGCAGAAATTGCTTCCCTCTTGGCATTTTTGAGGTGCTGCATGAGAGTTACCTCGAGCACATGGCAGAGCTTTTCTGTGCCTTGGACAGCAAGCACTCATGCTCCGTGCCATTACTTAGAAACCCAAGAGCAGATTGTCTAGTTTGCTGATAAACTATCTAATTCTGACATTTTCTCCTTCTTCCTTCCTTTTACTGGGGCCATTTTGAATTCTATAAGTATGAGACCTAAAGAGTAAAAAAAAAAAAAAAAAAAAAAGAAAAGAAATGCCTCTTCTTTTCCACACACTGTTGCTATTTTTAAAATCATCTTGGCTAATATATAATAAAGAAAGTATAGAAAGAAATGACAAAAATGTGGACTAGCTTTTGATTTCACCTATCCAGCATCCTTTGTTTCCCATAACTGCTATGTGGTTGACTGGTGTTCATTAAGGTGGTTACTGCAAATGGTAAGACAGTTACCAAAGGGGCAAGGATGCCTTCTGCTTCTCCCTGAGGTTGGTCCTAACGCTACACAATTAAGAGGAGAGAATAAACCCATCTCTAGTCAAGCCTTGTGTCACTCCCTTGTTCATTTGTGAACTGTCAGGCCCTTGTTAGCCCTGTTTTACCCCTCCATATGGTGATAGATGGCTGGCAGGGATTTCACCAGAGGCAACAGATGGGCAAGAATTTTTGCATTATTTTCATGACTATATTTAATTTCATGGTGATAAAATTGGGTTTTACATTTTATCCACTTAAGTTCTTTTACTTGTCTTTGAATGCTTATAGAAGAGGTGTGAGTAGATTTCATCTTGGTATTCTATATTTTTAAAAAGTCAGGTGTCAGCTATAGTTGTGTCTTCCAGGTGGTGAGATTGGCCTGGTGCCTTGTTTTGACACCATGACATTGGTGGTTTCGGATGGAGAAGCTGGCCCTTTTGTGAATGGCTGTTGCTACAATGGACCTAATCCATCTGTTCCTCTTCATGAGTCCTTTCCAGTGTATGATCTCAACATCACAGTACAGCCAGTAGACAACCAGCCACCTTCAATTGCAATAGGTGATAATGTTTTTTTCTGTTAAAGTACTGTCATCTTACTAGTGTCATACCTGTGCTTCAGTAAAATAATGCATTTTACTTATAGTCAGAATAAAAAACCACCATACAGAATTGCTCTTCAATAATTGCCTTAACATAAATTTGTGGAAAATCCCAAATCCGTAACAGATTACAAGGTAAATTAAAATTTTCAATATTTCTATGTGGAGAGAGAATACAAATCTGTTTGTGTTTGCATGTGTGTGTGTTTGTGTTTTGGGACAGGGACAACATTGGAATCCTCAAATATTCTGATTTTATTTCACATGGGAAAATATCATTTGCCTGTTGAAGAGAGAATAATTTATTTTATCCATAATAATTTCTATTAGAATAGAATGAGCATACCAGAGAGACCATTTATATACATTTAACCTTATTTGCTTTTTAGAAAGTCATCTCTTCACAGGCATTATGTATATGTTCTGTCTCTCAAAAAAAAAATGCAAGCATATGTATGAATGTTATTGTAATTTGCAAACTATCTCCCAAGCAATGTTCTGGAAAGGAAGCATTATCCCAGCAGAATAATTAAGCACCAAGGCATGAAAAAATGTTCGTTATGAGCAATTCATACTAGCTCTCAGGCAATTAACACTCTGACAAACAGAGGTAACAACTGATCTTGAAGAGTACATAAACTACATTTAGTGGCTTATCATTAAAACAGTTTGGCAATTCTTATTTTCATTTGTCACTTCTGTAGAGACACAAGGGAAATCAGAGTTCCTTGAGAATGACTAAAGGGCTGTACTGGAGCAGTTAGTATTTCTGCTGTCTTTCCATTATTGTCTGGCTTGCTTATGCAAGAAAAAAATATATATGTAATTCTATGAGTCAAATTAAATTCCACCCATTACCCCTGAATATTTTCACTTTAAAGAGAATTATGTCAAAGAAAATGAACATCTCCCATGGAAATGTTTTTGCATACGGGAGGCTTCTCTGAATTGGAATTTCAATCACTCCCTTTTGTTCTCACTATTCTGATTAGAGGATTTCACGCTAGGTCATTATTGGGTTATTATTTGTATGCAGGTACCGTGTTCCTTGTAGAGGAGGGTTTCTCAGCAACTCTTACCATTAACCATTTGTCTGCCACCGACCCTGACACTGCAGCAGATGACTTGGAATTTGTTTTGGTTTCTCCTCCCCAGTTTGGCTACCTTGAAAACAGACTGCCTTCTGCAGGTTTTGAAAAAAGCAATATGGGCATAAGTATAGGTAAGTCATGGTTTCACGACCTGCAATGGCTTCTCTATGTTTAGGGATACGAAGGGCCAGATCATGCTTCATAACTGGGTAAGAACTTTCAAAATGTTCAAAGCACCATGTACGTTCAAGGAATTATTATTATTATAGTGGATACTTTTGAATCTTATTATTTTTCATTTTAATTTTTATTCTGACTTTGCTCATGCATTTGAGTTTATTTCAAAATAAATGAAAATTTCACTTATAAAAATACAAGAATAAACATTGAAGAGATAATGGGCTAAAAGGCCCTCATACCAACACTCTATACTGTGATAGGATGAATCTGGTGGGAGCTCACAGGGTCTGTCTCACAACCCTTTAGCATTTTTAATAGATATTGGTGGAAAAGACTAGGAAATACACTAAGGTTGTAACAGAGAGAAAAAGCCTGAAATGTTGAAGCAGATGACATTAATTTTGAAACTAAAATGTGTCTCAGACACTTAAATAGCTCTTGTATTTCAGGCAAAAACAAAACAACCAAAACAAAAACAGAAAGCAAAAAGAAAATCTTTGCAAAACAACACTTTAAAAATAAATGATTCTCCAAGCGCCTTTTGAGGCACATCCATTTTCAGTATGAGACTGGATTTAAGATTACTTGCATTAAAGATTACCCAATTTTTCCTGTCGCAATGCACAACTCAGAGCATTTTTTTTATATAAGGTCATGTCAAAATACTAAAACAGCAGGTCCAGCTAATTCCACTCCATCCAACCAGTTGCTTGATATGTACATCTTCAAGTAGGCAGATGATTGATTGACTCTTGTTTTGCCTTTATGTGAAAGAGGTGGTCTCTTTTTTATCTAAGTATGACAGGAACTGCCCATGCAGAAGCAATGCCTTTATCAAGGGAAGGTCTCTCTGACATTTATTCCAAGGGTCTGCAGTGGTCATGCAGTTCCTATGCATACCAATTAGCAGTTGTCACTCTTCTGTTCTCCACGCAAATTTTATCCTTCCTTATGATCTATGGATGTCTGCTTTTATGTTGATGGCTGGTAGTTGTTGCAGCCCCAGATAGTGAATACTTAGATCAACTGAAAAATAGGCTGTAATTGGGTTAAAGATTGAGGACCAATAACTTGGAAAAAATGTTTTTCTTGTTTACCTGTTCCATCTTGGTGTGCTCTAGCTTCATTTCAGTGGAAAGACATGAAGGCTTTGCACATTAACTATGTGCAGTCCAGGCATCTGAGGATAGAACCAACCGCAGACCAGTTCACCGTGTATGTCACAGATGGGAAGCAACGCTCCTTGGAGATACCATTTTACATTACTATCAACCCCACAAATGATGAAGCTCCTGACTTTGTAGTGCAGAATATTACGGTAAGGACCGTACCAGAATGTTCAATTTTTTTCTTATCAATTTTGATTTTTATTTTCACCTAGTCCATTTACATTGTTACACGTGTACTTAGAAGGCAGTATCCAGTGTCATGTAATGCAATCACTTGAAAATAAACTATTAATCTAATAATAATGATGATAGTAATGATTATAATAATTACTAACATATAGGAATTCATAGATGCAATTACTAAGTTGCATATATATAGGACAGAGTACTTACTAATTTGTAGGTTCTAAGCCCTTTACATGTATTCATAGTTAATCCCCACGACAAGCTTTTAGGGCTATGGTATTATTCTTGCCAATTCATAACTGCAGAAATGAGGCACAAAGAGGTTAACCAAGTAGCCCGAGATCACAGAACCTGGGAGTAAGTGGCACATAGGGAATGTGTACCCAGACCACCTGATTCTGTAGCATGCTCTCTTAACCAATGTTATAATGGCAGGGACTCAATTCGCAGATTACGACCATTCTTTTATTATATAACTATTTTTAAAGATATATGAAATGAAAAAATACAATTTGGGCCATTCTTTTTATGCAGCTTCAAAAAATATTTTTTAAATTTCAGAATATTATGGGAGTACAAATATTTTGGTTACACTTTTGCACCGCCCAAGCCAGAGCTTGAGAATGGCTTTTATAAAAAAGGTTTTTATATAATGTAATAATATTTGTTAGTTTTAAAAAAATTCAGAGGCCGGGCACGGTGGCTCATGCCTGTAATCCTAGCACTCTGGGAGGCCAAGGCGGGTGGATTGCTTGAGGTCAGGAGTTTGAAACCAGCCTAAGCAAGAGTGAGGCCCCGTCTCTACTATAAATAGAAAGAAATTAATTGGCCAACTAATATATATAGAAAAAATTAGCTGGGCATGGTGGCGCATGCCTGTAGTCCCAGCTACTTGGGAGGCTGAGGCAGCAGGATTGCTTGAGCCTGGGAGTTTGAGGTTGTTGTGAGCTAGGCTGACGCCACGGCACTCACTCTAGCCTGGACAACAAAGTGAGACTCTGTCTCAAAAATAAATAAATAAATAATAAAAAAAATTCAGATATATACTTAAAATGGCTCATAAAATCACTTCTCAATACCTGCTGACTTTTAAAAAATAATAATAAATGTATATGGTTAAATAAAATCAAATGTAGAGAAACATACAAAGTGAAATGTGAAATTCTCCCTAACAGCCATTACAGCTAGTCACTCTCCAATGATAAAGTTTTTAATAGTTTACTCTGCAAAAATAATTTTTGTACACATGCTAGTGATACATATGTGTATTGTGATTTTTCTGTATGTTTTTGCTTACAAATAAGGGATCATATTATACCCAATATTCTGTACTTTACTTTTAAAAACAACTTTATGTATTTTAGAAATCTTTTCATATCAATCTATAATTCTTTTTAGACAATTCTATTTTTTAATATATATGATTATTTAATCCAGACATTTGTAAAACAAATCCTGATTAAATGGAATGAGCATAGGCTTTGGGTGTCAAAGGGACTTGAGTGTTGCTTTTTACTAGTTGTAGGGTCTTGGGAAAATTATATATCTCTGTATTTCTGTTTCCTCACCTGCAAAGTGTGTGTAAAATCTTCTTTAAGAGGTAGCTGTGATGATCAAGGTAGTCAGGTACAGAGTAGACGCTTAATAACTAGGTGTCATTCATGTTACTGACATTGTTGTTATGCTTGCCATCTTTTTTCTGATAGTGACCAAAGCAAATATTAGCTATTTTGAAACTGTTATTTTGGCTTATTTTTCACTCAAAATAATCAAACTCTAAATGCAAAAGTCTTTATTTGAATTTAATTTTCTACTGAATTTTAATGGTACATGAGAGTCAGCTCAGCATGAAATTTAAGAGCCAGCTCTTGCCTTTCCTCTTCTTTTGGCACATGGATTTCTCTGGAGAGCCCTTCAGTAATTATGAGAGAGAGAAAAAAATCTACAAATGATTCCTTCTATACCTACCGCTATTGTCTTGTATCTGTCTGGGGTTGGGCCTTCAGAAGTAATTACGCCATTGGGAAGTTGTCTTTTGCTCTCTCTTAGTAATCATGTTTTTTACCTGTGCATTCCTCCCAGACGCTGTTAGAAAGTGACAAATATAGAGCCCCATGTCTGGTGGGCAAGCCTATTTTAGGCTTCAAATGATTTTCTTAGATGACCATATTTTGCTTTCTTGTGAGAAAATGTATTTATTTTATAGATAGTTGGGCTGCCGTCAAGTTGTGCTGCAAGAAGATTTGAGGTTTTAGTTTAAGTTATTACGATCCATTCCAAACCTATTTACTAGCAAATTTTTGCAGGTATATTTAGGTATATTGACCTAAAATTTCTATTGTCATAATCTACGTAAATGATTCAATCTTCAAAAAAGAATCCCACTTTTCAATCAAGTTCCATGAAGAAGGATAATACAACATATTTTTAAGTTAGTTTATTCAAAGTCTTAGAGAAAAAGGCAAATGTTAGGATCAAAGATGATTTCATAAGTATATCATTGTGAATTAAACTATGATGCCACTTTAGTCTTTAATAAGTAGAGCCAGATAAAAGAAAATCGACATTGTTTTAGCCCAAGTATCATATATGATGAGTGATTCTTCATGCAAGTTCAGTAAAAAGTGGTTGCAGGAGAATTCCTTTCAAGGTCAGTAAGAGAGGCCAAAAGGAAAGGGTGTTTTCACAAATCTAAACCATATGTAGCCTTCAAGTCTTAATTGCCCCTCAGCCATGAAGATATCCTGGTCTCCTCTGTCCTTTTGTGTTTCTTGTTTATTAATATCTTGCAACATTAGACATTTTATTCCTTGCATTATAGTTATTAATGACAGGCCTTCACAGTCTCACCTGACTTGCATTCTTCAGAATGTTCGTGTTACCCAGAGCATGTTGCATGGTGACATTGCAGATTCCCAATAAACCTGTATAGAATCTATATACTCTTGTTATTTAGATCTTGCGATATTTCAAAATAGGAAACAGAAATCTTTTTTTGTTCTATTCTATGAAAATACTAAAGATTAAGACAGCTAAACACCATATTGTCAAGTTTTAAATGACTAGATCCTACACGAAATTATAAACATTCGGCTGTCTTTGTGCTTAAAGGATTATAAAACCTGAAGCAGGGTATGAGAGGGAGTGGGAAGGGTAGTTCAGGGAAATTGGAGGTGTGAAGATTGGGGACCCAACATAAAAATACAGATTATTATGCATCCAAAAGCATCCATTTCAATTGTTGTTGATTACAGTGAAAAAACAGAAGTTTTTACTGCAATGACAAAAATAAAAAACACCAAATATGACCAGTGTGTGTAGCAGATACTTGTGCCATTTATAAAGGAGTCAGAACCATAAGAAATGTAGAAGCGAGAAGGTCTATGAGGTTAAAATAATAGATTGGTCTCTGAAGGTGGATATTCTAGATTCAGTTTTACAATTGAAATTTTCTGTGACTTCCTGAAAACAAATATCCTTTTGATTGCTTTTTTCCATGACTTTTGAATTAAGAGCAACACGTATTTTAAAAATCGTATGTCCTTTGTCCTTCATGGAAATGAATATAAGTGCTTTGAAATCTTCAAAAAAAATGTGAGGGAGATTAGTAGATTTATTTCTTCTTTTATGTTCCTATTAAATCAGCAATTTCTTTTTAGGACCTATAATATATAAATCTTGTGAAAAATTTGAAATAGGATATCTTCAAATGATTTCTTTTGAGCGGTTTGCCAAAAGAAAGACAAGTTTAAGCCGGTCCCAGTGGCTCACACCTATAATCCCAGCACTTTGGGAGGCTGAGGCAGAAGGATTTTCTGAGGCAGGGAGTTTGAGACCAGCCTGGGCGACATAGTGAGACCCTGTCTCTACAAATATAAAATACTTAGCTGGGCATGATGGGATGCACCTAGATTCCCAGCTACTCGGGAGGCTGAGGAAGAAGGATCACTTGTGCTTAGGAGTTCCGGGCTGCAGTGAGCTATAATTGTGCCACTGCACTCCAGCCTGGGCAACAGAGTGAGAAGAAAAAAGGAAAAAAAAAAAAAAAGAAAAAAGAAAAAGACAAGTTCTATTTCATGCACAGCTAACTTTTCTGACTTGTTCTTATTCAGGTGTGCGAGGGTCAGATGAAGGAGCTGGATCTTTCCATCATCAATGCTGCTGACCTGGATGTTCCCAAGGACCCCCTGCTGTTCAGCATCACTCACAGCCCTCGCCATGGCCTCCTTATCAATGGGGAGTTGAGCAAAGACCTTCCTAAGAATAAGCAGCCAGCCCACCTTGACCAGAAGTATGAACTTGTTCAAAACTTTTCCATGGAACTTCTCAAGACTGGTATATCATGTTCCACTTCTATTCATTTGTTGTTGTTGCTTTAATAATTTAACCCACACTTACATGTGGAATCTAAAAAGATCAAACTCATATAAGCAGAGAATAGAATGGTGGATACCAGAGGCTGGGGAGTGGGAGGATTAGGGAGATGTTGGTCAAAGGATACAAAATTTCAGATAGGAAAAATAAGTCCAAGAGCTCTATTTTACATTCTGACTATAGTTATTATAACAGTATATTGTATATTTGAAAATTCCTAAGAACATAGATTTTAAGTGTTCTCACCACAAAAAAAGTATGTGAAATAATGCATATATTAATTAGCTTGATTTAACCATTCCACAATGTATAAATATGTCAAAACATCATATTATATATCATAAATATATGCAACTTTTATTTGTCAATTTAAAAAACAATTTAACCCAGAAAAGATAATAATAAATCATAGATATTGGGTGGTAAAAAAATATCATTCAACTATCTTATTTATTTATCCCTCAAGGTTTACCTCTGGGCTGGCATTAGTGTAGGGCATGAAGACCCAGCTAGAGAAAGTAGATAATAGAAAAGGCAATAATGTGTTTTCTTTTACTTTGAGTACCATTAAAAATGATATTTTTGATTTCTGGAATTTTAGCTCAAGCTTTTAATGTCATAATAAAAAAAAATCCCTTTTTAGGCCGGGCGCTGTGGCTCACGCCTGTAATCCTAGCTCTTGGGAGGCCGAGGCGGGCGGATTGCTCAAGGTCAGGAGTTCAAAACCAGCCTGAGCAAGAGCGAGACCCCGTCTCTACTATAAATCGAAAGAAATTAATTGGCCAACTGATATATATATAAAAAATTAGCCGGGCATGGTGGCGCATGCCTGTAGTCCCAGCTACTCGGGAGGCTGAGGCAGAAGGATCACTCGAGCCCAGGAGTTTGAGGTTGCTGTGAGCTAGGCTGACGCCACGGCACTCACTCTGGCCTGGACAATAAAGCGAGACTCTGTCTCAAAAAAAAAAAAAAAAAAAATCCCTTTTTAAAACTATTGAAATTATGACACTAAATTTTAAGAAATTTGTCTGCCAAAATTTCCACAGTTGAAACAAATATAGAACCACATACAATAATGACTCATTATTCTCCAAGGAGATAATTTGCTCTTTAGGGAAATGGCACATTGGAATAGCTGCCTGAATTATGTTGTAATTACTCTTTTTTAAAAAATTGATCTTATCCCACATTTGACACAAGAAAATGCTTTTCAGAAATTTGAGAAAAGTATGCAGTTCTAGAATTTCCACCTGTTCTCATTCTCTTCCGTTCTTCATATATTTTTGTTTTCCCAGCCTAGAAGGTCCTTCCTTCTCCTTCAAGGGGCTGGCCAAGACTGCACCTTCAGAATGCAGCTTTCTGTTAACCTCCCCCTTGGAGCCCACTCAAATTCTCTTCTCTGTTCCTGCTTCATCTTAGCCCCTGTTTACCATATTTCCAACTATCTTTAAGTTGTTTCCCCAACTAGAGTGTTAGCTCTCTAAAGTTCATTTTGCAATAGTTCCTTAATGTCATCTCATGTTTAAATTTGAAAAGCTAATTTGTATATTTCTCAATTTTTATCAGTTGTAGAGAAATAAATTGAGAGTAAATGATATTGCCAAATCAATAACCTTGTGCTGCAAATGATAGAATATGTTGTTTAAAATGTGTTTTTGTCCAAATTTAAGACCAAGAAAAAAATAATAATTGAAATTTTACCTTCAAGAAAGTCAATTTTAAAAAAATAACATTTATTGGCTATTATGAAGTTAAATAAATATTATATGCTCATGTTGTAAAGTTTGGAATATACAGTCATTTCGAAGAAAAAAGTCATTCAAATAAATTAATATTTTGGTTAGTATTTAGTGATATTTTCAGAGATTAGATATCCACCTCTATTTATTTATTTACTTTTATTATTTTATTTTATTTTATTTTCAAGTATTAAGAGAATACAGATGTTTTTGTTACATGGATACATTGTATAATGCTTAAGTCAGGGCTCTTAGTGTGCCCATCATCAGGACACTGTTCATTGTACCTGATAGGTAAGATTTACCTCTCATCCCCAGTTCCATTCTCCCCCATTCTTGGATTCAAATGTTCTTTACATCTCTTTGTGCCAATATGTGCCCATCATTTAGTATTAATAGTTACATGTCAATAAACATCTTTTATAAAATTCTTGGTGTACATCTCTTAGTATTTCTGTAGCTTTGTAGTAAGTTTTGAAAATGAGAAATGTAAGGCCTCCAATTTTGTTCTTTTTAAAGACTGTTTCAGCTATTCCGGGTCTCTTGCATCTCCATATATATGTTATATAGGTTTTTTAACAGTTACATTTTTTATATTTAAGTTTTGATCTATTTAAAATTTATTTTGGTGATTGGCTCGAGGTAGGGATCTAATTTTATAATTTTCCCTAAGTAATTTTCTGTTTCATTTAAACACTCTGACACTTTTGTTTTTATATAGTTTATTAAATAATATACCCTTTCTTCACTGATTTTTAAATAAGGTCCTTATCAAATATAAAATCATTAAATACAGAAATCTTTAGTGAACTAAGAAGGCACTCTTTTACTTCATAAAACAAGTTTAATTTTACCCTACTGCACTGATTAATGAGCTCTTGCTAATACCAATGCCTTGAAAATTAAAACATCATCTGTGATATGTGTTGGGTTGGTTCAATCAGACGGAAGATCTACTTTCTCTCTTTTTTCGCTTCCTCCAGGAATGAGGTTGACATACGTGCATGATGACTCAGAGAGCCTTGCTGATGACTTTACAATCCAGTTGTCGGATGGGAAACATAAGATACTTAAAACCATTTCAGTGGAGGTCACCCCAGTTAATGATGAGAAACCAATGCTGACCAAGTAAGCTACCTGAAAAGAGTCCCTTTCTTATTTCTATGAAATTCGATGATGTCTGGAATGTAGTTGTAAATGTAGCATATGTCTCCCAAGAAAACAAGTCTTCAATAGTTCCCGTCTATCACAACCTGTCCCTTCCACTCAGGCACTTGGAACCTGTTGTGCAAATGTTAATATAACCTCTCCTTATCAATTAGCCCATTAATTACTTGGCTTCTCGGCAAAGGAGTGGAAGACTATTGATGCCTGTTGCTGGTACCCAAATGTCCTTTCCCTGAATCCCAAGTAATTCAGATATCCCAATTTTCCTCAGAAACAAAGCCGTCAAGTTGAACAGAGTTAAGTCACATGTGATGACCACTCCTGAGAGCTAGAAACACAGGTGGAAAGAGATCCCTCCCTCCTTGTGGTGAGAACAGAGGAAATGGCCATATAGGCTGTGACAGCAGCAGCCCAGAGAGGACGTGCAAAACCCACAGCAGCAGTGGCCGTGGGTGTGGCGGCAGCAGCTCTCTGCCCCAGCCCACAGTTACAGGTGCCAGGAGCTGAGAGAACACCAGTAACACTGGGAAAAGATGAATCTAAAACACACAATGCCCAGAACATTACCTGGGAGAGGAAGAGTGACTTAGAGGGCCAGACATTATCTAAAGATCACAAACTCAGAATATTATATGATAGAGAGTACTGAAACACCTGTAGATAAGACACTGAGTCTCTTCAGGTAAGTTTCTGTCTGTAAAATCAGAAAGATTGTAACTGGCCCACTTACTTCATGAAGCTGATGTTCTGAGTGTCAAATGAAATACTGAAAACGTAATCATTTTGTAAAATAAATTATAACTCATAAAACTGTGAAGTTCTATACACGTAAGTAATTAGAAATATCTGATTTCCTGATACCATATTCACTGTTGCTGACTCATTGTGTAAAGTGGGAGGAGAGCCTATTGCACGTGTCTGACTAATCGTCTTCAGTGCTTAGGACATTGAACAGCATTCCTTAATTGTCGAGGGTTGGGAACTGTAGTTGTCAATGTAAGTGTCCTTGCTGAAGTAGTACCTTCCATGTTCGTATCAACCCAGGCGTTTTCCTTTTCACAGGAAGGCTGAAATTGCGATGAATATGGGTGAAACTCGTATTATTTCTAGTGCTATTCTTTCAGCCAGAGATGAAGACTCACCCAGGGAGAAGATTTACTACTTATTTGAAAGGCTTCCCCAAAATGGGCAACTTCAGCTTAAGGTTAGTGGCCTTTTTACCTTTATTTTTCAAAACTTAATGTAGCAGGTATAAATTGTTCTCAATATACATGTTTCTGTAATTGAATTTATTCTCTAATAGCCATATTTTTGCCCAGAAGTAGAAAATTTAATTTTCCCAGCCCAGGTGAACTCACACTGTTCAAATTTTCTTAGTCAATTTGGGGTAAATTGAACCAATAGTAAGGTTCTTCACTGCCCTCTCCCTATAGGGACTGTCCCTAAATTCTGAAGGAGGAATAAAACAAATTGTCTGGTTTCTGAGTAGAATCTAGCATTTTTGAGATATCTTCATTCCTGCCAGACTTCTGACTTGGGATCCATATAACATTCATGTTTTGCATCCATCATCTCAACCATGGAACTCCTTCAGGTCTACAATCTCTCTTCCTCTCTCTCTCTCTCTCTCTCTCTCTCTCTCTCTCTCTCTCTCTCTCTCTCCTAAGTTCTAGACCATTCTCAGGGATATGAACAATTTGATTATTCTTTCATGACTGTCAGGCCTAGGGAAATTTAGAGGGGCTTCCTCTAGCTCCTTCTGCCTGTGGTGATTCCAGTTAAGACATTATCTGAGGCCGGGGGTCAATGTCTCACGCCTATAATCCTAGCACTCTGGGAGGTCGAGGCGGGAGGATTGTTTGAGATCAGGAGTTCAAGACCAGCCTGAGCAATAGTGAGACCCCATCTCTACTCAAAATAGAAAAAAAAAATTAACCTGTCAACTAAAAACAGAAAAAAAATATTAGCCAGACGTGGTGGCTCATGCCTGTAGTTCCAGCTACTCAGGAGGCTGAAGCAGGAGGATCACTTGAGCCCAGGAGTTTGAGGTTGCTGTGAGCGAGGCTAACACTACGGCACTCTCTCTAGCCCAGGCAACAAAGGAAGACTCTGTCTCAAAAAAAAAAAAAAAAAAGACATTATCTGAGTATTATCACCTCCTGCCTTCTCAATGGTCCACTGCAGTGAGCAGCTTTCTCATTTTACTCCCAATTCTCATCTTCCGCCCTGAGCAGGGACAATCCTTATCTCTTTTCCAGGGAGACAGCTTACTCAGCAAATAATATACCACATTGTTCTGTAGTCTACCTGAGATGCTCTTCAACGCGGAAAGGCTCTTGCCTTTATTCTGTAGTCTTACTTCCCCTTGAGGCACCAGCGCCCTCATGTTAAGGCTTGGATGGGCAAAATCTTGAACCAAAAAGTAAGCATGGGAGGAAACTTTATGTGGGGAGTCATCCCACCCTACTAACATCTGTCAGATTTTAATAATTGCCACATTTGAATTCAATAAACTGTATGATATAATACATTAACATTCCTAGATTTGTGTATGCTGTAGAAATTACTCATTTTAATGGAAAGCAAATAAGCATGGAAATATTAAGGGATACTAGGGGTAAGGTCAGCTGGACTTTACTGACATATAGAATATGTTGCTTTGTGGTCTGATAATACCTCCTTGTTTCATATTAGTCCTGGAACAGCAACATTTCAGTCTGATTTAGATTTGTGTGCATGATGCCAAGAGATTAGCCCAACACGAGTTATAGATCAGTTGCTTGAGAAGGTCCGTTGAGAAATCAGTCAAAATGTCTATGTGAATGGTGGATTAAGGCTAGCAACCACAGCCACCAACCATCCCCAGTGTGATTATTTGATAGAATGCTTAACTTGTAATCGATGTAGGCACAGTCCTAGAGAAGCAGCGAGAGTTCTTTCTGTGTGGAACAGCTTGGTTGTCTGCCGTAGACCGTAGGCACCATAGAGAATCAGAGTGAAGAGCAATCACTGATGTAAATTGAGGTACAGCTGTGTCCTTATTTCATTTCAAAGAGTAATGAAGCAGAAATGCAGTGAAAGCTCACACATTTGGGTGGCTTGGGAATGGGACTGTTTTGGATATGTGAAAATCCAGATGGGTCCGAGTTCCCAGCATGGCTTCACACAGTCTCTCCCAGTTCCCTCCGGCACCCCGAGTCTTTCTGAGACCAGGGGACTGGGACTACTGGCCTCCTGGACCCTTTCAAGGGCTGTTATATTCTTGTTGACTTTTCTTAGTTTTCCTCACCTTGAGTCTGAATCTTCTTTTCTTCCTCTTCCTGGGTCTTCCAATGATTGCATTGAGTCAAACCCACATTTGGGGGTGCAGGCGAGGAATTAGATGGAGATGAGAGAGACCAAAAGATATCTTCTTCTATATTTATTAATACTTTTTCAGACAAGATTACAAAGGGAAAAAGTTAAATAGAATTGCTGGTTGTCCAGCTTGAAACCTGAAAGAGGATCTGTTTTTAAAAATTATATTTGCAAATAGATCTCATGATGAAAACTAATAGTAGGCTTAGTATGATATGATTAACTTTCATCCAGTAAGCACCAGGGTGGAACATAAGTCTACAAACATCAGATGGGCAAAAATGTTAAAGAGAAACAAACTTTATCAAGTAGAATGACATAAAAGGAGGTGGTAACAAAAGGGGCAGAGACGAGAACAAGCAGCTCTTTTGCCTGGAACTGGGAGTCTCTGGAATAACGTATCAAGAGAAATAAAAAGAAAATGATTTAGATTTCTGTTTTAGTCTCTTACACCAGACAAGAAAAGAGCAGAATAATATCATATGTTAAATTTTAAGATGACATTTTTCTTGAATTATGTCAAAGGGCATTTTATGAGCTATTCCTAGGGAAAGCTTTATATCTTAAGAGAATAATAATGGGATTATTAATATGATACAGATTGATTATTACATTCTCTAATACTCTCAGTTGTTAGCCAACTCCCTCAGCATAAGAACCTTTTAAAATTTAAAATGCCACAATTTCTGAACCAAGGTTGGTAAAGTTGGCTTACTTTTAGAAGATTCTGATAAAAATAATATATGATATTTATAGTTTATATGTTTTGCTGACTTAGGATATAAATGATATAAGTGAGAGAGTGGTAGTGATCCTGATCATTTTCTTTGGGCTTTAGTAAGGCCAGAAAATGTACTGGAGGGTAAATGCCTCCCCGTTCTATTTTTGTTTTATCTACTTCAGATAAGACTAGTAACAAATCACTTTGGAAAAAAATAGGTTTGATTAGTTGTCCAATGATGTGAACTGAAAAAAAGGAAACTCTAAAGGAAACACATTTAATTTCTAAAAAAACCCATTCCAGCAGCTCGATTACCCACCTGCTTCATTAACTAGAATATTTAATCAGCTATGATTGCTTATGATAAATACTTTGGAAGTAGCAATGCTGTTGTATTGCCACATGCCTTTGTCAAAAACCCTTTTGTTGAAGCTAGTTTTTTTCCCAAGTTCTTGAATTATTTTAATCTATTTCTTTGGGGAAAAAAAATGTAAAATGGCAAAACCTGTGAGGGATTTCCCCGAAATATAATTTCTCTTGGAGGTTTTCAGGGGATATGGAAAGTGTTCACTAACATGGCTTGGGGGGAAAAGCCATGGGCAGCTGACTCATTCTGGCACTTTTCAGATAGGGAGGGACTGGGTCCCTCTCTACCCTGGCATGAAATGCACCCAGGAGGAAGTGGATCTGAACTTGCTGAGATATACACACACTGGAGCAATGGATTCCCAGAATCAAGATAGCTTCACCTTCTACCTTTGGGATGGCGACAACAGGTCACCTGCTTTTGACTGTCATATCACCATCAAGGACATGGGAAAAGGTAAAGGCATGTCTATGAAGGTTTATTTGGATCAATTTTTATAACCGGAAGTGAGCTGGGATAAGTACTCATGTGTTTCTTTTCCCCTCCCTTCTTTCTTTTTTTCCTTTCATCCTTCATCCCTGAAATTCCGTCATTTATATTTAGATCCTTGGGCTCCTCACCTGCTTTGCCTGGGACCTATGAGGTTCACGAGAGTAGCCAATCCATTTGTGATGTTCAGTATTTCAAAAAGCCTCTTGGAAATCCAGCCTTGCTTATGATGTGGCTGCACAGGCTGCTTTAACTGTTAGGGATTTCTGCTTTATGTAAAATTTTACCAAAGTGATGCAATAACTCTCTTCGGTAAGTGATCTATCACTTAAGAATGGAGTTTCAAAGAACAAATATTTCTAGTATCATGATAACAAATACATTTTAAAACTTAAAAAAATAACAAAAAGGAACCTTCTCATTGAAAAGGCTGTAAGTTGTTACTCTTTTCACTTTGAAGGTGCTGATATACAGACCTTAGGGACAAAGGAAAACCCTATAAGATAGTAAGCTTCTCTTGAATTAATCAAACAGAATTATTTGTATAACACAATTCAGCAACTTATAAATGGTGGCTGGAAGAGAGATTTAAAAACAAAGCTCATTAAGAGAGAGTTTAATGCCCTTGATGCCCAACTATCACTATCCTATAATTTTGCTTATAGCTTATGTGAAGAGGGTAAGGATATAGCTCATTCATCTGTATAGTTCCAGGATCTAGAGAGTCCCAGAACCAAGCACAGTCTTAGATCCTCAGTACATGCTTGACTAAATAGTAATAACTCTTCTACTTCTTCTTCTTCCTCCTCCTTCTTTCTTCTTCTTCTTCTTCTTCTTCTTCTTCTTCTTCTTCTTCTTCCTCTTCCTCTTCCTCTTCCTCTTCCTCTTCCTCTTCCTCCTCCTTCTTCTTGTTTTTTTGCCTTGGCTGCCAGGAAGCTCAGAGCTTAATTGGATGCCTAAGTTCAATTAAAAAAAAATCTGACTTCATGTGTGGTAGAATTACAATTGTCCTAATCTTTTAAAAAAAATTTCAGTCAGCTTGATTGATCAATCTTGAGATGCTTATTTTAGGCTGTATAATAATATATTTTATTTGCTTATATCCTGGTTGTAAACTGTGTTCCTTGAAGATGTCTCATAAGTGACTTTCAGATAAGATAGATGTTACTGTACACATTTATTTCTCTCTTCAAAAATCTATTCATCATAAGTATATATCCAGGCAAAATGTAATAGAAATAATACGTTATGGCAGACAACTAACGTTTTAGTGTAGGCTGTGTCTTCTCACTGGCTTAGCGCATGGCTTCACAGTGCCGGAGGAGAGCTCTGTTCCACAGTCCCCTGGGGACTCCTGTTATCTAGACACTCTCTCTTCTCTGAGGCCCTTGGAGTCACTCAGGAAGTGAGATGTAGAGGAAAATTAGAGGATTTCATGGACTAGGCTCAAAGGCTGGACCTCTCTGGTATGCATTCCAGTGGCTGGGTCATGGTCACGTGCCAGATGAAGGGAGGCTGGGCTTGGAACTTGAGCTGTGCCTCCAGGAAGAGAGGAAACAAGCTGGCCAGTGCCTCACCAGACTCTGCCGCAACTGACATATGACCGTGTTCTTAAAGGATTTATGAAAGCCTGATCCATATAGATATATTAACCTATTATCATTTTCAAAAGTTCAGAAATTTTCCTCTTTGATTCTTTTTACATAGTGATGTTTTATCACTGTACAGTGTTGTATCATGGTTTTGTTTTTTAATTAACATGAATTTTCTCAGGTTGCTGATGACTTTATAACCATAATTATCTCTAAATGAAACTATACTGAATAGTTAATCATAACATTAATATTTGCGTTATTTCCATTTGGGAACTATTATAAATAACATTAACTCTTCTGATTTTGTTGTGTCTCCTGATTTGCATATTTGCAAAAACAGTGCAGAGATCTTTCAGAGAAGTTTAGGAGGACGTGGTCTAAAGTTGACCGTAACCCATACTCTGTCCTCACAGTGCTGAAAATTGCACTGTGGCAAGAGGTAGTTGCTCATCCTCTCCTCAGACCCATTTCTTCTCCTGGTGAAACCTCTCGTGGGTGCTTATTTGTTTCCCTGGCCTTGTTCATGTTTCTTATTTGCTTCATGTTTTGATCTCACTTCACCCTGTAGCATCTGTGCCTTGAAGATCATCCTAAATTTGGCTTAAATTTAGGATGGTCTTTGACTCTATGTAGATACTATGAAGTTGCATAACATTTTGAGATAAATGCATAGTAAAGCAAAAAGACCAAATCAGTCATTTAAAACAGGGTTTCCCAATCTTGGCACTGTTGATGTTTTGGAATGGATAATTCTTTGTTGTAAGGGACTTCCTTATGCATTGTAGAATGTTTAGCAGCATCTCAGGCCTCTGCCCACTGGATGCAAGTATTAATAGCAACCCCCAGTTATGACAACCAGCAATGTGTCCAGACATTGCCAAATGTCCCTGGCGTGGGGGTGGTGATGGCAAAATTGCCCTTCATTAAGAACCACTGGTTGAAATGATACCACTTTCCTGTTTTGTTTTCATTTCTTGTTTCCTTATGAGACTGAATATCTTTTCAAAATTTTATTGGCCATTTGTACTTTTTTAATTCAGAAACGGCTTGACATTTACTTCACGTATTTTCATTTTGGGATATTCACTCTTAGTATTGATTCATAAGAACTCCCTATCTATTACAGAGAGGGAGCAAAGTAATACAGTATTTAAGAGCCTGTGCTCTCAAATTAAGATGGTTTGAGTACGAATTCTTGCTCCACAGTTTATTATTATCTCCTGTGGTAGAAGTGCAAGTGTTTCTTTCAAGTACACAGCTCCAGTAGAATCACTGGGTCAGGGTGTATGTGAATATCCAATGCTTTACAAAATAATGCCAAACTGTGTACCAATTTACACTCCCTCCAGGACTCTTTGCAAGGTTCTCTTGCCCTACATCCTCTTCAGCACTTAGTACAGTCAGACTTCTACATCTTTGAGTTACAACCAAAGAGTTACGAGATGGCAACTTATTGTGATCTTGTTTGTATTTCCACAATCATTAATGAGATTGAGCATTTTTATATCTTTATTGGTTACATGTGTTTCCTCTTCCTTGAAATATCTGTACATATCTTTCGCCTAATTCTTTTATTAATAATAGCTATGTAAACCTTTCTATGTCGTGTTAGTTTTGATTTTTGCACAGTTTGACCTTTGTCTTCTCCCTTTGCTGGGGACATTATATGTTTTTAAATGTGGTTCTTGGCCACAACCTCTTCTGCCACACAGGTGATATCGTCATCCTTACAAAGCCACTGGTGGTGTCTAAAGGTGACAGAGCTTTCTTGACAACCACCACTCTCCTGGCTGTGGACGGAACAGACAAGCCCGAGGAGCTGCTCTATGTTATCACCTCCCCGCCGCGACATGGCCAGTTGGAATATGTTCGCTACCCTGGAGTCCCCATTACAAGCTTCAGCCAAATGGACGTAGCAGGGCAGACGGTTTGCTACATACATAAGGGCAAGGAACCTGTCCCAAGTGACACGTTCAGGTGAGCCCTATGGAAACTTTTCTGACCCTCTTCCTGGGATTAATACTTAGAAAGAGAAAAAGCCGGGAATGGTGGCTCATATCTGTAATCCCAGCACTCTGGGAGGCTGAGGTGAGAGGATCGCTTGAGGCCAGGAGACTAGGCTGAGCAAGAGCGAGATCCCATCTCTGCAAAAAATAGAAAAATTAGCCAGGCGTGTAGTCCCAGCTCCTTGGGAGGCTGAGGGAGGAGGATTGCTTGAGCCTAGGAGTTTGAGGTTGCAGTAAATTATGAGATGCCACTGTGCTCTAGCCCAGGCAACAGAGTGAGACCTTGTCAAAAAAAAAAAAAAAAAAAAAAAAGAAAGAAAGAAAGGAAAGAAGGAAGGAAGGAAGGAAGAAAAGGAGATATATTAGTATGTTGCACTATAGTAATCATTTTACAAAATACATATATATCTCATAACATCATGTTGTATACCTTAAGTATATATAATAAAATTTATTTTTTAAAGAAAGGAAAGAAAAAGAGAAAAAAATGAATACTTTTCCAGCTTTGGTATAGCTGTGCTTTTTTTTCTATTGCCTAAAAGTGCACAATTAAAATAATAGCAGCAAAGGAAGACATTAGGGCCTGTTGTGGAAAAATAAATGCAATAAGAAGGCCTAAATGCAAGCTCTTCTATGAGGAGAAGTGTGAAGAGCTGAGGGTCCCAGCTAAGGATGGATGTAGAAAAGTAATTTCTCTCTTTGGAGTATGTTTGTCTATCTGAGGAAAAGGCATTTATTAGTAAACATTTGGCATAAGCAGACACTGCCTTTTGACACAATGTGTTCGGGTAACTGTATCATAAATCATGTTGTCATAAAAGTGGATCATATTTCCCCATAGAAACAATGGTGTAATTGGGGGCTGTGCACCTGTTCAAGGATTCTGTATCAAATAAATCACTGGAGTGACTAACAGTCTGTGGTGAAAAGGCAGAGATAAAACATTAATGAAAGTCTACATTCATTTAAAATATGGAAATGTGTTTCAAGTCACATAAAGCAAGAGCAACTCTAGAAGATCTATAATCTAGCAATTCTCAAAGCTGGTCAGACTTGAGGCCCTTAATAGAAATACAGATCCGTAGGCCAGGGACAAGGACCAGGAAATGTTGGACTAGTCTTTGAAGGAATGGTACATAATCCAAATTTGAATTTTACTCATTAACAAGACCCTGAGAACACTGATTTATCTGCCATACACCAAGGCTTTTGGCCCCTGGGGTACAATTTTCACCATGTCACAATACAACCTTCTAAAAAGTGCTATAAAATAACATAAATAGAGCACACTCCTATATTATTCGATGGGTTCCCATGAACTATCCAGTATTACCAATACACCCATATTCAAATACCTACCACTCTCCTCTCTCATGCATTTTGTCTATGTAAACTCAGTATGTCTGCTATTATAAACACTGTTTAAAGGTTGGCAAAAATTATTTTGTTTACCTTTTTAGCATTTAAAATGATTTCTGAGAGCTGATTTGCATAGTCTAATTCTTAAACAAAAAGCCAGGAAAGCTGAACTAAAACGTTCTTTTTTGTCTTGATAAATGTCCCTCACCAAGTAGGTAATCATTTGATCGATCAATATCTTTACCAATTCAGTGCTTGAGGGTTGCTAGGCATTAATTAAAACATTAAGAGTAGAGATTTCTGGCTGGGCGCGGTGGCTCACGCCTGTAATCCTAGCACTCTGGGAGGCCGAGGCGGGCGGATTGCTTGAGGTCAGGAGTTCGAAACCAGCCTGAGCAAGAGCGAGACCCCGTCTCTACTATAAATAGAAAGAAATCAATTGGCCAACTAATATATATATATAAAAAAAAATTAGCCGGGCATGGTGGCACATGCCTGTAGTCCCAGCTACTTGGGAGGCTGAGGCAGAAGGATTACTTGAGCCCAGGAGTTTGAGTTTGCTGTGAGCTAGGCTGACGCCACGGCACTCACTATAGCCTGGGCAACAAGCGAGACTCTGTCAAAAAAAAAAAAAAAAAAAAAGAGTAGAGATTTCTTTCTGAGCTGGTTCTTTCATTGGAGAACTAGTATGGTATAGTTGTTAAGGAAATTACTCACAAGTCTGTGGTCTTCATCAAGTTATACAAGCTCCTGGGCTTGTTTCCTCTTCAGTGAAATGAGATGATGCTCATAGCACCTGCCTCCCAGGGTTGTTGGGAGGTTTAAATGAGTTTATGTGTGTAAAGTACTTAAAATGATATCTGGCACATAGGAAGAATTAAATTGGTATTAGCTGCTAAATCAGTATTATTATTATTACTGTTATTGTTATCATTGTTTATTACATTCTTTCCTTGGCTCCTTCTTACCGCTGCTCTTTATTAACATCAAGCATGATCTTGAAGGAGGGAAAAAGGTACAGAGAAGAGCAATGATTCTTCTTCTTTTCTTGTTTGCTAACGAAGGCTGGGTGCTTCTTGGCTTAATACATGTGTATCTGATCCAGGGCTTTTAATTTTACACTTGTTTCTGGAACTTCTTGCTTTTCTCCCTTCCTGCTTCCCTCAATCAATGCCCACAGGACAGTCTGCTGAAGATATTAATGACTGTGTTGGAGAAACCAGTGACCTTGCTGGAGAAGCCAAAGAATGAACATGTAAAGATGCCGAGAAATGAAGGTTAGGTACTGATCAGATGCTGAGACTAAAAAACAAAATCTCCCTATGTAAGGATTGGTGATACTGTAAAAATGTCCTAATTTTCATCCAGAGAAAGTCATATGAGATGGCATTTTGGAAATCATTCATCCCAGGAATTTCTACATTTCTAGATCCTCAGAGAATCACCTGGGAGAATTACAAAATACTAATTCTTACGCCTCACCCCAGAGAGGCAACTTTGGTAAGTCCAGTCTCAGGCCCAGATCTGTATTTTTAGAAGCTCTCCAGACAATTCTTGGTGCAGTCAGGACTAGCAGTCGCAGGTCTGGTCCAGTCCATTGTTCTGAGGAGCTCTGAGAATTTATGGAAGCCCTCCCAGGGCCTCCCAGAGATAGAAAATGAAGAGCTAAATTGGTGGAGTTCTGGGGCCTTCAGACAAATGTACTGATCGAACTTTGTTCTGTTTTTGTTTTTTTTTTTTTTTTTTTGACACTTTGTTTTCTAGTTTTTTTTTGAACACTGGGCTTCTGGGCAAGATTTTCTTTTAGCAAAAAGGCTGTGACACCTTAGCAGGTTGTGTTAAGTCTTTAACAGCTCTTCCTATTGATTGTGTTCCCTTTTAAACAAAGAGAGTACAGGCCTCAGGTGTCAAGCCTTTGGGCAGCAATATCTAGCTAGAATTAAAGCACTACTTTCTTATATTCACTTTTGTAGTATTTATGGTAATTCAGTTTTTAGTATTTAAAACTTTCAGTTCTAGTAGTTAAAATATCTCCTTTTAAATCTTTTATTTAAGTAAAAAAGTGAATTGATATAAAGGAAAATAGTAAGAAATGAGTACAAGTAGTACAGGCATATGGCAAAAATGATGATGGTGGAATTTGAATGATTTAAGATTAGGAAACAGGGCCATAGGGAGAAAACGAACAACGAAGGTTGAAAAACATTGGTTTGGTCCAATCCCTTCATTTACACGTAGGAAAGCTAGTATTGCTTGAACATCTGCAATGCACCAGGCAGTGTACCAGACTCTTTTTTGTATGTTAAGCCTTAAGCTTTAAACTGTCACCTTGAGAGAGATGTGATTGTTCCCATTTTATGCATGAGAAAACCAAGGTTCCAAGAGACAAAGAATGTCACCTAAATTGACATAAATTGAATCATCACTGAATCCAGGGCTGAGAGCTCATTTCCAGTGGAGAATTCTTTCCATTATACTTTGTTTTACCAAAAAAATTGCGGGGAAAACTCATGTGTGCAAAGGAACCTCCTCAATGTGTCATTCTGATATTTGGCCAGCAGTTTTGCATATTTATAATGGAAGAGCCTAGCATCTGCCTAAGACCTGCATTTTAATCTTGTCGTTTCTCTAACCCAATCATGGACTGCCGTGTTGTTTGTCAAGTGGAGCTAAACCAAAGCCGAAAGCCTGTTTTAATGAAAGTGTGATCATGGTGCTTTTTAAAAATTAAATATATGCAACCAATCTAATCACCTAAATTTATGTTGTTTGCTGTTAAATTTGGCAAGGAATTTGGCTGGGTAGAAGAGATAAATTCTGTGGCAGAGGATTTTTTTTCCTCCTCTTCCTTTTTAATGTAAGATATGGCAGCATTAATTAAACAGGGGAGTTTAATAGTCAGATTTTACCTTCTGCAAAAATATTTTGTGAATCATAAATTTCTCCTGCATTGTTTGGTGCTGCTGGCCTGGAAGAAAGATTTGGCAGCATGTTCTAGGACAGATGACACCAAGTGATTAGCAAGCTGACTTCAGCTGCTGGCAGCCGGGCACTAAAAGAACATGCTAATGTCCTCCATTTTGACATGCCGGCTGGACTTTTTTTTTTTTTTTCCCGAGGAGCTGGCGCTATTTATGATTCCATTTTTATCTTTTAAATGCCATGACAGATGGCAGATTCTTCAGCCAACTCTATTGCCAGGAAATGCAGAAAGCTTGAAAGCACCGTGATAATGGTGAAATCAGACCAGTCAGGCACCCCAGACAAATCTGAGAGTCATTCCCCAAATTTCATGAGAACGGTGGTCATCTTGGCTGCGTCCCTTTTCAGGAGACTGTAAGAAGGGAAATTAAACAAAATAGACCCACAGAAGGAGCTGCTACCTCGACACCACGAGCTTCTTTATCTCAGAGTGGATACCAACATTGCGATGGCACTATTGTTCCAAACCTTTACAACATATTTGGAGGATTTTTTGAGGGAGGGGGAGCATTTGGAAGATCATCTGGTCAACTTCTGCAGACATGAGCAGCATTGACCTATTTTCACCTGCTTTGCTGGCTTTATTTTGACTGGGAACCCAACCATAACCATTCACTCTGTCCCTCTTGCTGATAATGTTTTTTTTTTTTTTTTTTTTTTGCCTGTGAGTGGTTTGCATTGTTACTTGTGAAAGTGGAATGACATATTTGATCCAGTCATGTTTAGAAATTGCATTTATTTTCACTCCTGGCTTATTAGCTTTAGGTCAGTGCAGACAGCTGCCTCGGTGTCCCAGCTGGGAACGGTGGCCTCAGTAAACATATTTCTTGCTCCTCTGTGGTCCCTGGTCTGCTTGCCCCCATGCCCATCTGTCTGATGGCAGACTGCCTATTTCCAACGTGGTCAGGTCCCAGTCATCAGGCAGGGAGGAGTTTGAGGTGGACAGCCTGGATCATGAGACAACCTCAGTGTCCTCACAAAGGTCACACACACATAGAGTAAATGTGGCTGTCCTAAGACTGAACTTGGAGGACCCTGTCAGGCAATTTTGGAATTCAGTCTCCATAGAAGCAAGTCAGAATCAGACATTAAAGATGGCCGCCTCTGACGGAGCTGCTGGGACTCCCGGGAGCTCACCTTCAACCCTGTTGCTCCTGATCCCATTTCTCCCCTTCTTTCCCCTTCCTTCTTCCTTCTTCACTGATGTTTGACAGACTTTTAATGGGGCACAAAGTCTAACTCCACAATTACTGATAATACTAATAATACGTGACCTTTGGCTTTCGTTTGTACTAGACTATGAATGGTTGATTTAAAACTCTCCACATTTGATATGGGGACCTGGTAGGGAATAGAGAGCTACTTTATTTGTAAAACAGCATAGAATGAGAGGCGTGTGAAATGTATTTCTGGATGGGTAAAGTGAAAAGCGAGAATTTGGAACACCTAGCCTTCTTTTAATTTTACGTTGAATCAGACGATAGAATCTAGGGGGAAATATAAAAAAGTAACCGGAAAACAACAAAATAAGGACATAATTTCATGAAAGGCTTTGCCCGAGACATAGAGCCTAATTTTTATGCCTAGAAGTGAATATTGCTTGACTTTTGACTGGTGAAGGGAAGGTGGCTAAATTAAAAAAATTGAACAATACACACTTTTCTAGGTGCACCCTTTTTTAAATAAATAACTAATTTTGCAAACACTTCATGATTTAGCAATGAAATTGCCCATTTGCTTAGAATATAATTGATCAAAGCTTTAGAATACAAAAGGAAAACTATTGGTTTGTTTTAAGGAAACTGTGATTTTGCTCCATCTACAATTCTAAAGATAATTTAATATCCTGATTCAAACTGCAAAAATGATGCTGTGACAAAAGAGTAGGTTCCATCCTTTACAAGTCTAGGTGTATCCAATGTCAAAATTTCCTTTATTTGTTATACGTCACTTAGCAGTTTTAACTTTTTGGAGATAAATTCCATTGTGTTTGCATCACATCACTACCTTCCTTGTAGGTAGTCTGATCGAATAGATAATTAGAAAGCTCAAGAACTTGAGCCTAGCCTTCAAAGCAAAATCTGTAGTCAGCTAAACTCATCTTCCTCTTCGTCCAGCTGTTCCTCTCCCTGAGTCCTTTGCCGCAAGCAGTGGGTGATCCTTGCACTCCCATAACCTGGTTCAGGTTCCTTCATGGTCAAAAGTGAAGCATCAACCCTTGAATCCTGAAGAAACCTAAAAGAACAAGACACCTTTCACAAACAATAAAGAAGTTGTTAGTCGAATTTGCCAGATTAATAAAATAAATATAATCCTCATACTTTCTATAATAAAGAACCCCCCAAAAGGAAATTTTTATATAGTTTATATTTCACAAAAATATTACTTTTAGCAATTTTTATATCAGTGGGATATGAATGTATCCTCCGTGAATATTTCTACACTGTGGTGGATTGAGAAAAACGAATGGCACAGCTCTACAGTTTTTTTTAAGTACATTTCTTTGGTGTGTGGTGAATGTGTCAATCCCAGATAGTAGTGATTTCCCAACCTTTTGGAGTTTTAATATTGTATCTTCTTTGCATCTTTACATGATATTCTTAATTATCCTTAAAATAGAAATTATATATTGAAATTTTGTAAATATCATTTAAATTAGTGTTATTGTGAGATTGGCAGTAACCGGTAGAATATGATTTAGTGATCAATACAATCAAAAGCATATTATGGTATCACAAACCCAAGATTATAAGGGAGATTTTGCTCATCTTGAATGTGTGTCATTTCATCTTTCTCTTTATAGTTTTGCAATGGTGCTTAGGTGCCATAATTCTTTTGTGGTGGATTGCTAAAGCAGTATTTATTAAAAACTCTGCAAGAGCAGAGGGTGTAGGGTCAAAAGACCTGGGTTCTAGTCCCAGCTCCAACTACTATTATACCTTCCTTATGATCTCCCATGAAATTTCTGAACATTCTTTGAAGCAAAGAAACAATTCCTGTCTAGCATAACTCCCACATACTTTATAAGGAACAAATGTAGAAGCATGTGTAAACTGTAAGAGATTAGAGCCTCATATAATATTTTAGAGTTGGATGATACTTAAAGACCATCCTTTCATTTTATAGAAGAGTGAGAATGAGGTCCAGAAAAGGGAGATGAGTTAGGTAAAATTACATGGCAAGAAATGTGATCCACCCTTAAGAAATTTACCATGAAAAGATGAATAGAATGAATTAGCAAATTTAGCCTATTCAATACTTTATTGTATTGGGGTCCCAATTATCGCTATTAAAAGTTAAGCTTATTGCATTTCTAGGTAGGATGTACAATTGCAAAGTTATAAATAAATAAAAGGAGTATGCTCTCTAAACTCAAATATAATATAATATAATAGGTCTTATTATATTAATAAATATAATATAATAGGTCTATAATAGATTGGATGGGCAATCCCTGTTAGGTGCAAGGAACTACCCTAAGCGCTGACAAGGCTGAGAAATATCGTTGGCAGAGTTTCCAGCTCCATCACATGGGTGTACCATTAATGTTGTTGGGAAAATGCTTGTGGGCATTAGAATGGTCAGTTTACATGTTACCCAGTGACTGGTTAATGATAGAAAGGCGTTCTCCTGAAAGATCTGCCCTTGATTTTTTCATTTGAGTCACAACACGACATACCCTTTAGTAAAGGTGTGTATTGTTATCATTTCATTCCAGTAGATGGTGACACAAGAATCCATGCTGAAGGCTGCCTTGCCTCTCTTTGCCAGATTCATCGTCAGCAACGGGCTGCGCACCAAGCACGGGGTGCTTGAGATCACGCTGGAGACTGTGGACAGAGCCTTGCCCGTGGTGACCAGGAACAAGGGGTTGAGACTGGCCGAAGGGGCCATGGGCCTGCTCTCGCCTGACCTCCTTCAGCTGAGCGACCCTGACACGCCCGTGGAGAGCCTCACCTTCCTCTTGGCTGAGCTCCCAAAGCACGGCCAGCTCTACCTGCGGGGGACAGTGCTGCTGCGACACAACTTCACTCAGCAGGATGTGGACAGCAGGAAGGTGGCCTACCAGCACTCCGGAGGGGACTCCCACAGTGACTGCTTCACTTTTGTGGCCACCGACAGGACAAACCAAGGCTTTGTTGTGAATGGGAGAGTGTGGGAAGAACCCGTTTCATTCACCATTCAGGCAAGTATGACAAACACGTAGATCATAGCCAGAGATGTGACGAAAGCAACTTTAAGAGCTATTTCCTTATTTCCTTCCCTCTTTCATTCAAATACGGGTTGTGTATCTACACCATGCTGGGCATATTGGGTGACCAAAACAGACATGGTCCCCGAGTGTGGGCTACTGGCTAACCCTAAGAGGTGGTTATAGTACAGAAAGGAGGAAAACAAAAAAGGGCTTTGTAGTCAGCAGACCCAGGTTTGCATTTCTGTTTGCCATTTATTAACTGTGTGACCTTAAAAGACTTCTTTATCTCCTCTGAGTCTACTTTGCCTTCTTTGAAAAGCATGCCTGCAGCACTGTGGTGAGAATCCAGTGCAGTTAGGTAGTCAAAGCAGTAGCATATTGCCTGAAACACAGATGATATTCAATATCTTGTGACTACTGTTACATGGTGTGACTTAACTGTACTCTTATGATGATGCTTATTGGTCCATGTCATCTACCGGCATTGTAATGGCTTTCAACTAATATGCAAACTTACAAGGCAGCATCAATATCGCATGTGTAATAATGGTGAGGATAATAATAGCGGCAGCTACCATTTCTTTAGTGTTAACTGTGGGTCAGATCCACTTTATATAAATCTCATTTGATTTTCACAAAAATCCTATGAGGTAAGTTTTATTGCCTACATTTTCTAGGTGAGGGAACTGAGGTTCAGAAGTTAAATAATTTGATCAAATATACACAAAGACCTCAAGTCTTTCTGATTCCAAATTCTGTGTCCTTTCTCTGACACTACACTGCCATGTTTGTTGACTATTACAATGATTCTTGGAGGGCATAACATGTTTTTCTTTTCTGAGTCAAAATACATCAAATATATTCTGGCTCTCAAATCTTTGAATCTACTTTCCTTGGAAGTAGTTCACTCCTTTTCTACACACTTCCACCAATAGCAAAGCAGATATAAATTTTTCTCTTACTTCAGGATACTTTATGACTATAAAATAATCATATTTTCCCTTGGTGTTATACATATATACATGTATGTAGTATGTATGTATGATCAATATAGACAGATATGGAGAGAGATAAAAACAGAGAGAGATTTATCTTTTTTTTTTTTGAGACAGAGTCTCACTCTGTCGCCCTGGCTAGAATGCTGTGGTGTCAGCCTAGCTCACAGCAACCTTAAACTCCTAGGCTCAAGCAATCCTCCTGCCTCAGCCTCCTGAGTAGCTGGGACTACAGGCATGCACCACTATGCCCAGCTAATTTTTTCTACTAATATTTTTAGTTGTCCAGCTAATTTCTTTCTATTTTTAGTGGAGATGGGGTCTCGCTCTTGCTCAGGCTGGTCTCGAACTCCTGACCTCAAGTGATCCTTCCTCTTCGGCCTCCCAGAGTGCTAGGATTACAGGTGGGAGCTACCACGCCCAGCCAGGATTTATCTTAAGGGGTAGGCTCATGCAGTTATAAGGCCAAGCTGGTAGGCTACAAATTTCAGCAGGAGTTGATGTTGCAGGCTTGAGCCCAAAGGCAGTCTGGGGGCAAAGTTCCTTCCTCTTTGGGGGACCTGGGTCTTTTCTCTTAAGGCCTGTGACTGGATGAGGCCCACCCATATTATGGAGGGCGATTTGCATTACTCAAAGTCTACTGATTTCAGAGTTAATCACATTTAAAATACACCGTAGCCTAGCAAAGTTGACACATAAAATCAACCCCCATGGTCTCTATCTAAACTGGGGAGTCATGATAGACAAGGTGGGTGCTGGATGGGCCTTTGGCACTAGGAAAGTCCAGCAAATGTAATGAAATGACACATTAGGAGAAAAGAGAAGGTATTGGTATCATTGACACAGTGTGTAAGAAGCACTTTGTACATATTAAAATTATTGGCTTTTAAATTTTATTATAATGAACTTTTAAATTATATTTCAGGATTTTTTTTATTAGTCCCATCCCACTCTTCAGTCTGTTACTATCTTTTTCTTGATGTCTAACTCTCCACTCTCTGTTGAGAAACGTGACTGTATTGTCCAATGAGGAATAATTTTCTGGGTTTATTTGGCTGCAAATTTGTAAGAATTATAAGAGTTCCTTCCTGCACTCCATAGCAGAGATGGAAAAGGGAGTGGAGTTTGGAGAAAGTACCAGAACTTAAATCAGATACTCTCCCCACACCAACATTCATCTTAAAAAGCATGGGTATCGTAAAAGAGTTATCCCTTGAAATGCATGGAATTTATTGATAGGAAAATGTTGGATATATGTTGTAAAGCTTCTTTTACATCAAAAGCGCAAGGTTTTTCTTGCAAAAAAAAAATCATTATGTGTAAAAACCTCATAAGGAAAGCCTCAAACTTTCTCCTATAATCCCCCTGACTCCAATGGCCTCTCTGAGCAGAGTGGTCAAAAGGCTTTAGGAAGTGACTGACCACGGCCAGCAGTGTAGGAGAAATGACCCCCTCAGTCTCTTGCCTTCAAAAGCTTTTTCTGCCAAGACAATACGATGTTGACCACCTTTGAGTGATGAATTGGTTCAAATAAGTCTCCACGCATGAGTAAACTACTGTCATGGTGGTACCTGGGTAACTGGAGGGAGAAGCTACTGGATTTAACATATGCAAAACACAGGCACAACCCAACATTCATTTTGTAGGAAATCATTTTTGTCTGAACAAGATAACTGCAGCTTATGCAACCTGCAGTCCTCCTTCAAAGAGGGAGGGCTCAGGTCAGGTAGAAAGGACTCCTGTCATTGCTAAGGTTCTGGCATGTTTGAGATGATTTTCAAGGAATCGAATATGAGTTATCATAGGATACAACTTTCTTTTTAAAAGCACACCACACCTTGCACTTCAATACTGAACAATGCTTCTTGTATACCGAGCCAGAAGATCTGCTTTTGAAGAAGCTATGCACCCTAATAAGATCTAGGATATATTTTAGCATGATTATGACTAGAGCCACAACAGGGGACCATGTAACTAGAATTTAGATAATAACAGGCATTTGTTAAGTGTTACTTTTGTAACACTTTTGTTTTTAAGGCAAATAAAATATCCCAAAACAAAACAACGATCCTACACTCAGCTACTTATGAAGTTTGGGGATTTCTTACATGGCCTGAGAATATTTTGGTTTTTCCTCTTCTCCCTTTGGCCGCCCCCTCCTGTCCACCATGGTGTAGGAGCTTCTTCCCTAACAGGACATGATAACAGTCTGACTCTCCACCTCCCACCCAACTGCACAGCTCTGAAAGTGGCTGCCCACTCTTTTCAGGAAAGGAGAAGAATGAGTGTGACTTTCGAAGATGTTTGCTGCTGTTTCAGTTTATGATATAGTAGCTTATTGCAAAGAATTCATAAACTCCAGAAAGGTACAAGGAAAAACTCCTTTGCAATCATGCCACTCAAAGATAACTATTGTTGATGGCTTCCTTACATTCTTTTATTCTGTGTAATTAAAAAGTCAGGACAATATTGTACGTACTATTATGCATATCACCTGTTTCCACTTTTCATATGCCATGAACATTTCCTCATATCATTAAATATTTTTTGAAAATTTGATTTTAAAAGGCTGAGTAAGACTTGGTCTCAGGTGGAAATGGTTTATAATCAATGCCCTGCTGGAGTTTTATGTTTTTTGGAATTTTAAAATTGCTATTGTAATATTTTATTTAATTTATAACTAATACCTACATATACACATTTTTTCTGTGCATGTCTAATTTTTCTATAAGATACAGAACATTTTGCCCAAAAAATGTTCACTGTTTTACACCCCTACCAGCAAAATATAAAAATGTCTTTTTCTCCACATATTTACCAACTTGAGTTATGATTATTTTTGATTTAAAAAAAGAATCTTGCCAATTTGAAAGGAAAAAGTAGTTGATTATGACAAAATTCCATACAGAAATAAACAGAGGAGGAACTGTAATTTTTCGCACCCCAAGACAAATGAACAGATTGGTGCAAATGATCTCAGACATTTGTTTGTCTATACAAACATATATATGTATTTGTTTTTAACAAAAATAGTGTTATAGTCATCTTCCATTCTGCAACTTGCTGTAGTTTTTTCAATTAACACAAAATTGTGGAACATTTCCTCATCTCATTAAATATATTTTGAAAATTTGATTTCAAAAGGTCTTATCATTGACGTGAATTCTTTGCTAGGGTGAATTAAGATTTAAAGTAGCATCATTTAGGGGGTAAATGAAGTTAAGAATCAAGAGATTAGGAGTGAGGGGAATGAAGGTAGATTTCTTGTATCTGTTTTCTAGTATCAGTGGTGAAGTCGTGCTAATCCATCCAAACCTGCGCCATCCCCAAACTACAACTGTTATCCTGCAAATGCAAAGACGGACTGAGCTCCACACAGGCTACCATACCTAAATGAAGTCTTTTGTGGTGTTTAGACCTGTATTCCTGTTTTTACTTATGAGCCATTGCCCATTCACCATCTTCACAAATCTAGTACACCTGTTTCGTTACCTGACTCTCGTTCTTGATGAAGCAAACATGCAAATGTCTAAAATAGCTAACTTTTCATTTTTTCCTTACTGAGGTATCTCTATTTTTATTCAACATTTTTGTCATTTGAACAAAGACATGCCAAAAACCAAACTTCTGTGTATTTATAAACTCATACAATTTTATTTCTGTAAATCACCAAACACTGGAAACATGGGGAAATCCTTTTGTGGAGCTAACATTGAGTTGGCCATACAATTCTTGGGTCAGTGTTTATGTATGCATTCCAGAAATATTCCCTGGGCTTCTGTTATGGTTCAGGCACTGTTATAGGTGCAGGGAATAGACGGGAGGGGCGGGGAAGAGACCTAAGATCGGCCCTCCCAGAACTCGCATGCTAAGGGGCAGTCAGACAGTAGACAAGTTGATAAAGTTGGTTGAAGGTTTGCAAAGGAAAGTTGGCCTCTCTTCCAGGCACTGAGATATTTGCTGAGGATATTGTGAACAGGACAGTCTTTAGCAGCTATTAACTCATGAGGCATGAGGAGTATAAGGAATCTGAAACTTGGCAGAGATTGTCATTTTTTTTTTTTTTTTGGAGTCAGAGTCTCACTCTGTTGCCCTGGCTAGAGTGCTGTGGCGTCAGCCTAGCTCACAGCAACCTCAAACTCCTGGGCTCAAGTGATCCTACTGCCTCGGCATTCTGAATAGCTGGGACTACAAGCATGTGGCACCATGCCTGGCTAATTTTTTCTATATATTTTTAGTCGGCCAATTAATTTCTTTCTATTTTTAGGAGAGACGGGGGTCTTGCTCTTGTTCAGGCTGGTTTCAAACTTCTGACCTTGAGCGATCCTCCTGCCTTGGCCTCCCAGAGTGCTAGGATTACAGGAGTGAGCCACCGCTCGCCGGGCCTGAGTCTGTCACTGTTGAACCATGAAAGCCCTACGTTGCGTGGGGGTGAGAAACGTTTGGATAACATTGTATGTAACACTGATGATTCAGGTGGACCAGTTGGACAGAGCAGCCCCCCGGATCACACTCTTGCATTCCCCTTCGCAAGTGGGGCTCCTGAAAAATGGCTGTTACGGGATTTACATCACTTCCCGCGTGTTAAAGGCGTCAGACCCTGACACCGAGGACGATCAGATCATCTTTAAGATTTTACGAGGCCCACAATACGGACATCTGGAGAACACAACAACAGGTACTGGCCTCCTTAATCCTTATAATTGCTCATTTTAAAATACCCAGTGGCTGGCAGGGCTAGAGAGTAATTTAATTAAGTGTAGGCCCATTTGGTAAACACTCCCCAGGGCTTACTGATAGATGCAGTTTATAAATCAATATTGGTGCTAAAGAGGGTTTGAAGCTGAGTTTTACTAAATTCATCTTGACTGGGAGAGCCAAATGCTGATATACAGCTGTTTATTGTTTACAATTTTTTTCTCAACAGCAGATTGTAATATATTCAGAGGAACACAGTGTCAGGATTAAATTTCATATTTGTGTCTACTTTTTTCTTCCATTATGAATTCCAAATGATGTCAGTTCTTCTTTTAAAATGCTGGAGTTTTTTTTTCCCTAATGGTTTCTCTGGGTTGTATATTATTTCTGCTTTATGAACGCAATGATCATAATATACCACTAAATGGGATGGCACAGAATTACAGGTTTTTATTACTCTATCTTCCTATTCTCCCTCTATTTTTATACTTTATGTAAGGCAAATATTTCTGAAGCGAAGCAGATTTAAAGTGTAATTTATGTTCATTGCATTTGAGTTTTAAGATGGCTGCAGAAATGTTGATTTCTTTTAAAAAAATGTACTTTAGCTGTTCTTTAAAGCTGTTTAAAATAAAATAGATAATTTTATAAGCCCTTATTGAATGTTCTATTTGATTACCCAGGAGAATCACTTATTTCTTTTTTGTAGGTGAATTTATCCGAGAGAAATTTAGACAAAAGGACTTAAACAGTAAGACCATTCTTTACGTCATAAACCCATCTTTGGAAGTAAATTCGGATATCGTGGAATTTCAGATCATGGACCCCACAGGGAACTCTGCCACTCCTCAAATGTAATTTCTTTTGCTTATTCAATAGTCCTGTATATAACACTCAGAATGTGTCTGAATATTGGGAAAATGAAATGTTCTTTTTCAAATGGAACCCAAGAAGGTAAACTAATAGACCATTTCACCTGTTCACAGAATTAATTGGGAAGAGGGAATTTTATTTTCATTATTGCTTAATAATGAGAAAGCCAATAGCTTTACAGAGTATGAAAACATTACAAAGTTAAAATAGCCCTGGGTTATTAATGTTATGTGTGTAAATGCAAACACTCCCACAGGCAGAGAAGTTTCTGTGTTGCCAAGCCGCAAGCATCCAGGACTGAGCTTTGCTGGCTCATGTATAAATCGTGCAGCAAGAGGTCACTCTAGGACCATGTTAGTAACCCAAGGCTTCTAAAATATCCAGGCTCGGGAAGAATAAGGTGGTGAAGAAGAGTTGGCCAAACATCTCTTTCCCTGATGAAAAAAATTAGTTACTTGGAAACGCCTTTATAAGTTAATAAACCTAGATAAGATGAGGATAATGTAAAGAGGAAAATAGACTTAAGGAAAGTCTTAAATGACACTTGGAAGGTGTATAAAGAATATGGCTCTCAGAATAACAGGAGAAACAAACCCTCAAAATTAAGATTAACAGACCATAGGAATTTCACTGACCGGGCCCCTATTCTAGACTTTTCTTGAATAACTTAACAGCTAGCAGATGTTCTTAGAAAGGTCTATCAGAGCTGTGTTTTTTTTCTTTTTTCTTTTTTATTTGATACCCTTCCTTGTCACCTCAAAGAAAAGTTGTTCATTTATCCTAGTGTTGGTATTCACCATTTCCTAGCCATACTAAACACCATAAGTGAGCACAGCCCTACTGTGATCCTTTTATGGTGGAAAATGGACAAAGAAAGGATGAAAAGAAAGCCTAGGCACCCTCTCTGCCCGTCTCCATTCTTGCCTTTTCTTTTTGATCCTGAATTGTAGTTTCAAAGATTTGCCAGCAGAGGTCACTGTAGTCATTGTTAGGAAAAAACCTGACATTCTTTTCTTAGCAAAACATGTTCCCAGGGTCCCACTGCCATTGCACTGATAAAGTGTAGTGCTTGGCCCAGATTTATTAACTCTAGAGGTTTTTTATTGAGTGGCTACTATATGTCAGGCGCCTAGTCCTAGGATCTAGAAAGTAGGTGAAAACAAAGAAGACCTGGCCCCTGGCATTAAAATATAATCCTGAGGCTACAAAAACTTAAACAAATGACCCCCACCTATTAAACTGTTTTTGCCTAAGAGAAATAATTCCTTAGAATCACAATCTTTGTAGAAAATATGTCAACGACCTGCAATATCAGACAAACATCTTCCAAGTCTCAAGAAAATGTAAGAAAAAAATCCTACTTCAAAAACATTAATAAATTGACTTCACTTAGTTTTTTTAAACATTTATAGTTCAACTAAAAAAACATAAGAATATTGATCACACTTGTTACTGACCTAATGCTGACCTCTTGTCCTTCATGTATGAGTGCAGTCTAGCTGACAGAGAATTTTTTTCCTCCAGCAATGGTGCTAGATTGATATCACTTCACTCACATGCCTTTTTTATTCCTTGTTCTTACCGAAGACATTGCTTTTTGAAGATGGTTTGTGTTTTTTAAATGAACCTCAAATTCATATGAGAATTATAGCAAAATTTGCTTAATTTAATTTTAAACTTAATTGAGGCGATTTTAAATGGGATCCTGATTTGTTGGATATCAGTTTTCATGTACTTATGCTGGAGATGTTTCCACTTGAATTCCACTTGAAATGATGGGAACCAATAGAATGAAATGCTATAGTGTATGCCTACCAAGGAGTAAGTAATACAAAAATAACTTTGATTTGATTCTAACATATATTAGGCTATTTTCTTTAGAGTAGACAAGGGAGGTAAAAATTACTTGGCATTTATCTTCATAATTATTGAATGATATAATTGTCCCCAACCCCATATGTAAGTATTTTTGGAACTAGGTGCACATTTTTCCAATAAGAAGCAATGTTCTGAATAGTGGCTTGTCTTCCAGACAGCCAGCAAGAACTTAATACAATAGAAATCACAGTCATTTGCAATATAATTGGTTTTGTTCTCTCTATTTCATTGCTATTTATTTAATCACCACAACCACCTATGAGTTAGGTACCACTGTAATCTAGAACTTACATATGAGCCACAGAGATAGAAAGTGACTTTTCTAAACTCACGTAGATAATTAGCAAGGGACCTGGGATTCAGGCCCAGGAAGCGTAGCTATAGAGTCTATGGTTTTCCTCACTGCAGTAAAGAACTTGCCCATTCTTGGCAACTGCGCTAAACTGGCCTGCAGGGAATGGAACAGCAGACTCATCTCCCTCCTTTCTCTCCAGGCATTAACCACCCAGACAGCAAGAAAGAAGGAATACTTACTCTTCAAGGACTTTGAAGTTTAGGTTTTTTAAAAAAATATATAAATCACAGATATGAATATTAGTGTGCGCTCTGTATCCAGCACACTGGGATTCATGGTTTATTAACCACTGGACTTGGAGCTAAAGGACAGGGTTTATGCTTTGGGTCTGCCCTTCACCTATTGATTATTCCAGCCTTAGTTATCTCATCTGTAGAATGGGAGCAATACTACAATTTGTTTAGAGAAACAAACATGGTAATGTCTTGTGTATTTAAGGTCCTTAATAAATGCCACTTGTGGTGGTGATTACTATGGTTGTTAATTCACGTGGGGATAACACTTCACTACTTGAAGAAGTATCCCAGAAACATGTGGTGGTTTAGAAAGCCCACCTCTAATTAGAAATTGATCCTAGGATGATTCCCAAAGTGAACAATCAGTGTGCTTATTAATCAGTAAGAAGACCTGGCCGTGGAACTTTGTGTTCTTCTTTGGCTTAGGATTAAGAGGTTAACATACTTCATATCTGAAGAGGTGAAAAAAACTCTGTAATGAAGCTGAAGGGACTGGTGGCCGCAGTCTGGAGCAAAAAGGGGCCTCTTTTAGAGCATAGGAAGGACACCCCCCACCCCCACTCCCCCACCCCACCCCCACTCCCCCACCCCACCCCCACTCAGTGGGAATGTCTCAGAATCTTGATTGCTGGTCAGTTGTCACTACTGCAGCATTCCTATAGCGTATCAGTCCTGAAGGAGCAATAGATGTTCTCTTTTAAAAAGTGTTAGAAAATGCTGATTTGAGTGAGATTAATCAAGTTATTGCCGGCTAGCTAGCACGTCTGCTTGTTTAACTTCATCACATCCCAGAATTGTGGAGATGTTCGTGTAGATTGTGAATCTCTGATAGAGGGAGAGTTTGCAGCGTATCTCAACCTGACTGGCCTATAGGATCATCCCACCCCACCCCCACCCCCAACACACGCACACACACACACACACTCACAGAATAGCTCAGGGAACACGTTTTTCATGGGATACATTTGGGAGACACTTTGTTGTAAATAGAAATTATTTATAACACTGATATCGATGGAAATTTGCATAAAGAATTAGGTTTGACTTAGTGCCTAAATTTCAGGCACTGTGCTAGGTGCTTGCTTGGACAAGGAAATTAGGTGCAAAGCCTAATTATCCCGAAGTCACTGGATGAGAGAAGAGCTGAAAGTGAACCCTGACCTCCAAATCTAAGTGAGCGCTCATCGTATTGCTCATTTCCTGGCACGACTCACTCACATGCTCGTGTCCGTCCTCCCATCCAAGGTGGATCTCCAAAACAATCTGCCGAAGTCCCAAACTAAGTGACACAGGACCCACATCATTCATCAAAAGCACCTCTGCAGATCACAGAATGCAGTCAACTTCTAATCAGGGCAGTTGTCCTAATACTTCTTCCATGTGGACCTCTTTCTTGTGCCCACTGGGGGGAAAAAAAGTGAACTTCAAAAGCAAAGTTGTCCCATGCTGAAGTTCTTGATAGCTCAGTGGCTGCTTCTCCAGCTCTGCCTGCTTCCAAGCACTCTGCTTCTTCCCCTCCCTCTGGCAACCTGCACTCTAGCTGTTCTATTATTCGCTGTTCTATTATTCCTTTTTGGCTTTAAAAGAGAAGGGACAGAAGAAATATAAAAGAAAATGAATTTTGATCAGGAAAACTTTGCAATGTTTTAGCAGCTTTTATGAAACACCTTGCAGGGGAAGAGGTTGACACTATTGGCTAGCTAATGCCTGCACGTTACCTGCAAGCGAGGAGTTAAGGTATTTGTCTACAGAGCAGATCTCAGGAAAGCGCAGAGGAAGGGAAGGAAAATAGCACTTATGAAGCACCCACTGTGTACAGGTGCTTTATACATATTAACTAATTTTAATTTTCATCATTTGACAAGAGTGTAATTCTCTTCATTTTAAAGATAATGAAAACTGAAGCCCAGCGAGACTAAGCAACTGACCGTAATCACACACTACTAAGTGTTTGCAAGGTGTGTTCGATTCCGAAGCACTTGGTTTGAGTACTCACTATGCTGCCTCTTGGCTAAACACTGTTTCCCCATTATCAAGAGAAAAAGAGAAAAATGAAAACACAGGTGTTCATAGCATTAGATGATGGAGTTTAATAGCAGCATCTTTGAATTGATAAGTCTTAGTTAGATTGAATACTTGGAAGAATATTTTTTAACATTTCCATTTTCTTAAGTCATTTGCTATTTGATTGTAAGTAAAGATCTAGTTATAAAAATAGTGATTTAATCAAAGTTTTAGCTGCTGTAAAACCTTTTACTGAGAAGCTCAAAATACTTAATGAGAATTCATGAAGGTTCATTTAACCCCTTTGAAGTACAGACTCATCATTATCACACTTTGAAATGTCTAATAATTACACTATTACAGGAAGTGAGGAAACTGAGGCATAGAGAGGCTAAATATCTTTTCCACAGACTCTTGTTCACTTGAATTAATGTCCCAAATCCCAGACTGGTGTTTTAACTCCAAATGTTTCTTTCCGTTTATTGTTTCTTCATATAAATGAATCAAGTAGCCACAAAATAAAACACAAGGAAGCACATATATTTTACTCTATTACAGGGTCTCCTAACCTTGTTACTACTGGTATTTTGGGACAGACAATTCTTTGTCACAGGGGAGTGTCCTGGACATTGCAGGATGTTCAGCAGCATCCCTGGCTGCTATCAGCCAAGTGCCAGGACCACCCTCTTCCCAGCTGTGACAATCAACAGTCTCCAGACATTGCCATATGTTGAGAACTACACACACGCCTTAGAAAATAGCATACATATGTGTTAAGAAATTATGATTTATGGCAGAATGCTCTTTTATCAATGCCATCTTTCTCTCTATACTAATAAAGTCTAATAATAATCCAAGGGTGCAGAGTAAGTCGGGGCTAGAGAGAACACAGAAGGATCATCTAGCCTAGCATTTTTTCAAAGTGAGTGAAAGATGATGTTGATAATGTTGTGGAGAAAAACATTTTTGATGACCAACTGAGCTTGGGAAACAGTGGGCTACACAAGATCCATTCATTCAGTTAATAAATATTTATTGAGCACATACTATGTTTTAGACATTCTACAAGGGCCTTTGGATACATCAGTGAACAAAAGACCCATGTTTCCTTGGAGCATACATGGGACCTAAATAAATCTCATAGTATGTTATACATGATACATGCTTTGGAAAATGAAAAGTTGGTCAGGATAAGAAAATTGAAGGTGCTAGGCTTTTGGAAAGAGTCCAAACAATTTATGTGTTTGTTTGTTTGTTTTAGAGACAAGCTCTCTGTCACCCTGGTTGGAGTGCAGTGGCACAATCACATCTCACAGCAGCCTTGAACTCCTGGGCTCAAGTGATCGTCCTGCCTCAGCTTCCTGAGTAGCTGGGACTATAGGTGCATGCCACCATGCCTGGCTATAGGCTGCAATTTTAAATTGAGTGTTTAAACAGCATTTCTTACACCTGACTGCTTAGGGTTGGAACATGGCGGAGGGAGCAGAAGCCTCACATCTTCTAATCCAATGTTTTTCACTACTCCATACTATGTCTTCCATTCACATTACTGGTTGTTGAGGACCAAAATTTAGCTTCACATTGAACTAGCTTTTTCTACTGTGATGAATACGCCAAAGCCACTTATGGAGGTGGTTCTCAACTGGGGGGGGGGGCACTTTTTTCTCAAGGGACATTTGGCAACGTCTGAAAACAGTTTTCGTTGTCATCATTGGGGGGAAGTGATGCCATAGCAGCTAATGAGTAGGGGTCAGGGATGTTGCTACACACAGGACAGCCCCCACCACAAAGAATTATCTGGTGTGAAATGTCAATAATGTTGACATTGAGAAACTCTGACCTAGAGGCTTGAGGAGTTTCCACTTCTGCTAAATGACTTGAAATGATTGCCATATGGATTTCACATGAAGTGTGTCTGTAAACTTCATTTCTAACTGTAGAATGAGCTATACTCAATAGTGACAGAATGGAGGGATTATTAAAATGTGAAGATGTGATATGAACTGATCTTTATCTACATGACATCTACACATCCAAAACTTTCCAAATTTCTCTCATGGGCTCCTGCATGTGGATATTTACATAATGCCAGGCATATAGCTGTTTGGCTTCTTACAGGGAAAATTCTCAAGTGATTGACTACAGCTCTTATTTTTCATCCAGGTGTTTGTGTAGAGTTTAAGCAATCACAGTCTCAGCACAGAAAGATCTTCTCAAATACAGTGTTGCAAAAAACCAAAAATCATATTAAAAACATTTGTTGCATGTATTCTGTAGGTATTCAAGTGCTTTTTTTATTTAGATATTTAAATATATAGCCTGGCTTAAATTTCATGGCTTCTCAATAGATCTTTATTATTTGTAGTGAATAGTTTTAAGAAAACAAAATAGAACATCGTGTAATGACAACCTTGACCTGTAAGCATTGTGCAGCATTCTAATGGTGCAACAGGGAAATGCACTCATATTCGCAAACACTAAAACCTTTTATTCTTTGAACCTTAATAGCCCTCTGAATGGTTCCCTTCTGGATCTAGATCAGCAAATTGCATTTAGCTTCAAGCCTTGAGGTCACCGGGATCTGAAGAGTGACATTGATGGATTTTTGCTTGTCATGGTTAGCATTAGCAATGGATAAATTCTCAGAAGAATTGGACATTGAAACTCATTTGAACTCACTGATAGCTGAAATACATCCAAATTTATCTGTTTCACTCTTTCCTGCCCTCTCTCCTAAAGCTTCTTTCGTAATTTTTTTCCTTTCTCATCTACCTGGATCATTTTCAAAATTCTTTGCAACATGTTATTTTTATTGACATTGATGATATCCTTGCTGCTTGTTATCTTGTAACTCTTTAAGCATTCAGTAGTCCCCCGTTATCTGCGGGTGATACATTCCAAGACCCCCAATAGATGTCTGAAACTATGGATAATATTGAACCCTATGTACACAGTGCTTTTTCCTATCCTGTACGTATGTATCTATGATAAAGTTTAATTCATAAATTAGGCACAATAAGAGATTAACAACAATAACATAATGAAATAGAACAACTATAACAATATACTAGCATCACAGCTCTTGCATTTGGGGCCTGTGATTAAGTAAAACAAGGGTGACTTGAACACAGGCATTGTGATACTGCGACAGTCACCCTGATAAAAGAGCCGGCTGCTAAGTGACTAAGGAACATCTACAGTATGGATATGCTGGACAAAGGGATGAGTTGCACCCTGGGTGGGATGGCACAGGATGACTTGAGATTTCATCACACTATTCAGAATAGCATGTAATTCAAAACTTATAACTTGTTTATTTGGGGAACTTTACATTTAGTATTTTCAGACCACAGTTGACAGGTAATTGAAACTCTAGGTAACTGAAACCGTGGAAAGGTAAACGGTGGATAAGGGAAGACTACTGCAGTCATTTATTTTTGTATTTCTTGATCTGTTTCATGCTGCATTTGAATTCAGTTGCATCAGAGACCCATAAGGGTCTGAATATTTTAAAATATAAGGATCCTGTTCTCATGTGAAAAATTTTATTAGGCTTAGCATGCCAGTAACAGTTTCATGTCTATATATTGCATAAAAATGTATGTTTATATAGATTTGTGAATCCCTGTGATAATTCCATGCTCCCACCCTCACCTTCCCCCAGCCATGACCCTCAGCTATGAACCAGTGCTATTGAGTTTATTTTGCTACTGAACCTAAGTTCACTTTATGTCCTTGTGATTTGACACATGATCAGTGGGTACAAGAACAAAAGTGGTTGTTTGAGATAAACTTACTCTCTAATGTGAATGGCCCCCAGGAAACCCTGGAGAGTCTGTGGAATTTGTGAACTCCTGTTCCATACAGTAGCACCCAGAATTTCTAGTTTTGGAAGGAAGGAAGAGAGAAAGAAGGAAGCAAGGAGGGAGAAAAGGAAAAAGGGAGGGAAAAAAGAGAGAAAGAAAATTATAAAAAATAAATTTAAAAGCTGTGAGGGTAGAGTCTGAATCTGATCGGAGGTTTGGGAAATACAATAAGGCAACCACTGAGGGTTTTGTAAATCTAGAATAAAAGGGAAATGAATAAAACAAAAGGAATGGAATTGTGTTCAACAATCATAATGAAGATTGCTTATATCTTTTACATTGCCATATTGCAAGGTTGCAGGTAGTAAAAAAAGGTAAGAACATATATGGAGTAAAAAATTATTTTTCAGTTTATGGTCTCTTTTATTCAAATGTAATTTCTGCTATGATGATACAATTTTATAGCCTGGCTCTGAGAGAAATGTTTAGATGAAACATTTGAAGCGCTCTCACTTCAAAAAGGGAAATATTTCAGGGGAAAGATAAAATTGTATTGCCCTTCTGAGGCTCACACAAGAGCCATGAGGAACTTCAATTGGGAAGAGAGAAGGGAGAAGAAGACTAGATTTGGTGTTACATTTAGGCTTGAATTTCATCTCTGCTACCTACTAGCTTTGTCCTAGCTTTTTGCCTTTGAGCTAGTGATTTAACCTCTCTGAAGTTTGGTTTTCTTTCCTCTTTTTGAAAAAATAATGTCCCTCTCTAAATGATGAGAATTAAAGAAAACAATTTCCTTCAAATACTAGACTCACTCAATACACCGTAGGAAAAAAGGCCACCCTCTATTTATCAGGTTTATTCAGTTGTATGGTTGCGTCCAAGCTGTATACTAGTGCGGCCCTTTTATATGCGCAGAAAGAAGAACAGAGAGTTATGAAACACATGTACATTATAATTCCTAGGCACATTCTCAAGGGTAACTAGTTAACCGAACCCGGGTTCAGAGAAGATCTGTGCCTGGAACAGTTCTTGTTGCACTAATGAGGAAGGCCAAAAGTCAAGATAGGTGGCTTCTTATCATTGTCTTTTCCAAAACCAAATGCCTCTTTGAACTTAACAACTGCTGGTTTCTTTCCCTTCGGAACACTTGAGTTTGAGTCCCCTGTAATAATATCTGTGGGACCTTCAGCAGTCCTTTAATCTTAGACTCTTCATTTGTGAAGTGGAATTCTAATACTTGCTGTGTCTACCTTACAGCGTTTTTGTAAGGATCAAATAGGACAATGTTAGTATAAATTCTTTGTGAACTAAAATGTACCAAACAAGTGTAAGGAATTTCTATCGTTGGTGTAGGTTGATCAACCACTTTTTGCCACCGTGATGTGAAAAAGTGGCTCAGTCTCCCACCCAACAGAGGATTTCCATAGGCATTTACTATGCATTTCTTATGATTAACCTTTTCTTTTCCTTTCTTGCACAGTTTGGAATTGAAGTGGTCTCGTATTGAATGGTCACAGACTGAATATGAGGTCTGTGAGAATGTGGGCACTTTGCCCTTGGAAATTACCAGAAGGGGATATTTGATGGACTCGGCCTTTGTGGGCATAAAGGTAACAACTCTAAAATGCAAATTATCAAGCTAAAACGTATGTTGCTGGTTAAGTGCCTTTAAGTTTTCTCTCCAGAAAAATTCAGAATGACCAAAGAAATGTCAAACTGCAGGGTTGTCATGCTCTTCTGAAGAGTCTAAGTATAAAATCTCACTGTCCCTCCATCCATCATGTGGGTTCATTAACCCTGAAATATAATTCTTTAAGACACATTTTCAGTTTTGAAATCTGGTCATTTGTCTATATAAACTCATTAGATTTTGAAGTTTGATTTCACAGATATATGCAATTTAGTGAAATTGGGCTAAATTTTGCTTTGGAAAGAGAAGTTGGATGCAAGATCTTTATAGGGTACCCAGAGTGAATTTCAGTCCCCAAATGGCTTCCTCTTAAAACACACCCCCAATCACTTTCCATGGTCTCAGTGAATGAGGCAAATCAAGAGACTTAAGCCTATTTTAAGAATTGTCCAAGAAAGCATATATTACAGGAACCTTGAAATATAAAGGATTCTCAGGTAATCCTTTTTGAATTAGTCAACTCACTATTTCTTTCCATCGACATGAACTAAGAAGCGCAACCTATAGCTCCTGGAATTGAGGGATTTTTTTAGGAGTCATTGTAATAATAGCACTTCAAGAGAATGAGAGCATGAAAAGCTTGTATGTACTAATGATGGAGAATGAGTTTTAATGACTCCCCTTTTCAATCTGATGAAGAAGTCACTAATATTAGCTTCTGGGAAGAATGGCTTCACTGTTAAGTCTTGATTTTAATAATGAATTCAAATCACCCTCAGAACTCTATGCACCTAAATTCCACCATACCCAGACCCACTATTTATCTTTCCAGTGGTTATAGACTCTTTTCCCCAGGTCTGTTGGTGCTTTATTGTGATTAAATGGCAGGAAGCTTGGTATGCCCTATCACTTCCCAGAGGATTGCTTATGGAATCTGCCTGGATGGTTTTCTAATAATCCTCTAGTCCTCATAGAAAGCACCATATGCTCTAGTCTGGAATTTGGGGCCACACTACCACTCACCTTGCTGGGTAGAAAGAATATACATGGTGTTACGTGGAACTTTATGTCTATTAAGCAGAATGTGTACGGGGAACCCGCCTGCTGAGTGTGCAGGCCTTCATCAAACATGGTCCCAGAGTCTTTCAGGACAACTCTGCCCTAAGCACAAACTACCATCTTATGTAAGACCTTATTGGCTACTCGACTAGGAGCAGGGAAAGAGAAGGTATTGTTACTGCATGTGGTTTGCCCTGGTTTTAATCATGTACCCTCACCTGACTAATCTCTCCAACCACCTTGCCTCCGACCATTGCTTTTCCTAGGTAGGATTCTGTAAACTCAGTGGTGGTAAATACCAGGTAATTGTACGTACAAGAACCATGCAGGGAAATGTAGCTTCCAGCATATGGTGGGTACAGGTGTACAATGGGCTGCCTCTGCACAATGAAAAGTGGTTCGGGGGAGGCCTGGCACTGTAGACAGAGTGAATGGGAACCTCGGAGGTAGTACCCTTCCTCAGCAACACGTCTCCACTGCAGACCAATTCATACATGTTAGGGCCTCTGATTTGAAATGGACATATCGTCTGAGGCCATAGAATAGCAATTCTAAAGATTTTAATTAGGTACTTTATTCCTTTGTAAGAAGGAACGTATAAAAATGTGCAAATGTAACAACTGCCCATTATGCTTGTGTGGGGTTCTCATTCTATGACTTCTTCAAATTAGCCAAGGGCACTTCTTAACACATATGTAGGCAGCCACTGGGGAAATTTAAAGCAATGACTTCAGAGACCTCAGATCACCTCTTGGTTTTTAGCCCTGGAGCTGAGGAGCAGGGCTGTAGCCAACAGTCTCCTTAGACTAGGGTGATTTTTTTTTTCCACAACTTACTTGGGAGTCTTGAAAGCACTGGACCCTGGGTGTGGATTCCCTTTGTGTGGCTGTTACCCGGATCTTCACTCCCACAAAGCTCTCCTTCATGTCTGTGAGAAGCGATGGTTTCATCCAGGCGGGAAAATGGAACAGAGTTGTTTGAGTTAATCTGGTCAAGAGGCCCCGGTGCCCTGGAGCTTGCAGGATATCTCAAAGCTGGCTGACAGATCCTCACGTGGCTTGTCAGGAGTGCCTGCTTTTTCTTCTCTTCAATTTTCTCCCTCCTTTTTTGTGAAGGCACTATTTTAAGACCAAATTGGGCTTAAAGGAAGGTAATAAAATTGTACTCATAATAAAAAGAAAAATATTGTTTACAATTCATGCTACTTTCTCCAATAATAGAATCATTTATAAAGGAAAAGGAAATAAAGCATTTCTTTCCATGGATATTAGTCTAGCAAAAAGTTAACTTAAAGGAAAATCCAAAATGGTTTATTATAATAAAAAACCTACTTATATATTAAAAACAGATTTAAGAGCATGAGTTTAGGCTAGTATGGGGGAGAATAGATGTTTCTCTATTATAAAATATTTTTATTAAAAAAAGACATTTTTTCCCTCTTAAGGTCAACCAAGCGTCAGCTACAGTTGGAAAAGATTTCACTGTGACTCCATCTAAACTGATTCAGTTTGACCCAGGTATGTTTAGTGTCTACGATTTTGTTTCATGTTTTTTGTAAGCAAGTCTGGATATTATGGAGAAGACAGAATACTATGTAACTTCAGCCAACTAACTACAGCTAACAGCCAAACTCCTCAGGGAGCCATATCATCTCCAAAAGAGATGAGTTTGAGTTTGAAGTTTCACTTTCATATATTTTTTTAATAACAATGAATATTGATTTCAAATGAAAAGAAAGATCATAACAAATATAAAATATCACATATCAAACCAAATGTCTAAAAAATCCAGAAAAGAATAAGGACATTTAAAAATTATTTAAAAATCTGACACAAAGTTATAATAATTTAATTGCCTCATATTTTTTATGGAAATTTTCAGAATGTTATATTCTTTCCATTTTTTTTCTTTTTTTTTTTTTTAGTAGAGACAGGGTCTCACTCTTGCTCAGGCTGGTCTCGAACTCCTGAGCTCAAATGATCCGCCCACCTCGGCCTCCCACAGTGCTAGGATTGCAGGCATGAGACACTGTGCCCAGCCCAGAATATTATATTTATATGGATTCCTAAACAGCATTTCTAAATGATCCATCTTGGAATAGATTGATATGGGGAGATTCCATGGGAAGATAGTATTTACTTAAATAGTACTTATTGTTTTAAATTTGTTGAAATGTTTTGCTAGGTGCAAAGAGGAATACAAAAGTCTGGCACCTTCTCTCAAGGATGTCCTGTTATATGGGAAACATAGACATGAAAATACTCACCAATGTTATGTTGGGACCCAAAGGATGAGGCATTCTGGCTAAGGAAAATCTTGGAAGGCTTCCCAGTGGAGGCAGTATTCTAGTGGGTAGAAGAAGAAAGAATCCCCAGGCACTAACCTAATGCTCCTTTAGAGAATTGTGTCTAAAGTTGATACTGAAGTCCCCCTGTTTTTCCCTGGCTTCTACAGGTGAGGCAGGTAGCACTACATCACCTCACTGCATGGTTCTCTCTCTTTTCCTATGGTTTGGGATGTACCTGAAGCACTTGTTGGGGGGACAAATACAAATACAAAAAAGAAAAAGCAGACAGGGCTCGTGGCTTTGTGCTTTCCTACAGAGGAGATGTTCTGTGTTCTAAAAACACTTCACCAAGATCTCATGTTAACTAATTACACTAGTTATTATTCTCTTTCCAAATAAGGCCACATTCAGAAGTACTGGGAGTTAAGACTTCAACATATTAATTTTTTTTTTTTTTTGAGATAGACTCTTGCTTTGTTGCCCAGGCTAGAGTTAGTGCCATGGCGTCAGCCTAGCTCACAGCAACCTCAAACTCCCGGGCTCAAGCAATCCTACTGCCTCAGCCTCCCAAGTGGCTGGGACTATAGGCATGTGCCACAATGCCTGGCTAATTTTTCTATATATATTAGTTGGCCAATTAATTTCTTTCTATTTATAGTAGAGACTAGGTCTCCCTCTTGCTCAGGCTGGTTTCAAACTGCTGACCTCAAGCAATCTGCCCGCCTCGGCCTCCCAGAGTGCTAGGGTTACAGGTGTGAGCCACTGCGCCTGGCCTCAACATATGAATTTTTGAAGGACTCAGTTCAGCCTATAACAGTGAGCCCTCAATTTGACATGCAACAACCCAAATACTGTTATTGGCCTCCTTCCTATGATATACAACTTTCCAACTTAGTTTGTTCCTCAGCTGCCCGTCCTTTGTGGGAAGAGTTACTCCTACTATGTATTTGACGTTTGCCCTCATGCTGCTGCAGGCCCTTGTGTTCTGGGTATCCCTACTATGAAAGGGTTTGAAGCACTTGCCCTATGCCCTTTTTGTACTTTGTGTTAAGGCAGTTCCAGCCTTTTTATTTCTTGAGAGTCAAGAGTCTTTGCCATATGTCATCTTTCTCATTTGAGGTCTGTTTGTTACAAGATCAAGAGTGATCCAGTAGGTTTTGAGCAGCCCCTCAGGTGCTCCTAGAATGTCTCACACTAGGCGAGGCTCTAAAATCTACTTCTTGGAGATCCTACTGGATAAGACAAGTGCCCATGAGTCTAGAAGAGTTTATATGCTATTTTGAGTAGATAGATACTAATGACTTCTGGGGGATCTAAATAATCTTATGATTTTAGATATTTTAAGAAATAACATAAGCATATCTTATACAGTTTTTTAAAAACCACTAAGCTGTTCATTATTTTGAAATTTATTAAACCCCAAACAGTTTTATAAACTGAAGTCTTGATTTAGAGAATTATAAATTATAAAGTTCCCCATGTCCACAGGTCAAGAAAATGTTAATTTGCTTCCATATCATTAATCCTTACCTCTTTGGGGTCTGTTGTCCTCCACACCTTTTGCCCAGAGCAATCTATTCATTTCTTTATAAACAGCAGCTTCCACGATTGAGTGAAGAAACAGAGAGTGAACAGTCAAAGACAGTAGGGTATTATAAGGTTTGAGCACTCTTGGGAGGGCACAGCTGGAAAGGAAAGGAAAGGAAAGCTTGCCTTGCAGCTATTGTAGCAAATCAAAAACAAAACAAAAAAAAACCACCAAAAAACCCCAAAAAACTACTGAATACTTTGCATTCAGCTATTGTGGTTAATCTTGAGCCAATATGTATTACTCTTGTGAAAATGATTGTTTTCCTTTAAAATATGTGTTCCTGAAAGCTTTGCTGTGTTCTTAATTGAAACATCATCATTCTTAAGAGTCAAAATGTTTTCCAAGGGAACAGATCTCTAATGTGACATTGACTCAAAAATATTGAGAAAATGTCTCTCAATAGAGAAATCTGCTTTGCTGGAAAATATCCAGGAACTCACCTACTCTGTAATGTGGGATATTTCTGCATAAAATGACACCTTCTGTCTCCTCTTCAGCACCTTTTGTTTTGTGGGAACAGGGGGCCAGTTCAAGCCTTCTGAAAATGTTTGTGTATCTCAGGGACTTAACAAATACTTTGCACCTTGCAAGTGGAAAAGGAAGGAAAAAATGATAAAGTTCTTACATCAAATCTCATTAACCTGAAAATGTTGGTCCTATGTGCACACCTGGTAGGCATAGAAACAAAGCTGAAATGCAGACAAATCAGAAGCACTTAAATGAAATAGAATAGATTTTCTCTAACCATCTGGTTCCACTCCATAAAGCCCAATACAAACTTTAAGGGTTTTTTATTTTTTTGGGGGAGGGGGCGTGTACTATAATTTAAAAAAAATGAATCTTAAAAGAAGAGGGGAGTGGGTTAGGGCTTGGAAATAATTTTTATTTTCTTTTTTCTTTTTTACATAAAGGGGACAACAGGGTGTGGTGTGAAAATAATTTTTATATTGGATTTTATTTAAATAATGCTTATTTTTATGGTCATGGTCTTTTATGGTAAAAACAGTTCTCCAAATACTAACAATTTGCTTTCTTTATTATCTACCTCTTATCTTTCCATGCCAATTTTATTGCAACATCTGCCTCTGTTCTCTCTCCATTTCTAACTTCTCTGTCTATTTGACTGGGTCCCCAAACCATCTCACGTAAGACTCTCAGGTTCGTTTTGCTAAAACATCTACTTTCAGTATGTCACTTTTTGTTCAAGAGCCTTCCCCATTGCCTATGGTGTAAAGTCTGAATCTGGCCGCCTGCTATTCAGGGCTCATTGCAGTCTGGCTACAAACTGTCTTTGTAACCCTAAGGCCTCCTGTCCACCAATGTGTCCTCTCTATTCCAGCCAGCTAATCCACTCACCCTTCTCTGATCAAGGCCTCTACTTTGCTATCTTCCTGCCTTTGCTCTTGTTGTTTTCCCATACCCTCCCTCTTACTCTGGAGCTCACATACATATAGGATAAACCACCAATTCTATTTTTTGGCAGCTAATCATACATAGCTTTGAATGATTATGTGACTTTTCTAGCATTTATATCTGTCTCCTCCAAGAGATTTTAAATTCCTTTAGGCCAGGGCTTGGCTTACGTTACACTCACGGTATTCTCCATAGCATCTAATGCACAGGTAAGCACATAATAAGTACAAAATATATATTTTGATGGATTGATTCATCCACTCATGAGATGGGAATTAGATAGTATTTTATATTAGATAGTTCCTTTCTGTTTTTGTAAAGACTGCAAAAGTAATTGATTTAAGAACTCAGTTGATACTGAAAGCTTAAGAAATTCTCTGTCAAACTATTTTTTTAATAAAATTATTTCAAACACACCTAATTTTTTCCCTTTAAGTGCAACCAGCCAAGAGTAGTATAAAGGAACAGTTTTTATCTTTCCATTGGATTCTGTTAGGGATTGATGAGACTTTGATCATGAGATCTATGTGATGCTTACCTTCAAGAAAGAGGGATCATATGGATGGCACATTTGAGAGGCATAAATCTATAGAAGGTAATCTGCAAGGAAAGAAAGAGACATTTTTTTAAGAGAAGGCTGGGAAAAAATTGTTAAACTACCTTATACAAAGGGATTTAGGGGAGAAAATACTCAAATAGACAATGAGTAAATAATTGGCAGAGTAAATTTTTCAAACGTAGCCCTGAAAGGTTAAACCACGAGTTTACTATCTTTTTCCCCCATAAACTTAAGCCTTCTCTCTCCACTTGTCTTTCCTTCCTGTCACCATTTTCTTTTCTAAATAAATTCAGAGGATATCCTGTAATACACATTATGGAAACTGGTCAGGATAAGAAAATCTTAGAAATTTATTCCAGCCTTAATATAATATTTTGTATTTCTGGGGGTTGCTTTGCTCTCCATCTTGGTGGTTGACAGGAGGGCTGGGATATGTTTGTAACATAAAAACTGTTTTGTACTAGGTTTGCAAAGTTATTGTGAACCAAGTTTGAGTGTAACTTCATGAATAGAGGCAGACGGAAGCAGAGGGGAGGGGCTCAGTCTATTGCTAGACCCCCCAGCCCATAAATTGTCTCTAGGAGGATATCAAACTGCTGTGTGTTACATCATCAGAAAAAGCATTTGTGGCTAGAAAGATCTCAGGAAGTGGGGCAGCCAGTGCAGGCAGCTGTCTTTAGAAATCAGTTTAGAAATTCAAGAGTTCCATGAATAGCATGAAGTACCATCTAATAATCACTTCGGTCTACATCAACCTCTTAAGATTTTTGAAACTATTAAGATTTTAAGATTGCAGTGCTCCTTTATTCTTAAAAAGAGAAGGGACAGGTTGGGGGAAAAATTGTCTTGGATCTCATCTACTAACCATTTTTTTTTTCCATCCCTTACATAATGCAGCTTACTTTTTTGTTACAGTGTTTGCATTTAAACAGAATCATCATTGTCCAGGAACAAATGTGGTCTTTTCATATTATTTGGGAGAACAGCAGGACTTCAGTGAGTTGGTAGCAGTACAATAGCTCACTCAGGCTACTGCAGTCTAGCTGTAGACATGTTAATTAATATATTTCTCTGACACCTAGGTGATTGAAATAGCAATTAAAGAGTAATTAAAATGTTTACTTCTTGTAGGAATGTCAACTAAGATGTGGAATATAGCAATTACCTATGACGGATTAGAGGAAGATGATGAGGTCTTTGAAGTAATTCTGAACTCCCCTGTGAATGCAGTTCTTGGCACAAAGACAAAAGCTGCAGTGAAAATTTTGGACTCAAAAGGAGGTATTCTTTTGATCCTCATCTTGAAATCAGGAGCAGTCCTGGCGCTGTAGCTCTTGCTTTCAACGGCCAGCGTGCTTGATAACACCTTCAAATCAAAATGCTTAATTTCTTGTCAAGAAAGCAACCTCGGTCATGACGGAGGCCCTTTATTCTGGTTTCTGCTTCATGTGGTTTTCCTCCTGCTAAGAACTATCGCTTGAGAAAAGCAACAAGTCAGTGCCATAGTTGTTTTTTTCCTACTCGTTTGTTGTTCTCACCAAGGGGGAAACAATGTTGGTGAGAATCTATCGATAATTATTTTCCCCCAGAGTTTGTCGAGCTGTAATTATCTTCCTCTGTTAAAGAGAGCTCTCAGTGCCTAAAATCCAAGCCCCCACGGCAGTGTGACCAGGAAAATTCTAAGAGAGGAAGGAATTGGAGAAAAATAGATGTGAAAGATGCAGCTGGCCTGGGGGTTCAGGAGCAGCTGGAGAATATTAATGAATGACTTTGGGCTGCAGAGCCAAACAGGTCCTGGACTGTAAGTGCTAAAGAACAACCTGTGAACGAAATAAAATAAAGACCAGCCAAAGTCCTGGGTGCTCAGATTTTTTTTTTTCCTGTCCAATACCTTCTAGTCACTTGTCTTTTTAGCATTTGACAAGTGACCAGTACAAGACTCAATATTATATCCTCATTTTCACATCCATTATGACTGCGCTCCATATTTTTTTCTTACCTGGAATGTATTCTCTTCTCTTCTTTTTCTCACCCTATAATAAGCATAGGCACTGTCCTCTTTTCTTTATAATATCCATGTTTCCGCACCATCTCTCCCTACTACCTTTCCTTACCAAATTTATTTATTTTCTAGTAGAATTTTCTGTTTAGAGTAAATACACAAAATACATTAAATACATACTTGATATATGAAATATAAAATATACAGATAAGAGTTATGACCATAGGTTTTTTGGGGTTTTTTTTTTTTTATGCCTTCCCAGAAATACTAACCTGGGAGGTTTCCAATATAAGCAGCTCTGTTAAGATTTACTGGGTCTTTGTCCTGTAACAGTTGGGTGCAAATTTTTATAACTTGTCTCTATGACACCTTTAAACAATTCCAATTTCCACCTCTAGTTGATGAACACTTCAAAGTATTTGTGGAATAATAGTTGATCAGTGAATAAACTTGGTATATTGAGGGGTACTGTAATATGAAGAGAAGTGAAACTGTCTCCCGAGTATATGGTATGATTATAAAATCGTGACAATGATTTTCATTTGGGGTTTGTGAAATCAATTTCGTGACTATGAAATCACCCTGTAGATATGCAGAAGGCACAGCTTTCCTGGATGGAAACTGATGAAGAATAAAGGGGTTTCTGGCAAATGGCAAAAAGGCAACATCTGGTGGGAGAATCATCCATCTAAGTTTAATGACAAGCTGCTCCAGAAGCTGTGTCAATGTGATCCCTTATCTGTTTGTGTAAAATGAACTGACCGCCTGCCATCCTGCCTGCCTCCAGGACAGTGCCATCCTTCATATTCCCTCAACCAAAGCAAGAACAACACATGGGAGAAGGGCATTTGGCGCCCACTGCCCCCAGGGTCTTCCTCACCCACCACTTCTGGTTCTTTTCATCTGGAAAGAAGACCTCTTCCATCTTCCAAGTGGCTGGCGATCACCAGGGGAGACACCCTGCGGGGCTTTGATTCTACAGATATTTCCCGAAGGAAGCTTAGGACCCACGGGAATGGCAAAACGGTAAGGATGGGGACCTGCTGGGAGTTGATGTGTAGAATACATTAAAAGAATCAAAAGATATTAAGTATTGTGAAACACTGAAGCAGTTGTTTTGATTCTCATAGTAAGTGAGTTCCTTACACAGTTATGCAGTGCTTTTTGTATACAAAGATCATGAGGCTGCCCCGCTTCATTAATTGTACTAATTGAGGTGAAAGATATACTGATTCATCCATATGATTTCTGCTTTGGTTCCTTTTGGGATGAAGACAGATAGGTAATGACCAGTGGCCCTGAAACAGAGTGAGATTAAGTGATCCACTGGGGTGCGGAAGCCATGGCTTTGACCTTGTTAGCACAGAATTCTAACCAGGCACATTCTTCATGAGTGTGTGTATGTGTGTGTGTGTGTGTGTGTGTGTGCATGTGTGTGTTTTCTTGGACCTCTGTGTACTATAGATGTTCTCAAAAAATAAAGATATCTTTTCTCCCTAACTGGTACTATATATGTATAAATCAACACAACAATCATAAATTGTGATTAAGCCTAGTGATTTTTGAAATTGCAATGATTTGGGCATGGGAAATCTCAAGAAATATATATTTTAATTTTTTTCAAACGTTAATAAGATCTTGCTGGAAGCATGGTTTTACCCTATTGCTAATTACTATTCAGGCCAATTTTGTTCATATTTTGTTCTCTGTTGATTTTAGGTTCCTCCATCCTCTGTTTATAGAAATGGAACAGACACCATCTATAATGTAAGCATTGTCAGAGAACTGCTAAATCTCTTGTGTTTCTGGGTACAAAATATTTAGTGAAACTATTCTTTTATATCTTTTGTATGTTTATATTTCTTTTAAAAATATTTTGAAATTAGAGGCTTGGGTGATCAGAAGAAAACCTCTTGCATCTTTTTGCTTTGATCAAATTCTTGAATTGCTCATTTTTACAACAATTTTTTTTTGTTTGCTATCTTGATGTTTGTTTTTTCCTTATTGTTGTTGGTGATTTCATCAAGTATGATGGGATGATTTCCTTTAAACTAGAGGATGACAGTTCCCCAACTCACACAAGGAAGGCCAAAGTATCCATCATTAGTCAGCCACAAAAGGCAACCAGAGTGGCAGAGCTGCCTCAGGCAGATAAGGTGGAATCCACAACTGGCTCACACTTCCCCAGACAGGTATGGAAATCTTCTTTCCTTCCTACTCACCTTATAACAGGCTGTTTGCTGGGTCATAAACACACTTAATTCACAAAATAGCCTCTAAGCTTGGGGAGGTTTACTGAACACAAATGCTTCCCAACAAATAAATACCCAAAAGGAGGTAAATTTATGATCAACTTAAATTAAGTCAATTCTAAGTTGTTTTTCCTTACCATAGGACCAGTTGCCCTCATTTGCAAAGAACTGCACTCTGGAATTAAAGGGGCTCTTCCATTTTGAAGAAAGCACCCAAAAGCTCTATCAATGCAATGGGATTTCCTGGAAAGCCTGGAGCCCCCAAACCAAGGTAGGAGATGGGTCGGGCAGCCAGGCACCTGTGTTTGCACTGTGCCCTGTGATATAAGCTAATAAAGGTGGAATGCGCTGGTGAGTGACTCAAATCCTGCTATATCTGCCTGCCCTTGTTAGACCTTAAAGACCAAGAGGAAAAAATGGCCCAAAGTGTTATTTTTCAAAATATATTATTAATAGTTAAATCAACACAATTTAAGAGGATGTGCACTTATTTCGTTTAATTATCAGAATGTAAGAGGTGTAAAATTGAAACATTGCTGACTGTGGTAGTGTTTTTTTGTAAGAAGCCATTGCATGTCTCAAGGTAGAGAATTGGGATTAGGGCTGACTCCCTTGTGGTGGCAAAGCCACCCTATTGAAGTTAGGGGACTCATAGGGTTCCTTATGCTGAGAGCAGACTCAAAATTGTAAATAATATTATGACGTGAACGCACACAACTATTTTTCAGGTTGTGGAAGACAAATCCTGCCCAACTGGGTGGCATCAGCACTCAGGCTACTGTCACATCTTGATCACAGAGGAGAAAGGCACCTGGAACGTAGCTGCCCGAGCTTGCAGGGAACAGTAAGGCACCCTGTTTCACCTTCGATTGATGTTTTCTTTTCCACTATTTTTTCTGTTTTCTTATGGAACTATAAGGCTGCTTCATTCATTCAACAAGTATTGAGTATCTAATATCTGCCTGGCTTTGTTTTAGGATCCTGGGGGGAGTTCGGTAGTTCAAAATGGATTTGTGACTGACCTTAATAATGTATTTGACTTAGCTCTTTCCTGTTAAAGCTGTATCATTGCTAATTTTTTTTTTTTTCTGGTCTCTCTATCTCGATCTTTTGGAGAAAATCAAGAAGAGCTTTTCTGAGTCAGCTGCACTGCAGGTTCTTATATGTGATAGGAATCCTGCCCACTGATTTGAAAATATATAGTAATGAAAAGCCTTATAGCATCAGGTCACTAGCAATATAAGAAGCACTGATGATTATAAAGCTAGACAAGTTGGACAAAGGCTCATTGGATAATAGAACATCCAATGAAGGATGACTTGTGGTCAGATAATGACAACAAAATTTATCTAGTCCAGAAGGACTTTAAAAATGCATATGTTCCTATCCCTCGCCCTCCTTTTTTGCCAACCTGGATATTATCCCAACAACACAGTTAGACTAATATGCCCCATGGCTGGAAGTTGAGACTAGAGAAGTCCATGGTTGATATTGATCAGATCTTATACTTCATCAAATTTTAAAATTATGCTCATCTAAAAACACCATTAAGAAAATGAAAGACCATACCACATTCAGGAATAGTTTTTCTCAAATCACATATCCGATGAAGGTCTTGAATTCTGAAAAACTCCTATAAACCAATAACAAAGAGGCAGCTCAATCAATAGCAAATGAATTGGAGAGTTCACAAGAGGACATGCACAATTAATTGGCCAATAGGTAAATGAAAAGTTGCTCAACACCCTTAGATAATGGGTACATGAAAAAGCCACAGTGAAATATCACTTCACACCTACTGGAATAATTAAACTCATAAAGATGATAATACCAAATATTGATGAAGAAGTAGAATAGAATTCTTGTATATTGTTAGTGAGTGTGTAAAGTGGTCCAACTTTGTAGACTGTCTAGCAGTTTCTTATAAAGTTATGTACATCTATCTATCCATGACTTAACAATCCTACTCCTAGGTATTTAACCAAAAGAAATACAAATATATGCTAAAGAAAGTTATACAAAATAATTTCATAATAACTTTATTCAAAAAATAATAATTTGGGTTATTTGGGCTTTTTTGTTATTGATTTATAGTAGTACTTGATATTTTTTTATCAACAAGAGAATAAATTGAGGGTTTTTTTGATAAGTTGTTTTATAAGCAATGAAATAGAATGAACTACTGAAACTTCTAAGAATATGGCTAAATTGTGGATAAAACAAAAACAGAATGTAGAGAGAAAGCAGCCCAAAAGAATACATATTGTATGATTTCATCTGTATGAATAGGAAAATATAATCTATGGTTCTAGAAATAAAAAATATTATCTCTGGTAGGATTGTAGAATGAGTAGAAAATAGCAAGAGGTAATGTCCTAGAGTGATGGAAATGTTCTATGTCTTACTCTGGTTGGTTGCTACATAGATGTATATACAATTGTCAAAACTCATCAAAATGAGTATTTAAAAACCTATTCATTTTATTATGTGTAAATTATGCCTAGATTTTTTTAAGCTAATAAATGTTTTAAAGTGTGTTTAAAAACTGGCTAAATCACCTGTTTCTTCACTGGTGTATTTCATGACCTAATCACGACTAAAGACACCATAGATGTTCATTAGGGGCTTTCAGGTTTTTTATTGATAAGTTGGTGATATCAAATAAGTTAAAATATAAAAAAAAAAAAAACTTGAGCCGGGCACGGTGGCTCACGCCTGTAATCCTAGCACTCTGGGAGGCTGAGGAGGGCGAATTGCTCAAGGTCAGGAGTTCGAAACCAGCCTGAGCCAGACCCCGTCTCTACCAAAAAAAATAGAAGGAAATTAATTGACCAACTAAAAATATATATACAAAAAAATTAACCGGGCATAGTGGCGCATGCCTGTAGTCCCAGCTACTCGGGAGGCTGAGACAGTAAGATTGCTAAGCCCAGGAGTTTGAGGTTGCTGTGAGCGAGGCTGATGCCACGGCACTCACTCTAGCCTGGGCAACAAAGTGAGACTCTGTCTCAAAAAAAAAAAAAAAAAAAAACTTTACCAAAACAGTTATGAAGTTCTCTGGACCTAAGTGTAATAATATGATTTGCAAGCAATATTTGTTGATTGCATAGATAAGAACATAAGTGGTATTTAGAACTACTATAAGTGAAAAGACATTTTGTTCTGGGAAAAAAACATTATAAAGTCTATTTTCATATCTGAAAATTTTCTACCTCCCCTATTAAGTCAAAAGGATTAGCGATTATATCAAACAGATCAAACATGATATTATAGCAAGTTCAGAACTACTTTGTTAAAATTATTTTGATAAATTCTGGTCTCAGGGAATTGTTTTATGCTGTAAAAATGTGTCTTCTTTTTAAATATAAAACTGGAAAAGCTCTCAGAACAAGATAAAGGTTTTAGGGACAACGGGAACTTTTCTAACATATTTTGGAAAGCAGCTAATTATTTATCAGTAATATAAATTCTTTCAAATTGCATATTGCCTATTGGTATGGAAATTAAAATTTTAAATTAAATTAAATTACCTACTATATTGGTATGGAAATTAAAATATCTATTAAATATCACATAGAATGGTATTCCAAGGTGTGTAAGGGAGGTAAAGAAAGCATATACAGTGTGAGATTTTTTAACATGAAAAACTTCTAATTTTAAAATTTTAATTGAAAGAATAGATATAAATATTTTATCTGATTACATTTACATGATACTTTAATATACATTTTATTTCAAAAGGACAAGAAGAATGGTTACAGGTATTTTTTTTTTAAAGTCTAACAAATAAAAAGCAAATCAAAAGGAAAGTAAAAGATTGCCATATTTATTTAGATCAGACATTCTAGGAGGAACGTTTTTGGGTGGCAAGGCCACCTCCTCAGTATAATTTTTCTCTGAACCCCAAGTCTGTCTCTTCCCATTCAGCATACTTTCATTCATCCTTTGGGCCTCCATGCTTTCCTTCATCCATTCTGTTTCTGATTCATTTTGTCCCCTTCTTCTCCAATCCCATTGGCTTAAAAATGGGGATTCCTCTGGGCATGGTCAATTCCTTCTGTGATGTAAATTCACAGTTTACATTTTATAACCTGGAGATCTACCTTCTCAGTAAATATTTTAGAAGATGGTTTTAGATTCTGTATTAGAATTACTGTGCATATAGTATGCTTTGATTTGGTCTTAGGGACCATTATTTGATTCTGGGCTGTGATTCCTCAGGCTCCCTCACTGGTATATGTACCTGTAAATGACTCCTTTACAGTGAGTCATTTACACACCCATGTTTCAATAAGGACAGCAAATTTTACTTTAGCCCTTCTCCTTAATCAGATTGCTAACACAACTCAGGTTTTTTTTTAATCTCCAATCTTCTTCCTGCCCATGGGTGTTTTATTATTTTTCTAACTCAAAGGAGCCAGACTCCTAGATTAGGCATTTCTTGAATTTACATCCAGTAATCTCATCTGCTCATTTCCTAAGGCAGTCATTGTACATTTGGTAATTCTATTATTATAGATCATTATCTGTGAAACCATTTTGTTTTCCCACAGGAATGTCTGGAACCCCTGCTGGCCTGAGTTACCCTGAAGTATACCTAGACTTAATCAAAAACTTTCAAAGAAATAGATATTTATTTCTATAACTGAAAAAATTAAGGTTTTGTTTTTAATTCTCTCTAGAAAAGATTCTTATTTGTATATATGTGCCTATGTATATTATTTTATATCATATATATACATATCTATAGAGATAATATCTATCATATTTTATATGTATGTGACCATAAAAGAAAAGGAATACTCTATTTTGACTTTTATCAGTGTCTGCATGGTGGGGGTAGGCAACATCAAGGAGAGTGATCTTTTATTATAATATCTGGGCTTTAAAACACAGATCAATAGGTTTTAAATATTATTTTTGGAAAATGAGCAATTGCCCACTTATAAAGATTAATTACTTAATGTCAAAATACTATTCTTCTCACAAGAAGTTTGTTTCTAGCTGATGTAAAATAATCAACATACAAATACCCAAATATTTTTTTTGTGAATCACTAAATACTTTACCTATCTGAAGCACAACTATTTCCCCATCTCATTCCCTTAGGACTTCTTGCTTTTTGGAGAATCAAAAGAAAACTGATAATGTACTTGAGCAGATAAAATGGATTTTACGCAGTCTGTTTTAAATATAGTTTTAAGAATCTTCAAGCCAGAGATGTTAAAAATCCATGAATAAAACCTGTTATTTCCTGATAATGAAGTAGAGACTGCAAAATTAGGGGACATTAGTAAGGGAATTAGTTCAGTAAGGGAATTAGGGAATTCAGTAAGGGAATTAAGGGGCAGAGCAGGGAGTGGAACTTTGGTTTCCCATGTTCTGTCCAATATTCCATAGTGCCTGGGACAGCTACTCAAGCCCTTCCTTGGCATTTAACTCAAGTTTGACATTCTGTGTTCTAAGCCCACAGCATGGTAGAATGACTATATTGGATGTGATGGGGAAGGAAGGAAGGAGAGGAGATGCCCCATCATACCTGCTGTACTTGTCAGACAGGAAGTGACAGTAAATAAGGAGTTCAGGGCCAAGTCACAAAACCCCCATCCAGCAACCTGAGGCCATTTAGTAGAGGGGCAAAAAACCTTGCGTATCTCGCAAGGCCTAGAAATCACCATTGCATTGTAGAACAGCAAAGTGCTGGTATTAGAGTGGGAAAAATCATGAAGAAACAAAAGACATTCACCACATATGGTCTGGAAAAGCAGAGAAATGGATCTGAATTTTGAAAAGACATAGGCAAAACAAATAGAATTCAATTCAATAGCTGTTCAATTCAAACTTTATACATGTGTTGCTAATTTTGTTTCTTACTTTTATTCATATCAGTGGATATTAACCAGGCAAGAAGATCATGGTGATTTTATTTTTTTCTTATTTGATTTTTTAAAAAAACATTTCAAAATTATTTCTTTTTAAATTTAATTTTATTTTTAATTGACAAATAATAATTGTATTGCTTATGGGGTACAATGTGATGTTATGATACAGGTACACATTGTGTATTTGTTTTTTGTTTGAGACTTTTTTAAAGAAGAAAATAATTATCTATTGACTTTTTACTTAAAGCATTTTTAAAGATCTTTTAATAAACACTGCTAGGAAATTAGGCTCAATCAAATATTGCTTCTAGAAATAATTCAGCTAGCTGCAAAAATAATTCATAAGTAATTCTATTTTATGGGAAAATTTTTATATATGTTTGTAAAAACAGGTATTTTAATTTCTACACAATATATGAAATTTTGACAGTAGGGCTATGCCCCTTTCACTGAATATAAGGAAAGGGTCATAATTATTGTTTTATTTGACTAAACACACCAAGCTCCAAATTTAGACATCAAGTAATTTTATCTGAATGCTTAGTTTCAGTTTCCTTAATGATCAAAGTAACTACATAATTACCAAATTTATACCAGCTAGAAATAAACTTATTATCAGAAGAATAGTATTTTGGCATTAAGTAATTGATTTTTATTAGCGGGCAATTGCTCATTTTCCAAAAAGAATGTTTAAAACCTACTGATCTGTGCTTTAAAGCCCAGATATTATAATAAAAGATCACTCTCCTTGATGTTGCCTACCCCCGCCATGCAGACACTCATAAAAGTCAAAATAGAGTATTGAAATCTTGGAAAGTTCTTTCTATATATGTACTTTTTTTTTGTATTTTAAACATTTGTATTTCTGTTATGCATTTTATATCAATAGGAATGTTAACTCCCTGTCGCTGACACTCTCATTTTTATTTGTGTGTGTGTAGGTACCTGGGTAGCCTTGTAACCGTGTTCTCCAGGCAGCACATGCAATGGCTCTGGGACATCAGTGGGAGAAAGCCCTTTTGGATAGGCAAGTATCTGTGCCACAGTGAGGAGGAAGGCAAGGACATGAGGAGATTAGGCACCACCACTCGCTGCTCCCTTCCATGAACCCAATGATTGTGCTTTCTTTACAATAATAGGCAATGGTTAGATGGTTAGCCTAAACCATCTATCTTTTAAAACTCCTCTTAAACCTTTTGATATAATACTTTCATTTTTAGACATCTATCCCCAAGAGCTAATTAAGGATGTGGTTAGATTGATAGGTAAGAGAATTCATTGCAATAGTATTTCTAAAAGTGAAAAATCTAGAAATAGCTATAACTCGAGAATGGTTAAATAAATTATAGTATAGCCATATGGAGGAATGTTTAATATTTAGTGCTTTTGCAAGCCATTAAGTAATAAAGACATGACAAAAATACCTTATGCTTATTTATTAATTCATTTGACAAATAAGCATTGGATCCATATTATATATAAAATATATAAGGTAATGCATTTGTGGCAAGGTGCTAAGTAAAAATGTAGGGTCTATAGGCATATGAAGTGTGAAATAATTTAGAATAAAAAAGAAGTTTATATCCATGTGGTGTATGTATAAATATAAATACATATATATGTGCCAAAGAATTAGAAATGATTTACCCCCATTCAAAAATTATAGATGATCTTAATTTTATTCCTTGTTTTCTGAAGTTGTAATATTTTCTACAGTTTCAACAATAATAATTTTTTTCAAGCCACTTTAGAAATAGAATTCTCAGAACACATTAAAGTCAATATTCTCACTACTTCTGAGAGATGTTGATTTGAAGGAACTATAGTAAACTCACTGTTGGCTTCTCAAAATTTCTGTAGTACTCAGTGAGTCTCTAAATTCTGAAATGATCTAAGAGTATTAAGAGTAAAGGCTGGACGATAAGTTTTCTCTATACCCACAATGACTAATTTTAAGGCTCTGTCTTCACGAAGTACTTTGGCATATCATCATCTAACCAATAATTCAAGAAAACAATCCAGAAGACCACAGGGTATTTCTATCCAAAGGTATTTCATTTAATTACACCCCCCCCCCAAAAAAAAATGACTGGGAATGAGCTGGGGGAAGGTAATATGCTATGGATCTAGGACTTTTCATGGTCAAATTTGATTTGGGAGATGTCAGATCATGCTATTGCAGGAGATTCTTTTCTCATTTTATTCTTTTTTTATTTCCATTATGGAAGGGAGTGGGGGAGGGCAGGAATGTTCCTTTAAGAAAATATTACAGAAGCTTTGCAACATTAAAGTGTAATTTGCAAAAATTGCCAGTGGGAGAAGGGAGGCAAGTAGAGAAAAGCTGCTTTTTATTGGAATAGTAGCAGATTGATACATCTTAAGCTTCAGACTGAAAATAATGCATAGTAAGCTACTTGCAAATATGAAAACCAGGATATTTAAACAACGAGGAAGAAGAACAATAGACAAGAGAACATCTGTTTCCCTGTGATAGGAGTTCTGTGTGTAGGTTGATGTGAATAACAATTGCTACTATTTATGAAACACATATATGGTAAAAGTTTTAAATGTATTATGTTAATCAATCCTCAAAACAATTCCAGGTATACTATTTTTATCCCCATTCCTCAGGTGAGGAAACTAAAACTCAGAGAAGTTGAGTAACCTGTCCAAAGATGCTCAACTAGCAAGTGGTAGAGCTAGAATTTGGACTCAGATCTGCCTGGCCCCCAAGCCTTATGCTCTTACTTGTGTCTTATAGTATTCTCAGTTCCTATTCCTTGTTTTAGAACCTGGGCCCATGTTTGCATGTAATAACTGAGCTCAGAGCAACAGACTAGATGTGATATCTAGGTCTAAATGCAATAAAGAAAGTCATTTGGCACATTCTTTTGGTTCACTCTAGGTTTGAATGACCAAGTGCGTGCTGGGCACTGGGAGTGGATCGGTGGTGAACTTGTCACCTTCACCAGTGGAAAGAGAAGACCTCCTCAACACTTTCAGCCTGGGAAGAACTGTGTTTTGGTTCAAAGACGAGGAAAATGGCAAACCAAGGACTGTAGGAAGGGAAAACCTCACAATTATGTATGCTCCAGAAAACTCTAAATGTAACTGGCCCTACACGTGCCCACCTGGGATTTATCACCTATTTATTTACAGGATATGTGAATATCGATCCATAGAAAACAAATTATTATGACTGACTGGGTACATCTTCATGATTCTATTAATAGTAAAAATGGAACATGGATTAATAGTTCCAGGAAGATTGATACATGAATATTTCTTACAAGATGAGATACAATTTTTGCATCTCCGTATCTTTCAAAATAAATGCCTGCAGTATTATAAGGTGTAATTCTAGAAGGTGCTTATTCTAGAAGATCTCCACCCTCACCACACTCCAAATCTCAGGACAACACCAATTTCATGGTCCTGGGATTTTTTTTTTTTGTCCCATTACTGCAAATGAGTGCATTCTGAAATATATATTGTAGGAGCTCCTGCCACTTCAGTCTGAGAGAAGCTAGCCCACCAGCTCATTACACCAAAGTTGAACTGCAAAGGGCTGCTTTGTCCCTCGGGAGCCCTTTAAATGTGAAACATGAGATGAGAGGCTGTGGATAAAAAGGAGAATTCCCTGTGCTGAAAAAGGAAGGCTTTAGATGGAAGAATCTCACAGATGGAGGCTTATCTGCAAATCTCTAATTCACGTAAGAACTCAGAAGACTGCAGGACTACCTGTACTTCAGAGATCTACCCATCACTACTCATGAAACAGATCTTTTCCAATACAAATGTTGGCATTTGTATTGGAAATGCCAATGGAAATGTATTACCATTACCAAGCTAATGATTGGGTTTCCCCAGCCTTACGGAGTCATGAAAAATGTGAAGTAACATAATCTCTTCATCTGCGTTTATTGTACTGACTAGCATTTCTCAAGGACATTTGGATTAGAGTATAAATAAATGATGGTTGACATATGGAAGAAAAATACTGCTTCCTCAGAAGTGTCCCCATGAACTATGCTGATGAGCAAAGAAAAATAACACTAAAAAGAGAGCCCTTGAAAGCCTATATTCTCGGAAAGTATTTTGAGGCAATTTTGAGCCCTTAAATCTTTAATATTTGCAGAAATGCCATGTTAACTAGATTCTCTAATGGAAAGGTATCTTATTAATTTATAATCACAGCTGAGTGGAACATTTTTGTAGCAATGAAGCATGTTGCAGTCTTACCAGAGCTTCCTTCTGAAATCAAGATTTAATTATGGGAAATTAGAACTTTATTCTGAAATATTTATTTAACATTTTTCTCTTTTCATAGTCACTGAAAAATATAGTTGCACCAAATATAACTTGCTATATGAGTACCAGTGTAACTTCAGAATCAAAATGGGGTTATCGAGTAGACTAGAACTTTGGTTTTATTCTAAAAGTACCTTGAGTGTTGAGGACACTAAAAATGCTGAAAGGAAATTAGTCCCATTTCTGCATATAAAAACATGACAAGCTTGTTTAATTTCAGCTCATTTGTCAGAGCTTTAATTAATAGAAAAATTTACAAAGAGAAATTGAGATAAGACTCAGACATTCTACCTCTTACTTAAATGTAAACATAATTGTAGAGTCAGGGTCCTCCTTACCCTGGCTGTTCCAAGTAGGCTCCAGATTGCTATAATATACAGATTTTCTGTGGGATACAAGCACTCTTTGGTGTTTAACTAAAAGATGACAAACCCATCCTTTGTACCAGTTCCAGTCAAATTCCTTCTGATCCACTGGCTTCTGCCGTGCAAAAAGGTGAGATTTGGGATTAAAAACAAAAAAGAGTTGTTTACCTAAAGGGGTAAGTCCTAGGAACGAAGGTAAAAATTCTGAGAAATGAGAGAGATTACTCCTTCCTGCTGGAACTCTAAAACTACGTAGACTCTTTAAAACTGGAAATCTAAAACCATGTCAATTGTGTGGAATCTGGTTAGCATGGTAGATTTATCACACATTTCTGCAAAGAAAACAATACTTAACTGTAATTGCAAGTGTTAGCATGAAGAGAAAATGTTTTGAATTTTATAACAATTAGAAATACTATTAATAGAAGAATATTGGCCGGGCGCGGTGGCTCACGCCTGTAATCCTAGCTCTCTGGGAGGCCAAGGTGGGCAGATTGCTCGAGGTCGGGAGTTCGAAACCAGCCTGAGCAAGAGTGAGACCCCGTCTCTACTATAAAATAGAAAGAAACTAATTGGCCAACTAATATATATAGAAAAAATTAGCCGGGCATGGTGGCTCATGCCTGTAGTCCCAGTTACTTGGGAGGCTGAGATAGAAGGATTGCTTGAGCCCAGGAGTTTGAGGTTGCTGTGAGCTAGGCTCACAGCACTCACTCTAGCCTAGGCAACAAAGCGAGACTCTGTCTCAAAAAAAAAAAAATAGAAGAATATTTAAAAATGGTTCTGATTGCAAAAGCATTAATCAGTTGGAAAATCCAAGTAATTGAAAGAAGATAAAAATAGAAATTCAGGCAAGTTTGGGTGCTGGGCGATATTCACCATGACCTTCGTTTCTTTCTCATGATTGGGCTTTGAAAGTCAGGGAGAAAAATAAGTAAATGATTGTCATAGTTCTTCTACCTTGATCGGTCATTTCTGCCTTTTAGGTTCTGGTGAGAATGGGAAGGAAGGAAATGGAGTAATGGGTAAAATGGGAATGAGAGATCATAGGGGATCAAAGGGGAGAGGGTGAAAAGGGTTGGTAGGAAATGATGGGAGTTGATGGTGGGTAGGAAGGAAAGCATCAGAAAGAAGGGGCTGAATGTACCTAGCTCTTCTCCCTAAACTTGAATACTAATTCAGGAAAAATCCCACTATATCCAAGGGCATCAATCCAGCTCACTAGTGTGTAGCTTTTCAGAATCTTCTGATTGGTCCTTAAAAATACACAGCATATATCTGCTAAAAATAAACTTAAACAACATATGATAATCATTTCATCTCCTTCCAAGACGTGGTGAAAATGAACCAGGTGACATTAATTTGCATTCCTGTTTTTGTTTATTTTTAATACCGCCAAAAAGAAATGCACATATTTTAATTAACACTATGGTTCTGTGTAATTTAAACCATAAACTGGTGCTGATTAATTTCTGCAACAAAGCAGCATATTAAATGTACTGTATCTAGTGTTGTATCAAAATTAATACAAATAAACTTATTTTATAAGTTCTAAGACACTGTTCCTTTAGTTTTCAACATTTTATATTTTTCCTGGGGACACATGGGTTTTAGATTTTAATGATTTTATTATAAGAAGGGATGGAAAGAAAATTCTACATGTCTCCTTACTGGAGAGACCGGCCTTTAGTTGCATGGCATCTAGGTATTCATGCATCCATCCACCATTCATTCAACAAATACTGCATATGGAGTGCCAACTCTGTACTTGGCATTGTTCTAGATACTGAAGATATAGTAGTGAAGGAGATAGAAAAATAAAAGTATAAAAGCATAGTACATATATGAAAATTTCCAACAGCTTTTTTTAAGACTCAAAATTTTTTATTGGGGAGGGAAATCAGAGTGGAAATCAGTGATTACATTATTCCTTTCCAAAATTGAAGGAAACACACACAAACAGCTCAGGCAGACTTTTGCTATATTTCTCTCTTGATTAAGAAACTGCTGTTAACTTCCTAACTTTATAGGCAGGTCAATGTAATTGATAGCAGCTGTCCCAAATTTCCTATCTCCACAATCAAGTTAGGAATCAAAGTTTTTAAATCTAGTTAATTGATTCTGTAACAATTACTTTTTCCAAAATGACAAGCAGTGTGTGTCTCTGTATCTTAGAGATTCCTGGAATAACAGAAATTAGAGAGACCTATGATATCTAACATTCTTATTTTATAACAAAGGAGGTTACAGTGTGAAGATATCAGTACTGGAACTGAGGTCTTTCAAATTGCATGCTGAATATCCTCTAATTATTCTACATATCTATTACCATTCTAAGCAAATCATTTTATTATATTCAAGTAAAATATCTTTGAATAATTAGTATAATAAAATCCATCATATACTTGAAAACATTATTGTAAGCAAAAGACGATAGACATGAAAGGCCACATATTTTATGATTCCATTTGCATGAAATGTCCAGAACAGGCAAACCTATAAAGACAGACAGTAGGTTAGTGATTGTCAGAGTGTTGGGGAGAATTGAAACTAACTGCTAATAGATACAGTGTTTCTTTTTGAAGGGATGGAAATATTCTGGAGTTAGCTGGTAGTAATGGTTGCACAAATAGTGAATATACTAAAAACTACTGAAGTGTACAGTTTAAAATGGTAACTTTTATGACATGTGTAGTGTATCTCAAAAATGCTATTAAAAATTACCATATAAAAATTATTTTAGAAAGCTATAAATGAGTTGATGTATTTGCTGTATGTTTATCTGACTCATCCAAAATACATTTCCAACTCTTTGCCCCATGTCTCACCCAGGTTTTTGTTTGTTTATATAGTTGCTTAAGGTGAAGGGAATGCTGATTTGACCTATTTTTAAATTTATGGTACCACTTTATTGATCTTCCTCTCCTTTCTCCCCATCAATCACAGGAGAACTGTCACTAATGGCAGAGTGTGTCTGAATGTCTGCAATGTCCAGAAAGCCATGATTTTTTCAAAATTAATTTTACAAGCCTTTAGAACAGGATTATACAGGAAATGAATATACTATCCTCATAACTTACACACATAACTTCATTTTGAGCAGTTTTTATAGGTCTTATATTCTGCTAGGCAATAAAGTTTAGTTTATCTTAAGACAGAAAGGAACAAAAATCAACCAACACTTCCATTAAAGGCCTCGTGGTAACCCGCAACACTTTTCCAAGCAATGACGTGTAAGTTCACCTTTTGCTTCTATTCCCATCTGCATTTTTGCTTTCCAAGAGCAATCAATCCCAACTTATCCTCCAGAAAAAAAAAATGTTCAGACCCAACTATGTGCTACCTACAAGAAATATAGTTTAAATATAAATACACAAATACATTAAAAATAAAAGAATGGAAAAAGATATGCCATCCTAAAACCAGTCAAAAGAAAGCTGGAGTGGCTATGTTAATATCAGACACAGCAGAGTTTAAAGCAAAGAATATTACTAAAGATAAAGAAGGTTATCTCATAATGTTAACATAATGTCAATATATCAAGAGAATATAATAATCCCAAACATTTATGCATCTTATAACAAAATTTAAAAATACATAAAGCCAAAGATGGTAGAACTGCAAGAAGAAATAGACAAATTTATGCTTATAGTCAGAAATGTCAATATTCCTTTC